TTAGAGCTCCAAGATCACTCCACTTCTCTCCGTTAATTGAGGCTAGATTGTGAGAATTTTCACCCTTTTTTTTCTTAAAGAATATTATGTATCTTTGATTCTTTATATCTTCGTTGACTCTCACAATTGTTGATAGTGCCCAGCTGTGATAGGTTGCTAATAGGTATAAGGTAACATATTTTTTTTAAAGGAAACTCTTTTTCAAATTTTTTAGTACATTTTTTTTTATTGTTGACGACTTTTACGCCCACAAAAAAAGAAAAAAAAAAGAGTGTGAATTGAATAAGGGACCCACCCCGCCGTGCCAAGCATTGGCCCGAGGCACTAAAGCATTAAGGAATCTCTATAGGATCATAGGTCCCGATAAAAAGTGCCAACCACCCTGTCACTATAATTAGCCATTGGAAAAAAATAAATGTTGTTGAGATATAAAAAAATGGAAAGGCAACAGTATGATCAGTTGTATCTTATTAAAAATTATAATTTTTTTAAAATATAAATTATAATTTTAAAAAATATGATTGATTATAAAAAATTATAATTAATATCAAAAATATATTATCGATCATAGGTGTCTGTAATCAATTATGACCTTTCTTTCAACAATTATAAATTCTCAACAGTTATAAAAGTGGTAACCAACAATAATAGTATCCAAAAAAAAAATTGGTATGGTAGAATTTCTCTACTAATATAATTATGTTTTAAACAATAAAGTCCCAGTAAAAAGTTTTAAAATTTTACTTTTATTATAGTATCAGATCACTACTACATTATTAAATTAATAAATTAAATAAGTTTTTTATATTCTAATAATGTAACTCTTGGGGAGTACACAAACACATTATTTTAATAAATATTGTGGCTCAAAGAAACGTCGTGGTGGTAAATATTTGGGCAACTATTTAATAAAAAAATAATAAAAATAAGGTTTATTTTTTATTATGATAGTGATTATATATTATATAAATGATTGATTATAAATTTTAATAGGGCGAATTTATTAAATAAGGTAGGGTAACAACTAAGCTACATATTTTTTCGTGCTAGGGATGGATCCATCCTACCCTCAACTTATGATCCAAAAAAAAAAAATTAATATTATATGAATTTAAAAATTAAACTTAAAAAGTAAATTTGATAATTTTAACTATTAAATAAATAACGGATTCTAATAAATATTGAGACTCACAATAATATAATAATTGTAATTATTAAATTTTATTTTTAAATTTATTTTTTAAGTCTATATAATATTTCTTAAAAAAAACACCTAACCTTGACTTTGTTTTTTTTGAGCTGGACCTAACCTTGACTTGACTTCACTTTAATAGATGCAGAGATAGCCATCCCATAGCATGTCAGGTCATCTATTTTTACGGAAGGTAAAGTCAGAGAACGCCAAATTTCTTTCCTTACGCTCTGTTAAGAGAATCCCACTTCACAACACCTCCTTCCTCGAAACTTTCCTACTCCTTTAAAAACCCACAACTACAATCCACCATTTCACACAAATTCTTGTAGAAAAAGCAACCTTACTGGTAGTAAACAAAATGGCTAAGCAGAACTCCAACATCCCTGAAACAAGCTCCTCTTCTGCTCTTGTTCCTATACATGTACAACCCATATCCATGATTGATGATGAAGAACTGGCTATTCCAGTTGAGGCACCGATCGTGTCGTCTTACAATGATCGAATACGTCCACTGCTTGATGCAATTGACAAGCTCCGCCACCTCAAGGTCATGCAGGAAGGTATACAGCTTCCAACAATTGTGGTGGTTGGTGACCAATCGTCCGGAAAGTCCAGTGTTCTTGAATCACTTGCTGGCATCAGCCTTCCACGAGGCCAAGGCATTTGCACTAGGGTGCCACTCATAATGAGGCTTCAGCATCACTCAGATCCTCTCTCGGAGCTTCACTTGGAGTTTCTGGGCAGAACTGTCCAGACTGATGAGACCCATATTTCTGATGCCATAAATCAAGCAACTGATGAGATTGCTGGCTCTGGTAAAGGTATATCACACACCCCATTAACGTTAGTTGTGAAGAAAAATGGCGTACCTGATCTTACAATGGTTGATTTGCCTGGAATCACTAGGGTGCCTGTTCATGGGCAGCCTGATGATATATATGAGCAGATATCAGCCATAATAACAGAGTACATAAAACCAGAGGAGAGCATTATCTTGAATGTTTTGTCTGCAACTGTTGATTTTCCGACTTGTGAATCCATTAGGATGTCACAGCGTGTGGACAAGACCGGCCTGAGAACTCTGGCTGTTGTTACCAAAGTCGACAAAGCTCCCGAAGGTCTGCTAGATAAAGTAATGGCAGATGATGTGAATATCGGGCTTGGCTATGTATGCGTTAGGAATCGCATAGGCGATGAATCTTATGATGAAGCTCGAAAGGAAGAAGCTAATTTATTCGAAACCCACCCGCTTCTCTCAAAGATTGACAAATCTATTGTGGGTATTCCAGTTCTGGCCCAAAAGTTGGTGCGAATTCAAGCTACAATAATAGCAAAATGCTTGCCAGAGATTGTTAGAAAGATCAATGACAAGCTCAGTGCAAACATTTCAGAACTCAACAGAATGCCCCATAATCTGACTTCTGTTCCAGAAGCAATGTCTGCTTTGATGCAGATTATTGGTTCCTCCGTGGAGTCTCTTAGGAAAGTGCTCTTGAGAGGTGAGTTCGAGGAATACCCAGATGACAAACACATGCATTGCACTGCTCGTCTTTCAGAAATGCTCAATCAGTGCGCTCGGGAATTGCAAAAGAGTTCAGAAGATAACTACAAGGACAATTTTCTAATGGAGGAGATACGAGTTCTTGAGGAAACCAGAGGCATTGGGCTACCAAATTTCCTTCCTCGCGCGGCTTTTCTCATGATCCTGCAGAAAAAAGTAAATGAGATATCAGGAGCACCGGTTGAGTTTGTCTCTAAAGTATGGGAGTACATTGAGAAAGTGGTGGTTGCTGTTTTAATGCGTCACTCTGAACATTATCCACAGCTAGAGTCATCTACAAGAAGAGCAGCCCAGATCCTTATTGCCAAGAGGAAGGATATGTCAGCTGATCGAGTGGCGGAGATAATTGAGATGGAGAAGATCATAGATTATACTTGCGATCCTGAATATCTGACAGTATGGGGTAAGCTCATGGCTAGTAAAAACCTCTTCCTTGATGTTATGAATAATTATTCGAGGTCCACACTGATCACCATTGATGGTTTTGGGGAAGTTGAAGTTGGGCATTTAAAGTCCTTCCCTAATATTAGAGACCAAGCATTTGACATAAAAATGAGAATTGCAGCATACTGGAAGATTGTTCTTAAAAGACTCGTTGATTCCATGGCTCTGAACCTACAGTTCAGTGTTAAGAATCTGGTGAACAAGGACATGGAGACGGAGATAGTGAATGAACTCATGGGTCCTCATGGTGGTGGACTTGAAAGGTTGCTAGAAGAATCGCCTTCGGTGGCCATAAAGCGTGAGAGATTGAACAAAAGTATCAAGCTGCTGAAGGACTCTAAGGAAGTTGTTGCTAAGGTCATGGACAGAATTGCCATCAATGCTGATTAGGCTTTCCCTATAGCATTGCTCTTGCCTGAAATCCCATATCATTGTGATGGGAAACTCTTCGGTGGCATTATTGTTATGTTTGTGTATTTGGTAGTGTGTTTCTAATCTATAATGAATTCCAATGTACTGGAAAGTATTATGCGGTAGTAGATGATATTGTCTTGTCTGTTTCAGCTGGTGGATTTGTAATTAGTCTTTAATTCAGATGCATTGGTTGAGAATGGCTTAATGATGAGTAAATCTATTTGCACTTAAAATGTTGATTTAATTTGTTAAATTAATCAATTAATGTTATTAATTTAATTGTAAGTCTTAACATATATTAGAGCGAATAATATTACAATTTAAAATTTTAACCTAATCTATTGATCTGATTAATTGTAACCTATGAAATACGGATACTTCGTTGAAGTTGATGTACTCGTGTCCGATATCGTATCAGATACGATACTCGTCGGATACTCGAAGATACATATCGGATGCACCTTCTACGTATCCGATAATAATTAAATATTATGATACTTCACGAATATTTATATATAATTTTTGAGTTTAACTTTTAACATCTTTTTTCGAATTCACATACCATACAATACATTAACAAAAAATTCAAATTACTTCAAAAACACATGAGTGTTTCTTAAGTATTATCTACAATTTCATGTTAAAAGAGTATAAAATAAAGTTATTACATTATTATCTTAACAAAAATTATTTCTAAATACTACGTAAATGTTAGTTTTGATTCTTTTAATTAGTTACTTCACTTTGTGAATATATTACAGCGATACAATATATATTTTCTTGAAACTAAAAAAAACTACTAATTTTCCTTATTGTATATTAAAGAACTACCAAAATATAAAAGTATTAAACTAGTTGAAAATAATAAAAATATTAAATATATTTTATTATATTTTGACCGTACTCATATCTTGTATTTTTAAATTTTGTCGTATCGTCATATCCGTATCGTATCATACTCATATCCTGTATTCGTATCCGTGCTTCATAAATTGTAACTATTAGATTATATTTGATAGACTCATCAATAAATCCTGTTAATATTTTAAGTTCATGATACCGAAAAGTAAATTATATTAAAAATAAGTTTCAACTCTGTACTCAAATTCATACCAAACAAAAGAAATTTAAATTTTTATTCAAATCAAGAGAGTTTTGTGATCCTCTCCCTTCGTGTGTTTACGCGCTCGCACGTGCGTGTTGATGTTTTTGTTAATAGCTGCTATTTGATTTTGCAGCCCTTACACCGCAGAAAGACTGATGTCCCAAAACACAGGCAATATGTAGACAACGTTTGAGAAAGTAGTTAACTAGCAATGCATGATAACATTTATACCATTTCATACAAGGGGAATATCCACAAAATAGTAAAACCAACAGAATACCCAAGAATTTAGCCAGAAACAATACAACTTTACCTTTCTTCTCTTGCATACAATTGAAAATGAAAAAAATCTTTTCAAGAAATCAACAACGATGACAACATTTGCAATACCGGTTAACATGTTCTGTTGTAATTCTCCCCTTTAAACACAACAAATAGAAACTCAATTTTCAGACCTCCCAAACAATTCCATTGACAATGTCTATGAACCTCTACGTGTTTTTTGTTAAAAAGAAACTCAAAATTTATGAACAAAAATCTAACTGGTATCTTTTTGTTTGCCACCCAAATAAAAAAAAATTGGTCAGGCGATCTATCTCATCTCCCGAATCCGCTATAGACTGAAGTTTTGTTCATTGGGTAGCATTCGTTTTAATCTAGCTCCTATCTTCCCTTTTCAACATCTCTAGTAAAAAATCATTCCAAGTGTCAACAGGTCCAGGCAAGCACCAGTGCACACAGTCATTAACCACAGTCTTATTCTCAATTGGCCAATGCCCATATTTGTCAGGATGACCATCTGGTCTCAACAACATAGGTTGTGTTGTATCAAGCAACCTAAATTTCAGCCCTCTCTTCCTGCCTACTCTTTTTGCAATCCTCAGCTCCTGCAATTGAATCATATACATCTCCAAATTATAACCATCCAAAACAACCTCATTAACACCAAAAGGCCTTGTCCTAGCACATTCTCCCCCCTTGTCCCATGGTCCATTTTCGAAGTGTGATGGTGCAAAAGTTCTCAGATATGTAATTCCTCTATAGTTTTTTAAGCTGTTAATAGCCCGAAAGGCAGTTCGGAATGCCCTCCGGTAGCTAAAGTAGGATGTCATGTGAGTAACGTTGGTCTGCAGGCAGTAAAGGCAGCCGACAAGGCGTCGCTTCACATAGAACATGCTTGGACGGAAGAACCAGTGTCCGGCAGAGATGACTACGTAATCGAATTTTTCGATCTTGGTTGTCCAATCCTCGTTGAATTCATCGAGATAGAGATTGAAGGGGCGGGTTACATCATTAGGGTCTGTCTGTTGGGTTCGTACCAAAAAGGGTGACCAGTAAATTGAAATATTGAAGTTGTAACTTCTGTATTCCCAACGTTTGAAATTTTCGTCAGCTGAATTTGAAACATCTACGGGATACACCACCTGGAAATGCAAGAAATAAAAGTTATACTCTGGGGAAAAAGTTTAATAATACACTGTGTTATGTTGTCATGCCACCCGATTTACTCACTAGTTATGTGCACCACTTAAATCCAGATTTTTTGAGGCCAAAAAGCCTCAAACTCATGATATGCGGGTTTAAGTATCGTTTCTGGTTCAAGTATTTACCAACTCGTACCCGTTAATCATGTGCTTGTGATTACATTACATCGATATTATATATCTGTCCGATAATCAATCTAATTTCATGTCGCACTAAAAAGTACCGTCATGCTGATCTACCATTACGGGTGAAATGAAAAAACAAACCCTAAATGTTGCAACAATTAGCCGGTAGCTCTCAATTAATGTAGTTTGGATGACAAAGTAATAATGCAACATGGACAACTAGAATGAATCTCATGAAAAAGATAAAACCCAACAAATACTCCAATAGGAAATCATGAACAAAACTTTGAAATAAAACAATTGCATTGAGATATTGGAGTATATATATGGTGGTGAAGACTTACCCTGGATAAGAGGCATATCAACGACTGCATATGATTTCTTGCCACAGAATCTCCAACAAAGGCCAGAGACTTCCCTCTAACAAGTTCCAGGAAGTGAAATGGATCAAAGACAGGAAGCTCACAACCATCTGGTTTCCACCTCCACTTCAAGAACCCTTTATCGGGTCTCCCAAATTTCATGCAGTTTTGATGCTCCTGAATAGCCCAACACGTCTCATTTGTGTAGTATGGCGCTTCCGGGTTCCAAACCCATTCCCCGGAAAATATGTCGCATTCTAGTGCCTTTGAGGCCGACAACTCGCCACCACCATGGCTTGCCTGTCTCCTATCATTTTTTTCCGGCAGTTTTAGGGTTTCCGGGCGGCGACGCTTGCTAGGTCTTGGTGGTTTTTTTCTTACCTTTTGTGATCTTTCTCCGACCACTATTTTGAAATCTTTTTCTGGTCTCTTTTCGATCCCCAAGTCTCGTGTGATCGAGTTAGTTGATCTTTCCGCATCTTCTTCTTGTTCGTGTGGTCTCTCGACGTTTCTTTCTCCTTCTTTCGGAGCCACAGAGTAGTGGTGGCCATGGCAGGATTGTTTGTCCTCATTTTTAAAGAGACAAGGTTCACTATCTTTCTGCTGCAAGTGATTGCGTGAAAGTGGGTCTGAAATAGCAGTCGGTCTTATTGAATCCTCAAGAGAATGATATGAAGACGATGATTCCAATAATCTTTTATGAGAGTACCGTAATGAAGGGTAATAGATGGGGATAATGGTGAAAAGAACAGCTATGGCTATCAGTGGAGCTATCTTTGGGTTCTTCGACCTTCGTGTCTGGTTTTTCATCAATGGAAGTTCAGTGGCTTGAAGTTTCATTGAAGGGAGGAGAAAGAAAGAGAGAGAAAAAGAAGAGGAGGAAAAAGAGAGGGAGAGGTTGCAGAAACATGAAGGAAGAGATTTTTGTACGCATGTTGCGGTAACTTCATAAACAAAGCAATGGTTATCCATTGGCTTATATATAGCAAGATCAATATTAAGCAAAAAATATCATCATTTTCCAAATATAGATTTTAGATCTCCATTTTGGGAAGTTCCAAAAAAACAATTCGTTCAGAAAGCCAATGCCATCATTGTATATTGGGAAAATTTCAGTTGCGTCCCTTTTAATTCATCATATTTTCTAAATACATCTTTTCTACATCATTATTAACACCCTTGTCAAATTAAATGTGTTAACTATAATGTAATTTTATTAAATTACCTATGATATATTTTAGAAAAAAATATTTCTATATTCTTTCTAAATAGACATATCTTTAATGAGGCCCCCCATTTTCTAAACTTTTTAACTTACTAAAATTCGAACAGATTAAAATTCGATTCAAAGTAATTAAAATTTATTTTTTAAGTATTAAAATTCAAGTTGATTAAAAATTATATTTTTATCATATTAAAATTTGAGTCGATTAAAATTTTATTCGAGCCAATTAAAATTCATTTTTAATCAACTCAAATTAAATTTTAATCGGCCCACATTTTGATACATAAAAAAATATAATTTTTAAGTAACTCAAATTTTAATACGTAAAAAATAAATTTTATATCAACTTGAATCGAATTTTAATTGACAGGAATTTTAATAAGTAAAAAAATATAAATTTTAATAGACTCGAAACAAATTTTAATCAGCATTAACAGCTCAGGTAAAGCTCAAATAGGCTTAAATTTTAATACATAACAAAATTTAATAGGCTCAAATTTTAATACGTAAAAAAATAAAATTTAATTAACTCGAATTGAGTTTTAATCAACTCAAATTTTAATATGTAAAAAATAAATTTTAATCGGCTCGAATTTAAATACAAAGAAAAATAAATTTTAATCAACTAAAATTTTACGTAGAAAGATTGCTTAAAATTTATGTAAAAGTAATTTTGATATTTTAAATGAACATTTTTTGTTAGAAACAGGAGGTTAACGGAAGAGAGTATCAATGATGTTTAAATATAAAGTAAAAAATATTTTAATGATATTTTAAATCATAAAAAAGATATTCTTGAAGTTATGATAAATTAAAAAATGTGTGAGTGAAATAAACCAAAATGAGCATAAATTAGCACAAACACTCTTGATCATTAAAAAAAAAAAAAAAATACCTCAAGCATAAGACAATGTGACATTTGGTCTGTTGGGAACTTACACTAGTTGACTTGAGTCTGAAGGCAATTAAGCTTAATCCTTGAAACAAAGGCGGGGAGGGGGGGTATGGCGGTTATTAGGTTTCAAAAGTTGTTCTAGCTTCGAATCTTAATATAATTTTAAAATATGTTATGAAGTTGGCCTCGTTTAATAAATTAAATTTTCGTTGTCATCCTCCGTGAATCATAGTCTTTTTTTTAATAAATTAAATTTTCGTTGGCAAAAATCTCTCGTGATCTAACTCTAAAGAATAGGCAAAATTCAAACTCAAAACGTCTGAGTTTATAACTCATTCCTAATAACAATTCAACTACAAAATTTATCTTACAATCTTTGCTACCATTCTAGATTGCCTCTGGTTTTGGGTTTGCTTCTAAAGATTTGGATGGCTTACAAAGTTGGATTCTTTGTGCATATACACAAGCAAAGGCCTGTGATTTTTGGGGAGTTTTTTTTTTTTTTTTTTTTTAAAAAAAAAGCCTTGAGGAGGAATAATCTCAAGATTGCTGGTGCCAACCATCAGGTAGAACCGGACCTACAATATTTTTATGTACTTCCCTGGTGCATCTATATTGGGTTTGTCATTGTTCTCATTGTTTATCCTATTAATTACGTGCTGGCACACTACTTGTAAATTAATAAATATAATAACAGTAATAATTACATTTTAACTGTTGAACCAAATAATAATAAAAAAATCCTGATCATAGCACAATGTTAACATGGTCACATTCAGTTTGGAATTGTTGTGACTCCAGTGGTGTGAAAAAAAAAATTTCTTGACAGTTTATTATGATATGCCAATCTTTCTGTTCTTAGTATGTCCGAAGCTTGGAAAACCTGGACAACAATTCTCTGGTCAGTCACACATGGGAACAGTTTCTTCGAATTGATTATTTTGGGTTAAGGTCATTTTCGGAAGAGAGAGAGAGTCGGTGTTGAAGAGGTCTTCATAGCCAAATAACCTATTTCTATATATATATATATATATATATGCCCGTGCCCGTGCATAATAACATCTTCAATAATAAAAGCTATTTTAACTATTCAAAAAATAATATTTTTTATTTTAACTACTCACTTTTTAAATAGACACTCCAACAGAGTTTTTATACTTTTAACTACTCATTTTAAATATTATTTCTCATTCATTTTATATTATTTTTTTTAAAAATAGTGAAGTGGAGAAAGAGAGAGAACGGAGGAAAAGAGAGAAAAGGAGAGAAAATATTATAAATAAAAAAAAATTTACATATTGTTATTTAGAGTATCGCTGTAACAAAATGTTATTTTACATGTTTTGAATATAATATGTTGTAATGAAATTTTTTGGGCTAAATAGCTAAAATTTGAAGATTTTGTATATTTTAGATCATCTGTTGGAGATACTCTAAGGCATCATCTACATACTAAAACTCAAATATATTACTAAGATAAAATAGTAATCAAACAAACTTTTTTTGTATTAAAATGATTATTTGAAAAATGTTACTAAATACTAATGATATATCAATTTTACATATTGCTTAAATAGAGCCAGAGAAATGAACAGGATCAAATCAAACAGACTGACATTTCAGTGGTGAATTTCCCAAAATGGTCAAGTCTCAAGTGATGCATTTTAATACAGCAATAGTGTGAACTGTGTGTCATATCCAAACAATTAAGCTTTTTGAGTTGAACATGAATGGTAGGCAGCTGAGTGGGAGTTAAAGATGATTTGTTACCATTACATTCAGGCAGTTGAGGAAGCTAACGAAGATGATGGTAAAGCACTTGGAGATCCTTGCAGTGAGCGCATGTCCATGGAAGCAGCGGAGGATCCAGGCAGTAGGAATGAACACATCGACTCTGGCAGAGATGACATCTAATGAGAAGATCCTCTGGTTCCCGACAACAGCATTGAGAACAGACTGGTGTTACCGCTACTGATGGCTACCCCCCAAAAGATGAAATGAAACAAAGAAGAGTTAGAAATGACAAATTTCGCAAATAGAAGACAATTAAGGCCCCTTCTTTTTGTTGCAATCGTAAGGCAATTTATCATGTGAACAGTGAGAATGCTACTTTTAACGGGCACCAACAAAATGCAGATCAGATATTAACGTATCCATGCAAGAGGACTGACAATGTGGAACAGAAAAACATGATTATTAACATGGGTTTACTTATAGATGTCTGTAAGGGTAGAACCCTCTACTAAGGATTTCGGCTTGACCTGAGTTAACCCACGCAGGCGACCCCCCAGTAGCCTTTACCTCTCAGTGCCCGCAGGAGCTACATCCCACATCGACTGAGAGTCGTCTCCCCCCCTCGCATATAAGCCCTTGCACTCAAAGGAGGAGGTACCCACTAGCGACCTGATCAGGTCAGGTGCCTAGTGGGTACCTCCTCCTTTCTGTAAGGGGTAGAACCCTCTACTAAGGATTTCGGCTTGACCTGGGTTAACCCACGCGGGCGACCCCCCAGTAGCATTTACCTCTCAGTGCCCGCAGGAGTTTCGTCCCACATCGACTGAGAGTCGTCTCCCCCCCTCGCATATAAGCCCTTGCACTCAAAGGAGGAGGTACCCACTAGCGACCTGATCAGATGCCTAGTGGGTACCTCCTCCTTTGAGTGCAAGGGCTTATATGCGAGGGGGGGAGACGACTCTCAGTCGATGTGGGACGAAGCTCCTGCGGGCACTGAGAGGTAAAGGCTACTGGGGGGTCGCCCGCATGGGTTAACCCAGGTTAAGCCGAAATCCTTAGTAGAGGGTTCTACCCCTTACAATGTCTATAAGCAAAGCTCCAAACATGTCAGTTGGAAGTTGGATTAAACCTTAATTTGTGGAGTGTCTGTGCGTGGTGTGTGTAATGTGCATGTATAGTTGTTGTAGATAGAAAGGATATATATGAATCTTTATTCTTCATCAAATAACCAGCAGAACCTATTCATAAATTTGTAAGAATCAGAAGAAGTTTAATAAGCCTACCACAACAGCTCATTGAATTAACAGTCTTTAATGGCTAAAATTTGTAAGAGAAAAAGACATTGTGGGGAAAAATAAGATAAAAACAGCTCCTTTATATGAATGTGATATGTACAAGGAGCAGAGAGTAGGAAGAAGGCTGCCTATATATTCTTGTGCCAAGTGGACAGGGTTTGATGTCAACAAGAAGTCAACCGGAATAACATAGTCAGCATGGGGTCATACCTGTGCTCCAAGAGTGGATGTTTCCCCATAGGAAAGAAGGTATACATCCATTTTTGACAGATCATATGGAATAGTTTGCGAGTATATTTTCTGATCAGAAGAGACTGCATCATCCACCTTTGTAATGTGAGCAAAACTGGCCTTGCACAACGGACATGTTGAAATCTTTCTCCTTGAAGCCTGTAAAAAGCCTTATCAACTTATGATAAGGTACAAAATTCAATGCATAGGGAAGTAGTAAAGTTTAGAGGCCACACACCTGAAACTTAACAAAAATCGTTTACTTTTGATAATTAGGTAAATCCAGAGCAAAGACAAAAATAGGTTAGTTCCTGCAATCTAAAATTTCATCATTATTTTTTTATTAAGCCAAGAAGATGCGGAGCTCTGTTGGTCATTGGTGCCTGTGGAACTTACCAAAATCATTTAATTTTTATAATTAGGTAAATCCAGAGCAAAGACGAAAATAGATAAGTTCCGGCAATATAAAATTCCATCATTATTTTTGTAGTGAACCAAGAAGATGTGGGGCTGTGTTGGTCATTGGTGCATGTACTTCCACAAGTTGGTAAGATAAAATGAAGAGAAAAAATTCTGTTCCTATTCCTATTAAATTCGGTTTTTGGTTAACGTGGAATTCCTCAGCAAAGATGGATTGGCCATACACAATCAATGAAGTCATACTAATGCTAGTACTTGTCACAATGAAATTTGGGTATGGAAGAACTCAAAGAAGTACACTAAAAGGCTGTGGTACTTGTCTGATCAACCACACTGATAGCTTCAATAGCCTAGTGAAATTTTTTGTAGTTTTTTTTTTTTGGTATTCACCTTTTAGTCTGTTACTAATCTTTTAGTTATAATATCAAGAGATAGTTTATGCAACAAAAGAAAAGAAAAAGGTTATTTTCTTCATGTTGCAACTTATTTTGAATCTAACAAACATCCTTCATGTGTAGCTTCCACTTTGTCATCTCAAAGTTTTCTTAAAATTCAATGTCAAATGTAAGATGACAACATATAAACCACAGCAGGATATTATAATCTATCACAGATTCAATCGGAATGTCCTCTGTTGAGAATAGTTCCCTTAGCAAACTCAGAAGTCAGTTTACTTGCAATATCCTTCAAATCAACAGGATATTGACATGTCCTCTGTTATACATAACATAGCAACAAATTTCAAAATTTTTAATTGCACAATAAGAAACATTCAGAAAATAGCATGCATTCTCTTGCTAATATATAAAACTGCAGTAAGCGCAAAAAAGGAGGAGAATAAAATGCAAAAACAGCAAATACATACCATATGATCGGCCCAGCTTTGGATGCATGGAAAACAAAATCGATGCCCACATGGAAGAACCCCCCTAGTTGAACTGAAATTTGTCCAACATATAACACATGATAATTCTGTCGACGTAGACAATCTGGTAATATGTTCGATGTCATTTATATCATCGTCAACAATCAAACAATCATCTTGTGGATTTTCTACAAGAGAATGGAATTTTGAATCTTTGAAAGCAACATCATCATTCAAATTTGTAATCTCTTCAACATCTTCCATACTCTCAAGTGTATTTCCCCCATGGCTATAAGAGCTATCATCAGATGCTTCCCTAACTGTTGATATGCTTCCATTCCTCCCACCATCAAAAGTTGCAGCTGGAGCTGTAATCTCATTATGCTTGTGATGGGCCCTTATTGTGTGGCACTCTTGCTCAGAATCTGAAAAAGACTCCAAAATGTCCCTACTTTTCTTTTTCACCAACCTATAGCTTTTGCGAGAAGGTTCAGCTGAAGTAGTGCTGCTTCTCTTCTGTCTGCCCAAGCGTGTAGAGGAAGGAGCATCCGATTCTTCGTACTATGTAACAGGCATAAAGGAAAGAATTTCAAAAACAACTACAAATGTAAAATAATGCATCAGTCTTAACATCACCATATATTGGATAGGCATAATTTTAAAGGGTAAGCGGGGGGAGGGTGGAGCTTTTTGCTCACAGAACTGAAATGAATTCAAAGAACAACAGCAACACAGCCATAGGAACTAGGAGAAAAAATAGACAAGCTAGGGAAAAAATTGGCCTACAAAAATAGAAATGAATAAGACAATAGCAGAAAACAATGAACGAGAAGATAATTCAATTCATTACCTCCATCCTCAGAAAATCAGATAAAAAAGGCTCCTCAAAACAATATCTGCTTCCAGACGAGTGATCCCGCCTTACACTTTTATTACCCGTCTTTCTCGGTAATCTGCGAGAATTACTCTTCCTTCTGTCCAGTTTAGGAGATGAATTCTGCAACTGAATCAGTGTGGAAAAGTCAACATTAGATGATCGCCAAAAAAATCAAATGAATAACTAGTAAGAGACGAAACAAAGGCATTAACACAAAGCTTAAAGCAGGATCTTATCCAGAAGAGGAATTTACCCAACATTTATTATGCAAAGTATAGACATCCCATTATACTACTGGCGAGAGAGTTTTTGGGAGAATAGCTGAATAGGGGATCATATCATCAAAGTAAGCATAAAATTTTAACACCAGAGTTCAATACAAAGGTGACCTTTATACACTAAACACGCAGACAGTAACAAGAATAGCATGTCTCTAAGATAGTTTCAGCAATCCACCAAAAGTTACAGTCCACTAAAGTATCTTGAAAAATTTATAGGCCTTCAAAATCACTCTATAGAGACAAGTAAGAGTTGCTCTGTGGTACAACTTGTCTCTCTCTATGTGTATCTAAAAGGTTTCATGATGTTTACACCTTTTCTCCTTGTTATATATATTGTCTAGGAGACATTGCCAATCTGGAATTTATGAAGTTTCAAGTCGACAAAAAAAACTTGCTCCTTATCATATGGTGTTTTAACGAAAGCAAAAATGAAGAGATACAGGCTTTTGGAAACAATATCGCTTATAAAATTGAAAATCTGTATCGCATCCCCAAATGAATAGATATTTCTGAGGTCCACAAAGTTCGCTAACATTGATCCCAAGTGCAGTTCCTTCCCCAACCATGTTTCAAAACTTAGACGATGTATGATGCAATTATTTTCTCAATCTTCATGTATTTGACTTAGAACACTCCACATTATCTTATAATAGCTATTCCAAAAGACATCTACCTACACAAGCCCAGTCAGGATATGCAAGGATCCATATTAAAGTTTAAGGTTCAAATTCTTCAGCACATCATATCAGTTCTACTTTGTATAGAAAGGGGTGCTCAGTGTACAAAGCTCGTGCCAGTGCAGGAGGGAGCGTTAACCCAGGTGCAGAGACTGAAAGGCTGTTTCCATTAATTGAACCTGTGATACCCGGGAAACAATGGAGCAACCTTAGCACCATGCCAAGGCCAATACTGTGGACAAATGATTAAGAAAAATATGGAGAAGAAGAAAAAGTTCAACATTGCAGTGAAAAAGAGCCAGTATGTAAGGCAGGTAAAAAACACTCAAGATGAAAGGCCTTTCATCCCACTGTTTTGCTAAGGCAACAACTTCAGACCGACACACAGAAACAAAGTAATTGGGACCAAAGGAATAAGAACCCCTGTTCAAAGGAGACAGAATTCTGTCTTACCATCCCTCATCATCAAATCAGTTTCAAGGAATTACATTGAGAAAGAAAATATTTGTTCTAATATATTGCATATGATTTTGGTTGTCACCTCATTTAACAAACTAGAATCAATCCAAACAGCATGGTCAATCTCTTCAGGCTCGATGTCAAGTGCAGGTTCTTTAAAGTCGACGCAAGCATTAGATAGAACAGGAGGCAAAAGACTTGCTTTATCGGTGAGAGAGAAATCCAACAGTAAGGGCCCAACTTTTTGACCACTGCAAAAAAGTCGAAAAACCTAAACAATCAGTCACCAGTGATTCCAATGTAACAAGCAATGGTCAGCTCATCAAAATAAAATACATATACAATGCATCACATCAATCCTACACGTACATTATAGCACTAGTTTAGTTCATTCAACTTTCAAAAATAAAGAACCAAAATTCAAATCATAAAGCAACACATTATCTCACCAAGCTAAATTATGTTTCTGTTACCAGACAAACATTTCAAATCTGTTACTGGTTAAAAATCAATTTAAGGTAAACATGTTCTACCATAAATATCCAAAGCCAAGCATAGGATATGTGGCAAGCTACTGAAAGTTTTCTTATGCCCAGAACTTCATCAGTGTTAATGACTAGTAACAAACTGTGACTTAATGATATATTTTATATATCATTTACAAATTAATTACCAGAAGTGTCTCGTTATTCAATCCAGTAATTTTTTCTAACTGAAACTACACACGAACATCATACCGAAGACTAAACGTTCAAATAAAAAAACCAACATGCTTGTAAGCGAAATAATGTAAACAAACACCAATTGACAGTTCATCGTACCACTTGGAGAGATAGGGATGCTCTGGTACCCGTCTACCTTGCTTTATACAATCTTCAACCCATCGATGGTTGACTATAAGCATGTTGAACTTCCTCGCGAGCTCGTATTTCCTCCCTCTAAATTTCCAACAAACCTGATCATTCGGTCAATTTCAAATATATATATTTACATCACTCACTCGATAATAAAGAAATATAAAATCAAAAGCTTGAAAAGAAAATCAACAATTTCGGAAAATAAGAAAACAGACCAAATGTGTTGTGGATTGATTCATCGCCCCAACATAGCTTGCACCAGTCTGAGATATCAGTTTGATGAGTTTAAACCGCTCAGAACCGTGATATCCACTGACCGTAGCAACAACTGATTCCATGCCTTGGAGGGGGAAATTCACGGAAGCTGTACGTTCAAAAGATTATAAATCCGATTAGGGAAACCCTAATTATTGAATTCCCCGATCTATTAATTCTCATCCCGAAAGCATCTTTGTGTATAGATATATGTCTATATGTGTGTACGTGCACATTTACAACCACACACAGAGAGAGAGAGAGAGAGAGAGAGATGACCTTTGCATTGCTGTCGAAGCCAATCGTCTTCCATGGAGGTTCTGTGCACAGACCTTTGCCGGGAAAGTGAATATTTTGAATTTTTGAAGACGAGTGGCGCATCGATTTACACAATAAAAAAAAAGAATTTGTCCCTTAATCACTCAGACTTCTAACATTTAAAATATTATACACAGAGTTCTTGAGGTTTAGACGTGCGTAATACTTAAAATTTGTAAATATATAATACTTAAACTCATTGAGTTTAAAATATTATATTTAAACTCAAAATATTTCAATCAAATATAGAATATCAAATATTTTAAATTTTATTGTATCATTTATTGAAATAAAATTAAAAATAAAAATTTATTTTTTCTTAAAAAATCGTAATTAGATATAATTATACCATCTATTGGAATCAAACTAAAAAATCAAACAAGAGGTCTAAGTCATTCATAATAGAGCATGAATTTTACATCTAAAATTTATGTTCTATTATTTTATTTATTAAACTAAAATCAAAAATAAAAATCTAATTTTTTTAAAAAAATCATAGTTATTATATAAATTATACTATCTATTAGAATAAAACTAAAAAATTAAATAATAGGTCAAACTCTAACTGACATAATATCTTTTAGTTTTAATTAAGATAGTTTGGTATTTAATTTGGTTGTTTAAACGACCAAATTAAATTCTAATAGATAATATAATTGTAAACTAATTATGAATTTTAAAAAAAAAAAATTATTTTTGATTTTATTTCAATAAATGATACAATATAACATGAATTTTGATTGTAAAATTTAAAATATTTGATATTTTAGCATTAATTGGAGTATTTTTTGTCTAAATATAATATTTTAAACTTAAGGAGTCTAAGTATTATATACTTATAAACTTTATAGGGTTTAAGTGTAATTTATTAAATGATATATTTATATCAAGGATCGAAGTGCTATGTCCGTACAAACGTCAAGGAGTTTGTGTGTAATATTTCAAATATCAGGGGTCTAAATAATTAAATGACAAATCTCAAGAGGTCTAAGTATAATCTTCCCTTTAAAAATTTCATTATCATAGTTCACAGATCGGGTTGGGTCGGGTTAATACTCTCGAAAGTAAATTATAGCAAATGGAACATTTTGATATATGTCCCTTACCATTTCTCTCGTCTTAAAAAGCCCCATTAGTTTTGAATTATCTCAATTTTACTCCTCATTTTTTTAAGATTTTAGTAATCAGTTTGTTCCAATCTCCTGTTCAACCAAGCTCGATTTTATTGTCATTGGTCTAGACCCTGGTCCACCATGGAGCTTAAATTTTTGTCCAAACTCGGCTGGACTTGAGCTAAAAATTAATATACATTTTTAGCAAAAAAAATTAAAAAAAAAAAATTAATCTTATTTACTAATAATCAATCATAAGTTAATTTATTCGTTAACAAAAATTCTATCAACATATGTAAAATCAACCATGAAATCGAACCCTAAAAATTGATATCTCCCAAGCCTCTACTACATAAAAAATATATATAGAAAGGCATAAATAAGCCGGTATACATCCTCAGCAATTGTAACAATCAATACAAAAGCTTAAAGCTCTTCCAATTACAGCTTATCAGGCTCCTCCCAACAAATGAATTACTTTCATCCACATATTCGCAAATGTAGAACTTATCTAACCCCCTTGCTCGTACCTCAATATCTGGCAGAACACTTTCACCATGGAAGCATTTGCAAATCTGAAACCGATAAAATGTATCCAGTTCATCTAGGGACAGGTTTTTCCACCTCGTGGTGGAGTGGAGGAGCCTCATAACCACTTCCGGTAGGAGTAGATCGTGCTGCAGACCCGTAACGCACGTTGTTCACAGGTGCTGCCTGCCCTTGAAGTCCAACAGTGCCTCTGGATGAAGCATCAAAGCCAGCAGCCCCAGCACCCTTCAACTTATCATAACTGGGTCCTCTCAGAACATCATATGCTGGTCCTCTTTGTGCCTCGTATCCAGATCCTCTCTGTGCATCGTAAACAGGTCTTCTCTGTCCATCATAACCAGGCAATTTCTGAGGATCATAACTGGATCCCCTCTGCATGTCGTGGCTAGGTCCCATCTGAGCATTGTATCTGGGACCTCTCTGCGCATTGTTCCCAGGCGCCCTTGACACATCATAGCCAGGTACACTGGGCACTCTCTGTGCATCATAACCAGCCATTGCAGGAGAGACCCCAGATCGAGCTCTAACATGAGGACCACCACCAGCTCCAGCCCCACTGCCCCCTCCAGGAAGGGGATCTCGTCCCTGTTATGCATGGCACAAGATATACAATCAAGCTTCATTGCCATCTACCCCCATAATACTATAGAAGGAAACAGGAAAAGAAAAAGAAGCTTCACGAAATTCAAATTCAAGTGAAAAGAGTTCCCTGTAAGCTTGATTCGCACACCATAAACAGATTTAAACTGGCATCATTTCTTTGAAACATCATGTTGCACTGAAACTAACCATTGACTCTTGGGAAGTCCGGCACACATGACACAACCATCCTGACAAGCTAAGCCAATTGACAGCATTTATACCCACAAAGAAGCTGCATTACAGAATTAGTAGTGTGCTACTTTTCGCTGGCTTGTTTCCAAGTCATTTTAGAGGGGGCAGAAAACAGAAGAGGAAAGAAAAACTCTAGCGATTGTATTCCGTACATTTCAATACTATTTGGTTGGATTCAGGGTAACACCTGATGAATTATTTAGTCTTGTGAGAATAGTTTCTTCAAAGAACTTCTAACATATCTCAATTAAACTATGGAATTGATTCAAGAATAACAACAGGGGTTCCTATGAAACGTAGGGTACTTCTCCCCTTCCAAGATTAGCATTTTGAAACCTATATTTCCCCTTCAAGAAGAAGAGTGGGGAGTACGTTGAAATCTTGCCAACTCGATATGTGTTAAGACCTTGGTATTGTGTTCATACCGTTGTATTGAATGATCCCGGTCGGTTACTGTCCGTCCATATAATGCATACAACTCTGGTTGCTGGTTGGGCCAGTTCAATGGCTCCATAGCAGTTTTTGATCTCTTTGACCCTGTTCTTGATCCAATGTGGAGGCAGAATACTAAAATACTCTTTCAGATGAATGAAGAATTACGTCACTCTTTGATCGAATAAGGCCTACAAGCTCTCTCTTCTATGCCAGAGATCTCTCCACACCAAGGAAGCATTTGACACCATATTTAGAAGGAACTAACACGATGAACCTTGTATGTTAAGAAATATGTGGGCTTTGGTTACCAAGGACTTGTAGGGCACTACTGTTTTTTGCATTACAAATGGATGGAAAGCATCACGTGACTTATAGATGGGGCTATGTATATTTAAGGCTGCTTCTCTAGGGTTTGTTGATTGGTTATTAATAACAATGCGTAGTCCCTTATAAAATAAAATAAAAAAGAAATATGTGATGTTTCCATTAGCTCATCTATCCCATGGGCAGTAATCACGTGATCCACATAAGAAACCAGCCAAACCGAGCATCAAGGTCACAAACCTGGGAAAGACCATAGCTATTGTCATAGGCATTTTGTCCAACAGGGTAATGCCCAGTAGCATCATCATTGTCATATGTGTCACCACAAGGCCCACCTACATTTAATTTACAAATTGTGAGCAATATAAATGTTGGGATTTAACAATAATTTAAATCCACTAACAAACACACACAATCGAAGAACAAATCAAGAATATAAAGCAATAAGAAACAAGAAAGAACAAGATACAAATTTTACGTAGTTCGGCAATTTGCCTACGTCCACGATGCTGCAGGAATTTCACTATTGAGAGAGTTGAATACAGAAAGCGGCTGTACAATCCACAATTAACCCTAATCACCAAAACAACAGGTTTTATATGTCCTACACACTGGGCTATATAACGGACCCAAAAATTTTCGCTCCATGGACTAAGTCCCAAAAAATTTTTCATTAAAAAACCACACAACATTACTTCAGGTCGGGTCATCATCCGGATCACATATACAAACTAGACTCCATAAAAAACCAACAATAAAAACTACAAAAATTATGACAGTCTAAAAGAACAATGTAAGAAAAAGGCAATGCATGTGAAGTAAAATGGATACCAGTTCTATCAAGGTTAGTACTATTAGCCAGATCTACCCTAAGCTGTTCCACCTCTCTGGCCATGGTTACATAGTTCTTCTCCATCACTTGAAGAGATTCAAGATGGTCGTCGTACAGTTTCTTCTCATAGGCGTAGGTAACCCTGTACCGACCAAATCATAAAAGTCAAGGCAGTCCATATCCAAAATCAAATTCACAATAAAAGCACCTGCAATAAAGAACTACTAACAACAAAACCTGTGGATTACATATCTACAGATTTTAGATCAACTGAGACTTTATTAGCTTCAAGCCTTCAATAAACTGAGCTTTGAAGTCTTTCCCCAGAATCCAGCACCAAAATTTTAGGAAAACCTCATAATGGACCATTCCAGAAAGCCAAAGATAAAGCATATTGATGAGCCCAAGCACTGAATTGGGCATGGGCATTCATCTTGATACAGCAAAGAGTCCAGACACTTCAAGTCCATTCTCAGTACATTTGCTGCACAAAGACACGCATAAACAACAAGGGAATAAAATACCTGCAATGATGATACTCCTGTCTGAGGCTCTCAAGTTCAGACATAAAACCAGGGATCTGCTGCACAGCTGAGTGAGCCCTCTGAAGATCCTGCGTTACTTGCTGCATTTCGGAAGTTCGTTCCTTCCTTGCTGCAATCAAGCTCTGCACAGCTGCTCGTGCCTGTTGCAACTCCATTTTAATAGGCTCCGTGGCTTGCAGTGCAGCTTCCAAGTTTCCAATTTTATCCAGAAGACCTCTCATCTGATGTTCCCTCTCAGACTTCACGGAACCTATGTGAGCATGCACCATGTGCAGCTCATGCTGTGCACCAGCGAGTTCCTTTCTTAAGGTTCCATGTGTAGCAGCAAGCCTCTGGTTTTCTTTTGCAAGCTTCTGCATCTCCACATGTTGTGCAGCAAGCTTCTGTTCCATAACTTCTATAGGCGGCAACATATCAAAAGGAGGGAAAGCACAAGCCTGCGAATGTATTCCAGAACCGAATGGATCAGGATGCCTTAGGTGAGGAGGTGGAACTCGACCTTTGCTTCCCATTTTGAGTTTCCAATTTTCGCCTGTGAGTCATAAGTAGACACATATGATACTGAAAGGCAATACACTAAGATATTACCACAATTGATATTATCTAATAAACACGGATACGGGTAATTAAAATAACTATATATATTTTTATATATATAACAACATTAATAATAACAATCCAAAAAAAACGCAGCAAACACAGCAGCACAGCAGGAAGAGTGGAAGACAGAATCACAGAACCCAGATTTTGAAAACCAGCAACACCGGACCAAAAAAATAACAGCACATCAACAGCAAAAAACCCCCCAAAATTTGAAAACCCTAAATCCCTAATCCAATCAAATTTTTTGAAAGCGCCCCAACAGGACAGAAGTAAGAAAAAAAGAAGATCTTAGGTAACAAAAAAGAACAGAAAGAAGAACCTTGTAAGTGGTAACAGCAGTCGCAGGCAGCGGGTTGATCTTTCTCTTCCCTCTCCTTCTTCTCCTCCTCTTCTCCTTCTTGTTGAAGGCTAGATCGTGCAGTCGTTCTCCTCTCTCTCTCTCTCTCTCTCTCTCTAGATGGAAAGTGAGAGACTGGGAGTCGAAGCAGAACCTTGACCGTTCAGCCTTTCCCTTTTGTTTTTTACTTTTTTCAAATCGCCGTCGCCTATTTCCTATGTTTTTTGTTTTAACTCTTGAGCCGAATTTCTAGCCGCTTGAAAATTTTACTGTTTAATTAAAATTAAAAAATTATTTAAATTTAACTCGTTTAAAAACTTATTCAAGTTAAAATTAATTTAAAAAATGAGTCGAATCTGAGTCAAAGTCAAGTTAAACTCAAATAACTTAATTTTATTAACAGCTCTACTGTGATATCTCCATTTTAGCTAAAAAAAAAATTATATTTATTATGCAAGACACTCATAGAAATATCGAACAGTTGTTCCACATGTGTTCATGTCAGACACATCTCCGATATTGTCAACGCTATTCCTACCGAATATCTGTACTTTCTAGAATTTTATACACGACTAATCTGTACCCACATTAATGCTTGTTGCATTATTGGATAGCTATACAAGTACCTGTTGAAATTGCAACACAAAATCAAAGCTTATAGCTATAGCTCGAAATCAATGAAGGCCAGATGAAATATGTGAAAACAAAAAGAAAGAAAAAAAGAAAAGTGCATTGCATTTGAAGTAGGATATCTAGGGAAACCATAGAGAAGCAAAACGTGAATACAGCCAAGCATCCAAGCTGAGTTGAACGATAGTGAAGATTAAACAAATATCATAAAAAAAAAAAAAGACACTATGATGTAGATTCCATAAGAATAGCCTCGAGTATATCTCTTAAACTTTGTAATCAATCTTATCGCAATCTTAATTATCATTTAACATCAAAACTACAAAACCTAAAAACAATACTACCTAATAAACTTATTCCAATACCGTCCCAAAATTATAAAACCATAACTCAACATAATCACTGAACAGCAATGTTTGGACCAAAAAAAAAACCTCAAATCCACAAACATCCATATGATTTAAAAAATTTGAATTAAACTCTTCACTTAGGTCGTAAAGAAATTGAAGTTTTAGTTTGCAAAAGCAATTAGAATATAGGCAAAGACACGTGTAATCTATAATTTGAGAAAAAAATATAGGAGGTTGATCTAATCAAAAATTGTACCAAAATAGAGGAGAGTCGATTAGTGAAGCCTACCCCAATGACAGTTTGGTTCTCGCGTGGTAATGTTGTAATCATAAACCCTAAAAACAAAGAAGTAGTAACTGTGAAAGAGAATCGATGCACCCTCCCTCACCTTGTAATCTATACATTAGAATATTTTAGAACTCATTTAGAAATTGACATCCTTTTACCAAGGTTTGATGGTGTTAGAATTTGAGAAACGTAAATTGAATGAGATGAAAAGTTTTACGTGCAGTGTGTTGTGTCTTGTGTGTTTGTGTGTTAAAGGAGGTAAATAATGCACAAGAAAGTAAAATGATTCGTCCAATTAAAGTAGAGGTTCTTACTCCTTGATACACATATTGGGGATCTCTCATTGAGGCAGAGTTACACAATGTCTTTAAAATATCGTTGTAGAAGTGATGATGTGGCTGTTAAAATGGAGTAACTTCTTGCAAAGATAAGGTTAGATGGAGAAAATTCTCTTTTACTCCTTCTGGTATCTTTCGTGATGTCCATCATCTTTTGGAGTTATCAAATAGGCAACTTAGACAATTGGTGTCGATTTGGCTCGTCATGTCCTGGTATCTTTCGTGATGTCCATCATCTTTTGGAGTTATCAAATAGGCAACTTAGACAATTGGTGTCGATTTGGCTTGTCATGTCCTCGTTGCTCGACATGTGCTAACCTAACATGTCTTTTAGTCTGAAGTCTGAACTACATATTTTTCTTTTATCATCAAGGTTAAATTAAGATAAGAGTCTTGAGGGATTTCTATAGTATAGATACATTTTTTAAAAAACTTCACTACCATTCATTAACAACTAAAATAGCAAACAACGGATTTTAAGATGTTATCATCAAACATATAATTGTGTGGAGATAAATTTTCTTAGAAAACACTTCTCAAAACACACATTTACAAAACAGACCACATTCTTTAAAAGCCCATCATGCAAAATTCATTCTCAAAACGTTCTTTTTTTTCTCTCTAAAACGTTATTAAACAGACTTAATTAATAAGTGTTAAATACATTCATTTTAAATGTTGAATTTGAATTAACAAACACACTCTATGGCAACATTGAAAATTGGTATTTTTTTTTTTGTTCGGTTCGACGATTAAAGGTGTCCATGACAACATTAGAAATGGGCATTTTCTGTTGATTAGCCAGTCATGAGCCAAAAACTTTAATATGGAATAACAGTATAATTTTTATACAATAGAAGATGTCTCCGTAATTATTAGAAACACGATCCTCCGCTTCATCCAGAATCCTTTATTTCCGATCTGGAGCTACAATCAACCAACAAAGCCCCAAACAAAGCCTCTCATAGTTTCAGAAATGTGTTTATAATTCCCATCATCTCACTCCCAGGAAAACGCCCAAGGGAACCCCTTGCTGCAGCTATATCATTAAACTCGTAAACAGAATCGCCACAGAAAGCTTGAAGCTGCTTGCTTCTTTTCTCTTCCTCTGTTTCCACAGCATCTGCTAAATCTTCGCCAGCTTTGATGGTTGGAAGGAGAAATGGATCGAGCGACGTATCCAAGAGAACCGATTCCCCACCCAGTGCACCCAAAAATCTTTTAATCGGCACAATGCAAATGGAACTGGTTCAAAGCTGTGATCTCCATATTCAACCGGAGTAGAGTGGTCTCCGGTGACACAAAGGGAGAATTGAAAATTCCCAGTTGATTCTGCCTCCCAAAGGAGCTTCGCCAGCTGCCCTATTGCCCGATCAACAGCTTCCAGACCTTTAACTTTGAAAATGCTCGCTTTATCATGACCAGCATCATCTATTGCCTGCCAAGCCAACAATCAAGACTTTTAGCATCCCCATAGATCACAGATGTTGCACCATACGCATATAAACCTTAGTTTGCATGGCTAGTTGGCTTATGTAAATGATTTAGACAACAAAAAATTTATTATCACTCCTTCCAATTTTATTTAAATGGTGAAAACTTCCCTAAACATGCACAAAAAGTGTAAATCAAGATGGTCCAGGATTTTGAATTAATGATGAAAGAGCCATCATAATGGCTCTTTGGACAAAGCATGCACTTATAAACTCATGCAAGGAGCCAATAAGTGAAAGAAAATAATTTTATTCAAGCCTCAAATGCATAAACATTGATAGCATAGATTTTACTTTTTTTTCCTTATCTAGTTGGTTAAATTTTTGGAAGAGGCCAGGTGTTTGAAAGAATGTGAAACAATGCAGGAAAATGGGAAAGAACGAGAGACAGAAGAAAAATAAATTGCCACCTTAATGTGAAGGAATCCAAAGTCATAGCCATCGTATCGGCCAGGTTTGTGCTCATCTTCCCCTGGTACAAAAACATTGGGGCAAGACTGCACAGGAGCTGAGAGTGCCTTAGCTATGGCAATTGCTTTGGATGTTAATAAGGTTCTATAGTCTCCTGTTGCTCCTGGAGCTTCTAGGATATCAATACCTAGTGATAAGCCCAGGCCAGCTATAATTTTGGTAGGTGCTACCATGCATGGCCACAGCCCTTGCTTCTTATCAAACGGAGGAACCTGCAATGCATGAAAAAACAAAATCAAAAACAAAAACAATAACAAAGAGACATGTATTATCAGATGAAGTACCCAGAAAAAGTAGAGCTCTAAATACATAGCCATAAACATAAAGACGTACAAGCCCATAATTTGTCTTGTAAGAGCAACAATTCATTAAGAATCTCAAGGTTATCTTTGAGGTATGGAATTTCATAGGCTTCAACCACGGGAAAAAAAAGAAGACAGAATGCAAAAACATTATGGACTTCATTAATCCCCACCATCTTACCCCCATCCCAGTACGCACCAGGTGCCACTCTGACAGTCTGACTTAATACAATTTTCTGAGAATTTCATCCTACTTGCAAAATAAAGAAACAGTTAACCATCTAACCAAAAGTCAACTGCCAACCCGCCAAAACCAGAAGCTCAATGCCTTTTTTTTTTTGTCTTTTTGGCATTTATTATCATGCTTTTTCTTTTTCTTTTTCTTTTTCTCCCCTTCATTTCTAGGGGGTGTGCCTGCTCTATAGTGAGGCAACTTGGAACCTAAACAAAAGATAGAAGTGTCAAATGAATGGCTACAGATAAATGAGACTTGCTTGGTAGGAGCTTCAAATAAAGATTAACACCTAGAGGCTTGACCTTTTCTTCATTTTGCCTTTCTTGTATTTCCTTCATCCAATCTTGAAAAAAGCACCACAAAAACTATTAATATCGCTTTGGCACCAGAGGATCAGGTGTTTTCTTAGTTGTAGTATCATGGATACGTGAATCATGTTTTCTTTTAAATGTAGTATCATAGATCGCCAGAACCTCAGAGGACCCAAGAAGGTGTGGATGGAGGAGAAGGAAGGCAAGAGATAAAGGCAGTGATTTTGTTGGAGCCAAAGGGGGGTCCATTAAAAGTTCCCTTGTCAAGAGTCGTGGGGTATTTACGGACAAACCAAATGTGTGGCCTACAAATGTGGATGGCTCCAATGGGGCTGGGACATATGTTTGCCAGCTACGGATTATGCCTATGGACTTAAGATGGCCCCACAGTTCAAATCATAGTTACCATAATTCACTAAACTCTGACAACTCACGATCTGGGTATATCGATCACAAATAGAGTGGGTTCGCAATCTAGATCACAAAACATGTACGACCCCAAATTGTAATAATACTAACCCTAAATCGATTTGCTTTGGAACATGTAGCACAAATATAAAATACATATTAAATGACTTCATGTATATAGATTTATAATTATATATTATTTTAAATAATAGAAAATTAAGCACAAATGTAAAATAAATAGTAACTAACTTGGTGTTTATAGAAACAATTTAAATAAGAGTTCCAAAACAAACTGCGACCCAAAACACCGTACCAACTAAGTCCACTCCTGTCGTACCGCATACCTAAGACAGTGTCGTACCGTGTACTAAAGTGACCCACAATCTAAGTAACGTTAGTTCAAATGGCCTTGCTACGCACACCCAACCATAAGCAAAGGTAGTGACCTATTCCCATTGACTGGTATCCCTTGACTAGCACACACACGATTGATTAAATGATAACATAATTTATTCCTACAAGAAATGTCCTCAAATGTGCGTGTGCACGGATGCAAGTATGGGGCTTTGTGTCCGTTTTTCTCATTTTTAGTGTGTGTCTGTGCATGTGTGTGTGTGTGTGTGTGAGAGAGAGAGAGAGAGAGAGAGGCCATGGAGTAGGGAACAAACCTCAATTCTAATACCACAACCTCGTAAAAGGACAGCATTCGCAATGCTTTTTCCTTCTGATGCCCTTTTTGCATTCAATGGATGAGCAACCAGAATTTTTGTTATCTCTGTCGATAATTCGTTAACCACTGCAGCTGTGTGCTTTGCTTCATCGGTATCATCGAGAGCTTGTGCTTGTAAAAGTAAGCGGTTATCCTTCAAAGGGTCTGTTCCTGATATATTTCCGCTTAATTTTGGTCCTTTCACAACCACTCCACATCTATGCTCCGTTGCATACCTGAGGGCCATGATTTGCATTATTTCTTCCAATTTCTTGTGAGATTAGAAAACCAAGAATTTACAAGAAATTGCCTACTCATAATAAAATATAAATACAATTTACTTCCTGATGAATCTTGTATGCAAGACACAAAGGCAAATATATTGATGAGTTTGTTTATCTAGAGGGTATTGTTCAGGTGAAAAACTTGAATCCTAGATAAATTTCGTAAGTTCCAACGCGGGGACGAGCAAAAAATGAAAAATGGAAGACTGAGCACCTGACTCTGACTTCGTACTGAGGAAAAGATGGTAGCTTCATTCCATCCAATGCTGCACAGAGGATAGGCCCTTCTTCTTCAAAATGCCTGTCAGCCCTCCTACTAGTGACTATTCCAGTTTTCTCATCCAGGGTTGCAAAGTTTGACTGTAGAGAAGAATGATGGTCAAGACAAGAAACAATCACAGCGACCAATAAATTTCAGAACAAAGGATTGATAATTTTATTTATGGAATAATATATTTCAATGAAATCTTCCTGAATACAAGTACAATAGAAAGAACCTTTGTTAGATGGAATCTATTTGGATGGTCGTAGATATGGCTTAGAAGTTACTGTGTTAAGTAGTTCAATTTCTGCCAGATGTTGTAGGACGTACGACACTGTCTGATGCATCAGCAAATTTAATGACCAAACATGACTTCTTTCTACTCACATGCAAATTTTCTTAAGATCCTATAGATCAAATGCAGCCAACTTTTAACTCACAAGGATGCTCTGATTTGGAACATCACTATTTCAAAGCTTGACATCCCAAAGGAAAGCCAGAATGGACAAATGCTTAGTCAAGAACTACATAATTCCATGATAAGTTCTATAAAGAGAATAAAACTGGATAGGAAACCATCATGTTTAAAAAATTAGCATGGATCCCAAAGTTACTATTCAGGGATTATGATGTATGCCTAGTTACAGAATAATGAATAGCACAATCCAATAACCCATTACAAATAATTAGAACTAAATAATATAAAGATGGATGGGATTATACGTACTTTAAAAGCAATATCCCCTGGTGACATCACCAGTCCAGCACCCATTGACTCAAATGCACCTCGACCTCGGTAATACACCCTAGGATCATAGCCCAATAAAGAAAGGTGAGCAGTGTCACTTCCACAACCCAATCCTACTTCGACAGGGTCCATTAGACCATTAACTCCAGCAGACGCAATGGCATTCAAATTGGGTACTCTGGCCACTTGCAGAGGGGTTTTGCAGCTAAATCTTGGCAGCGACACGTCTCCCAACCCATCAATCAGCACAAATGCCACTCTTCTCCTGGGCTTCTCCGACATGTTCTCGTACATTGCTCTAGTCAAGTTCCCCTTATTTAAGACAATAAATAGAGATGAACAACCCAAGAAATGGTAGCGCAACTTATTTCATGCCTTCACTGTGACCGATTGAAAACCAAATCAGACAATTTTCTCCAATTAAAACAAGGAGACTGGATATTGTTGCATAGATAATAATGATTTGTTTTCCATTTGCATAATTTTTTTCAAAAATCCAAATGGAGCCTGACGTGATACAGAGTGCCAATTACGGAGTTTTCAGCATATTCACAGGCCAAATTCTTTGTATAGATTCGCAGTACAACTCAAGTTGGCAAAATTGTTTCCAATAATGGAAGTCGAAGACATAGGGCTAAAACACATGAGAGATTAAGAAAGGAGACGAGATTGTAAAAATTGCAAATATGATATTAAAAACGACAAAAAAAAAAAATCCTTTCGTCTAACCAAACAAGACTAACACACACAGTCATCTTTCAACAAACACGGCGATTGCACTTTAATGACTAGTTTATCAATAATATATATATATATATATATATATATATATATATATATATATATATATGTATGTATAAAATAACAATTGAGGAGAGTGATCTGAAATTGATACAGCATTCAATTAGGTTCTTCGTAATTAAACCTTAAATCATTAGCAGAAATCCATACACCAAAGAACAATAAACTCCTTCCAGTACACAAAAAATTGAAATTGTTTTGTTTCTCACTACACGTTAAAATCATAGGCAATCTTCATGGTATAAAATGGATCATATAATCACGATTACCTGTGTGGAAAGCTTGAGTTGGAAATCTCTTCGATTCGTATGATACTCGGAAGAACAACAATAACAATAACATCTTCTTTCAAATCTCTCTCTCTTCCTGCCTGCAGTATTTTGCTTGCATTTTCGCGGCTTCAGTGTTACAAAAGCTCCGTGTGGGAATCTTCTTTTGGGGAAAAGCTAAATTGTGTTGTCTACCATTGATGTTCGATTGTTCTGAGCTTTTCTCAGTGTCCGTTTTTACTCTGCTTTGGTCCCCCCCCCCCCTCCATATTACAGAAATTGCAGGAATGCCCATAATGGAAAATCAAATATATCAAAGAAGGACCACATGAGTTTGTTGTAATTTTGTTTTGATTTAATGGAAGATCAAAATAAATGAAAAATATTGATATAATTCATTAATTTGTAATTTATTCTTCAACATTGGTATAGTTTGTTATATTGGACACAGTAGTTACTCTTTTAACCCTCTTGGAGCATCTCCAACAATAATAGCTATTTTAGCTATCCAAAAAATAAATTTTTTTATTTTAGTTACTCATTTTTTCAATACACACTCTAACATATTCTTTATATTTTTAACTACTCCTTTTAAATATTATTTATCATCTCTTTTGTATTATATTTTTTGAGAATAGTGAAAAGGAGAAAAAAAGAGAATGAAAGAAATGAGAGGAATAGAGAAAAAATAATATATATTATGTTTACATATTTCTATAGTGATGCTTTAGAGCATATGAACATAATCTGTTGAAATGTTATTTTTGGTTTTGATTAACTAAAATTTTTCTATTTTGAGCATTTGAAGTATCTGTTGAAAATCCTCTTACAATATTAGATACTGATATTACCAGTTGTTATGACGTGAAATTATTATTTTAGTATTAAAAAAAAAAAAAAATTAAAAATAGTTAAAAAATTTAATAATAATACCCATTTAAGGATTGATATTTGGTTGGGCCAAAACACTAGTCAAATTGTCTAGAGTTAGCCGGGCCCAACTCTTAGAACTATACTCTTAAATTATATCTCAATAGTTTTACTCTGATTTTTACGACATTTCAGTTCAAATGCCAATATCCAAGTCTTTTGAAATATGAAATTGGAGACTTCCATTTTAATATGATTGGTGCCACCATGATCGGGCATTATTATGTAATAAAATCACATCATTAGGTAAATAAATTAGACCAATTTAGGTACCAATAACATTAGTTTATTGGGTTTATTGTCCTTAAATTTGCTTTGGCATCAAAGACCATGGGCAAGTCACCGATTCTTCATATTCTGTGTTGGGCTTCCTTAGCCAACTTGCTATTTTCTTTCCTACTAGATTTTGAATATGTGCACCTTAATCGCATCACCTCCTCCATCATTAGCATCCCTTAAAATATTTTCTTATTTATGCTTTGGTTCAGTTTGCGAAATTCAATTTGTATAAATTCCACTCAGCTCAACAATCTCTTAATTCAAACTATTTGAGTCGGTTATATATAGCATGTTTCTTTATTAACTGTGTCGTATTTTTTGTTTAAATCACATATTATCGTATCATTTTTTTGCTACCTCCTTTATCATTCCTTTTTTTTTTTTACTAACTGATGGTAGGTGGACAAGAGATACATCAAAAGGGTCCAATTTGCTGTTAAGGTGCTGTGTTCAAGTTTGAATAGGATGGTGAATGGGATTTTTTCCAGTGGAATAATGGTAGAGTTGATTCTTTTACTGTGTTTATGAAACTAAGGGTGTGTTTCGATTATATTTTGAAAACATATTTTTTGTTTTTTGAATTCTAAAAACATGCAAAAATATGTTTGGAACAGAAATTTGGGAAACACCCAAAAGGTGTTTTACCCTTTTTTGAGTTCAAAATTGAGGGAACTAAAAAAACACGGAGATAAGTCAGAACCTAAATTTCCAGAGAAGTTTTTTTTTTTAAAGAGACCATTTCTATGCCCAGTTCTCTCCATGTTGACGAGTGCCTTGTTTATACATTGGGCTACTTATTTTTAAGGTGAATGAAAATCGAGGAATTCATTCACTTTTTGAGTATTTTTTAAATGCAATCACACGAGGAAAATAAAACTATGGATATGAAAGAAAGTACATCATAAAAGCTCCAAATGCATGAAACAAGAATGCCATAAGGTGAAAGCTCCATGGGAGAGCTTTCTACATTGTTCAAATCGAAAACTAACAAAAACCCATTGTGTGGATAGCATCACACACTTATCTCAAATTGCAAAAAAAAATAGAAATTGAAAAATAAAATATAAAAAGGCCACCAAGGCAAAGATCAAAAGCTAGAGAGTTGGAGACAGCGGCTCCAGTCAGCTTCATTTGTTCATTCCAGTAGCATCCTTGACAGCATCAGCAGCCCCTTGTGCTTTATCCTTCATCTGTTGACCAGTCTGAATAGCAACAATGCATACACAATACATCATTTTACAATAAAATATATTTTTTAAACAAAACTTAGATACATTCTGACTATGATTTTTGATTGATATGTCACTGCATGTGTTGAAAAATGGCTACAATGCGCATTAGTTGAGTGCACGAGACACCTATCCTTCTAGGGTCCGAAAGGGTTAGTTATATGTATATAACTTTATCCCGCGTATTGGGAGATTATGTGAATCAATATATATTGATATATGTTAAAAAAAAACGAACCTCTTGAATCGATTCCTTGGCAGATTGGGCAGTATCGCTAGCCTTGTCCATCATCTGGCTGGCTTTTTCCTGTAATGAACAACAATTGTACATCATTCCCATCATGCAAACTCAAAATAGCCATTTTCATTGGAAGAGGAAAGAGGAACTCGAATATCACCTGAGCTTGGCCCTTGGCCTCACCAGCATTGTAACTTGCTCTCTGAGAATGGTCCATCTTTGATTTTTCCTTTTGAAAAACAAGCAAACTTAGTTGTTCAGAAGCTCAAACTTTAGATATGCTATATAGTTGGAGTAGGGTGTATTTATAGTTTTACAAATCAATTCATTGCTTGACATGTGTAATTTTGTTTTGGATACGTGTCATCCTGTAACTGGAGATGAAGCATTTTGGCCTTTAGACCAGGGCTGCTATGGATAAGTTATACCAGTTCAATTCAAAGTTGTTTCGAAACTCAAGGGGGCAGTTACTGGGGTCCTTCTCTGTCGAGTTGGGTTGCAGTGTAGATACATTTACATGTCTACGCCGGATTCAAATCTCTCTCTATTTTCCTTTCATAGTCGATCATTCATTCATTCATTGTATATTAATAGATGGCCCACTTTTATATATAATAAATTTCACTTGAATTCACGATTAATACTATATTATAATTAAGAAAATTGTATTAAAGATGATTCAAATTCAAATGTTGAGAGTTACTTTATTTAAACACTAATTAAATGTGGCTTCGCGAGAGATAAGCAAAGTTAAAAGGCTAATGCCGCATTCCCAGAGTGTTTGACAATGATAGGGGCTTACATGAAGTGATTTACGATTATTTTACAGTATCCATATCAAAAAAAATAAAAAAAATTATTCTTAAAGAAAGGTGGTTTCGAATTTATTTCTCAAGGAAATAATTTTTGAACAATGTCATTTGAAAAGCGTCAATGGAATCCATCTGTGTGGTGAGCAATGTGTAGTTTGAAGACGCTTTCACGCAGAAGATGTCCATTGTAATGACGGTTTTTAAAAGTAATTTATTTTATAAAATAAGATTGAAAGTACATGGGTCTGAAAAATTAAACGTGACTACAGTGGAAAAAACTCCATATTTTGGATTCCAATGGTAGTGGCTGTTACTCTTTTATCCGAACAATCTGGACGATTTACAAAGCAGTTTATGCTTTCATTTCATTTTCAAGATTTGTCCTTGTGTATTGCCTTTCAATAAAAAGAAACGAATGCCCACGATAGAGCTCATTTGCCGGGTCATAGAGAACCTAATGATCCGGAAGAAAGAAAATGACAAAAACTTCTTATGCGAATGGTTCTCTGTACCATGTAATGGCCCCAATTTGGCATGAGATACGAATGTAACATCTATTCGCCATCGACGGAGTGACCCCTCAAACCATACAAACCCACATTGGGTCTACTCAATTTCTGATGTGGAAAACGCACACTTGCACTAACAAACCAGACAAAAATAAATAGACAAACAGACTAAAGCTAAACCGAAATAGACAGAAATTTAACTGGGTGAGAGTAGCCCACCAACTAATCAAGATTCAACTCTACACCATAGTAGAGCATCTAACTTAAAATCAATTGACAATTAGTGGAGTAACCCCTCACATATATTAATCTCGGGTTTATTTAATTTCTTGATGGAGACAGTTCCCTTCACCAAACTAACAATTACTAACATGCTCTGCCGTTTGTTGTGCAGAACCATGACATCCAATGTCACACAATTGTAAATTATAATGGACCACTAATAAATCGCGCGATAAATCCACCTCTTGAATATCACATCTGACACACCTTATTGTCCAACTTAAATTAACTTGGATGATGCTCTTGGTCTATGAATGAAAAACAGTCATAATCATTAAAACGAAGTGCCAATATGTTCCAGGATCCCTATACAGAAGTGGCTCAAATTCAACATGAAACCTCAAAATTCCAATTCTGGCACTCATATGCAACAACAAGAAGTCATTTTATTTCAAACAAGATTCAATGGGAAAAAAAATAGATTAGAACCAAAATTTTCTCATTTAAGTACACGTATGCATTCGTGAACGTAATATATAACAAACAGGTCTGAGCAACAGAACGTACTCGTCAGCTTAGAGTTTGATAGCCCAGGGGCCCTTGAATTGTGTCCTGTCTTCTATCTTTCCTCCCAAGAAGAGATGACATCCATGGGAACAGTTTCCCTATTTCCTTGCTTATTGTAGTAGGACTCAGTTGCCTATCACTGATTCCAAACTTCGCTCTTTCTATAGCTTCCATTATGTCTTCCCTCGACACACATTCACCACCTGTGAAATCAAGACAGCATAAGATTATACTTACATTGCCTTTTCATAATCAAGTTTCACACATGCAAACTGAAACATAGCAATTGCAAATTTTTCAACAGTCAAAACAAATTGGGTTGAAGCAATCCTGATTTCCTATACAAGAAAAAACTGGAAAGGGGAGAAACAAGCAACTTTAGTGATATAGTGATCATAAATAGGGTAAGATTAAGGTTACCATCTGGGTAACAAACTGTGCATGAGATTGCAGAAGTGCTGGCAATAAAAACTGAGTGAAAAATTGTCAATGAACAAATTTTTACAAACCTCCACGAGCAGCAAGTAGAGCAGCTTCATTGACGATGTTTGCAAGATCAGCACCTACAAAGCCTTGGGTAAGAGATGCAACCAGGTTGCAGATAAGCTCAGTGTCTTCCTCAAGAGGAACTTCTCTTAGATGTACAGCCAAAATTTTTTTCCTTCCATCTTCATCTGGTTCTCCCACAAATACTTTCCTTGAAAAGCGTCCAGGCCGACATAGAGCTGGATCCAGTGCTTCTGGTCTATTAGTTGCAGCAATGACAACTACATTCACATCCGATTCAAAGCCATCCATTTCCGTCAGCAACTACAAAGCACAAAAGAGTCATAAGATCAACATCAAGAACATCACCAATTGAATATTGTGGAACTCACCTACTTATAGACTAATAAGAATCCAAGGACTTGTCAGGAAATATATCATTAACAATATACAAAGTCTTTGTCGCTGTCATCATTTTCATCATCATCATGCAACCACCATTGTCATATTCTATGGTAATGTATCAAGCTATTATGGCGGAGACTTTTAAGGGGCATTTCTTCTCTCCTCGAGAGAGATCAGAGTTGCCTTTGAAGAGGGTGGGGTTTCTTTCTAGGGAGTTGGATTATAATTCAATTTTATCTCTTGCTCCTTCTGATCCTCATCTTATTTTTTATTACTAACAGGTAGGATTTCTCATCCACGAATACGGGTGATATATACTGATTTCTTCTGCATAATGCATTCAGTTGTACCAATCAAATTACAATTATTCGTCCTCATACTAATGTGCATTGATTTTTTTTCTGCATGATGCATTCTGTTGCATCTGACCAGATTATTATTATTCTCCAAATGACATGCATATGCATGTAACTATGTTACATAGATTCAAACAGATAAACAGAAGTCTAAGCATTGGATACTTGGATTTATCTAATCTCCCAATTGAAGGACATGGAGACACAGCTAAATAGATGGTTAACATAATTTACCAGAGTAAAATATTATTTTGATCAACACTAAAATAGACTATTTGGAATGAGCACTCCATCCATTTTGAAGTAACCAATAAATAAAGGAACACAATAAGAGAACTCTATGTACAACTGTATAGTTATCTGGCATGCTTAGTACTGTTAATGTAAATCTAAAGCTCCACGTTGGTTGGGCAATTAGACATTTAGGACACATACCCTGAGCCAATACCCTTATATTCAGAAGAGCCCATGCAACATAGGTGAAAATGCATACATAGACCAGCTTTGTGAGATTTAGCTAAATATATTTTCAATTGAGGAATTTGGGAAGTTCAGCATAATTTCGTAATCTCACATGGAAAAAGATAAATTCCATCCGCCAAATGACATCAATGTAAGATAAAATTGGTATAGAGACATCAACAATTTTGTGTTGGTCCGATACTTTCACCAGCGTTCATATAGTTCATGAGAACTCGTGAGATGCATATAAATTGGAAGGTGAACTTACCTGGTTTAGTGTTTGGTCTCTTTCATCGTTTAAACTTCTACCACGCTTTCCTCCAACAGCATCAAGCTCGTCAATGAAAATGATTGATGGTGAACTCTTCCTTGCCACACTAAAAAGGTCTCTAATGCGAGCTGCTCCTCTCCCAACAAACATCTCCACAAATTCACTGGCAGAGACGGTGAAAAATGGGACTCTTGCTTCTCCAGCCACTGCACGGGCTAGTAATGTTTTTCCTGTTCCTGGAGGACCCACTAGTAGTACGCCTCTAGGTAACTTGGCTCCAAGTTTACTGTAGTTAATAGCTCCTTGTAGGCACAAAACTATCTATGAACAAGAAAATTATAAATTGATAAGTAAACATTTGGTCCACAAACAAAAATTCAGTTTTGAAAAATGTTATGTCCATTTGCCTTTTAAGTTATTGCTACCTTGTCCTCATGGTCATAAGATCCAGTTTGTACTGACTAGATAATTGTGCAGGGTTCTGTGCATTGTCAACAGAATTACTATGTAGAATTACAGACTTAAAAGAGAAAAAGCCTTATGGTGCTTTCCACATGACTACAAATCAAGCCTAGATGATTTAGGACTATGATAAATTTTAAGGTCAGTAATGGAAATAGCTTACCTCCATTAGCTCTGCTTTCGCAACATCAACGCCCTCCACATCATTGAAGCTAACCAGCTGGTTACTTGGTCTTCGTTTTCTTGCCGGGCTATTAGCAGCAGAAAGTTGACGATAAAGAATCCACATTAAAGGAGTCAAAGGAATCCAAAGTGATATCACAGTGATCAAGATACTCCTGATGGCCATCAACACTGATTGAGGAGCAGAACCATACACAGCCCCTTTTTCTCTCATCAAACTAAGAAGATAACTTTCATCATGGTCTACCTTTCTTGTTGAGTACTGCCACTGGGGTGTAGAAGCCCGCTTCGTAGTAAGTTTCCTCAAAAAATTTGCACCATTTACCTGTTGACTTCTTGCAACATCATTGCTCGCAGCCATATCTACCAAGGTCTCATCCTCAACGCTTCTTGCTAATGCTTTATCTTCAGTCACTTGTGTACTATCACCACTCCATAAGTTGGTGTTGTAATATATACGGCGAGAACCCTCCTCAAATAGAACCCTTGTCACAGTCCCATTTTGAAGGCTCATTACCAAATCAGAGTATTGAACAACCTTAGGAGGTGGCATTGCCGTAAATTTCAGAAACAAATAGCACAGCCCCAGTGCAACAGAAATTGAGGTAGAAACAGTCACTCTTTTAATATTTTTACGCAGAAATGTTCCCAAGTCATTTAACATGGACTGAATCGGAACCCTTTTCAATGTTATCGACAGTAATCGCAATCTTCTTAAAGCAAACTTCTTTCTGACATCATTCTTTTCCCTTTTTCCCAAATGGGTCTCTATATTTCCTTTTTCATTGATTAGTGACCTAATCCTAGCGTTCACGAACAACCTAGTTTGATACTTACAACAAGTATGAAAACCCAATAAAGGAAGCGAAACAGAACCATAGCAAGAGTTGGGCAATAAACAAGAGGAAATTCTGTACCTTCCCAAAGATTTGGGCTTTCCAACACGGAGTGACAATTTTTCATGAGCAAGCAAGAACCCATTATTTGAAGCAAGAACATGAGCCATTTTTCATAATAAATACAACAAATCTTCCATGAAACTCAAAAAAGAAAAAGAACCCAGTACCGGAATTACCTTCAAGAACACCCTTACGAAAGCAATGAGAGCACTATGAATGTGAATTGCTTTTTTGGGATAAGAAGGGTATCATAATACCTAATTTGATAAGCTTGGCGGCTTGACTAGATAAATGGGTGTTCTTCAGCTGGTCTTTTTCGGTGGGAAGACAATAGCAGCCATGGTTTTTAAAAGACTTTTCGCATTTGCCTTGTCGGAGTTTTATATCACAGTTAGTACCATCAATAAAGCCAAGTTCGTCTCAGATAATCTGGGGTACACAAATTTCTTCGTAGGTGAATGGGAAATTTCTGCATCTTGCAACAAATACCCCCAACAGTTAGCAATTTTGCAGAAATTCTGATGGCCCCATGTCTTCTACGGGCAACGGTCCATAAGAACTTCAGGCTGGCCCATCAGGACTGGTATCAAAGACAACGCAACCGTGCGGGCTCAACTGAACCGGCCCATTACTACATTATTTTCTTCGAAAATACAAAAAAATATTGGGTGCAATTATTATACAAAAATATCAAGTGGTATAACTGATTACTAATAAGTAAACAAATTCGTAACTGAGTCCCGTTGAAATTCATAACCACCCAACCTATATACATAACTATTTTCATGATAAGAAGCGAATAATATTCTATATATTTTTTTATTGACATATTATGACCGTTCTATCCAATATTTATTCAGAAAATACACAATTAAAATGGTTATTTTCACTTAAGAGCATTTCTAAGGGGTCTATATTTTCACATAATTTTTTATTTTATATATCGAATTATCACTAACGATAAGATAACCTTAGTCATTAAATAAATTATAAGACTGATTTTCTTGAAATAAGAACTAGTCTTTTATTATTACATGCATTTATCTCACATAAGTGGGTTTAAACTTTCGATCCTTATTAAAATGTGAAACATTGTCATCTGAGTTATCCATGATTGTTAATCCAAACACTAGACGGGAATTAACAATCCAAAACTTATGGTCTTTTTGGTACAAGGGAAAATAGGGTGGATGAAAATGGAGGAGAGATTAATAAGATGGATAGAAAATGTTTTAGCCATTTGGTATGAAGAGAAAATGAGAGGAAGAGGAAAGTTAGAAGTAACGCCTTCCACCACCCCCCGGACCCACCAAAAGTTCTCCCCCAAAAATGGGCGAAAAAATGTGAGAGAATGCTGGGCCTTCTATAATTTTACCATTTACCCTTCTATTTAACATACAATCAGAAGGGCCCACTTCACTGACACAAGCAAACTGTCCCAGAAGGAAGAATCATTATTTCAAATATGACATTCTCTATATTGCCACATGGTAGATAATAAGGTTAAGAGCATTTTTTTGTTATAAAGTATGTATTTTTTTATTAGTTTAGTTTTTAAAATATTAAATTTTTAAATTTTATTTATAAAACATTCAATTCGTGTTAAAATAATTCACATATAGATGAACCGTTAAATTTGACGAAATAATCACGTGTTGAACACGAGATATTGTCTAAAAAGAGTGATACATAGTTAATTTCGTCAAAAAATTTAACGAATTATCTGATTATGAACTAAAAAGACATGAATTTAATCTTTTAAATATTAAATTGATAAAAAAATACATATTTTAAAGACTAAAAACTATTAACCCTAAATAATATAAAAAAAATTACTATTGCATGAATGGTTCAGTTGACATATCCACGTAAAACTCATATGGTAGAGGGATAGAGTGGTAATTTCAAGTTCTTTTCTTCCACTTTTCTCTTAATACCAAATAATATAAATTATCATTTTAATTTTCATCCATCATACCACGAAGAAAAGTCCATTTCTTTCGTGAGGAGATGGAAAATGGAATCCCTTAAATTTTTTTTCATTCTATTTTTCATCCTCGGGACCATTGCTTTTTAAAACCCCTTTATCTAATATTTTAGTACCTGGGCCCAGAAATATGATATATTCACTAACTACCTCAACGTCTTCGTAAAATAAACCATGAACGACGCCGTTGGGCATCTCCAAACTGCAAAACGCGTCGTGTTGTTCTTGTATTCCTCCCTGATTGACAATAAACTTTCCATTTTCGTTAACTTTCCCGGAAAATCATAGCTTCACATTGTCACGACTCACGACGAATCGAGGGATAGACCCAAATAGAGGGGAAAAAAAACCCAATCACTCGCAGATTTAAGGAATCTTCACATCCACCAAGTTGGCTTTCGTTGTTTCACTTAGTTTATATCTTGGGATTTTTTCTCTTTACATGTATGCATCTGTATATATAGAATAAACCCATTTCCTTTTTGGTTCTAATTCTTCCTTATCTGTTTATATAGAATGAACCCATTTCATGTTTTATCTTTTTTGGTTCTAATTCTTCCTTAATATCTTATAATCTTCCTGTTTTCATAGCCTCCCTGATGCTGTTTTCTTTGCTACTCCGATCTTTGATTCGGTGATTCATTGTTAAAAAATTTCATTGTTGATTACGAAGTTTATTTTTACGGGTATCTGGATGCTAGCTTGACAAATCGAACCCTATTATGATCTCCTATTTGGGTATTCGATTCATTTACAAAATTGTGTATGTGTATCCAAGTGATTCCACCCCACCCTTTTTGTTATTTCGATTTGAAACGGCTACAATATCGCCTCGTTTTCAATTGAGCTGTCATTGTTCAATGTTGTGCTTGCGACAACTGTAAGTTTGTGTGTTGGGAATTCAATAACTTCATCAGTTAGTTAATATACTTTATTATTTTAACTTATTCTATTCGTTTTCAAATCTTTTGTGATTCTTTTTACTGGCCTTTCTGATTGATAACTTTATTTTAACTTATTCTATAATGTGATATTTATTTATTGGCTATTTCATTGTGTAGTATGCTATTTATTTTATTTTTGACTATCCAGATTTGGTATGCTTTGTGATTTGGAATCAGCCAGCTGCCGGTCATGTTGTGGGAAACCAGTGCTGTGGTTTTGGGCGTTTGGGGTTCTGGAGCTTGTATGAGGTAGTAGAATGGAAAAGAAGAAAATGGATGATTATGAAACAGGACCAGTTCCGCCCCCGAGAGTCGACAGATTTGGATTCGTAAAGCAGGAACTTAATTCTCCTGAAGGTCTAGCCAGGAGTAGGTCAGCTATTGTGTATGAGAGGTATTCATTCCCGATGCTGAATCAGTTTTTATATTGTCAAACTATATGCTCACTTGCGCTTTCTATAGTATTAGCAGTATTGATAAACTTGTGAATTGACCTGGGCCTTATATGTGTGAGAGGTGTTGTTTGCTATGATGTTTTGAAATAACAGCAAGTTTCATTTTGCTAACAGAGCACTATATGTTTCCTTGCTCTACTCACCTTTCCTTTCAGAGGTTTTTCAGCCCAAGAGGTTGGCAGCCTAATATTATGCAATTATAATGCGGATGACAAATTAATTTATTTTTACTTGTTTTTTAATGGATATGTGAGAATAGCGCAGGCAGACAATTCCACACTTAACCGTTTCTTAAAGATCAACCTTGCCAATTAGATGATCTTGTTTATTTGCAATCTTGGGTGCCCAGCAGGTATCCGGTGAGTAAACCCTGGCCAAAGCAAAGCCCATTTCTTCACAAAACTAAAAATCATCATTCTTCATTACATTAATATGTCTATGCACAACAGTGATGAATACCTAAGCACAAGGTGCTTTTACTTTTGGAAATGTACATTATACACAAATATCTTGTTGCTACATTCGTGTGTATCCTTCTTCTCTCTCTTTCATATTTTTTGCTAATTAAATCAATGAGGCAATTTTCAGGGAGGAAAGAAGGGTTCGTAAATGGAGGAAGATGATTGGAGTTGGAGGGAGTGACTGGAAGCATTACGTTAGGAGGAAACCTCATGTTGTTAAACGGCGAATAAGAAAAGGAATTCCTGATTGTTTGAGGGGTCTTGTTTGGCAGTTAATCTCAGGAAGTAGGGACCTCTTGCTGATGAATCCTGGGGTATATGAGGTAAGCACCATTTGGCCAAAGGCCCCATCTTTTCCTTTGAGTTTCTAAGCTTTTGTTTGAACTTTAGCAATGAAAATTTGTGTATGTCAAATCAGAGATGCATAGTGTCCCTTTTTTTGGCATTGGTTACTTACTTTTTTTTTGTCTTGATGGAAATGCTGTTTTGTACAGCAACTAGTCATATATGAGACATCAGCTTCTGAACTGGATATTATTCGGGATATTTCTCGTACTTTCCCTTCGCATGTTTTCTTCCAGCAGAGACATGGACCTGGTCAGAGATCTCTATACAATGTTTTAAAAGCATACTCTGTGTATGATAGAGATGTCGGATATGTACAGGTGTATATCTTTCCGTGCTATCAATCATCTACTTACATTAGCAGGACACCGAGTGATATTGGAATCAATTTAACTGCAGGGAATGGGATTTGTAGCAGGTCTGTTGCTTCTGTATATGAGTGAAGAAGATGCATTTTGGTTATTGGTTGCACTACTGAAAGGAGCTGTCCATGCCCCAATGGAAGGATTATATCTGGTATTCTTTTAATTCAACAACATACTGATTTTACTCTAAGAATGCTGTCATTTTAGCATACCAGCTTTAAGATGATAATGTCTCCTCATATAGTATGCATGGTCAACTGAGTTACTATGGGTCTTTGGACTCTTGTACTCTTTTGCAGTGTCAAAATTTGTCCTGGCTTTTTCGGAAAATGTTCCGTAGAGAAAAGTTGTGAACTTTTTGCTGCAGCTGGTCTGACTTTGTAACCTCTAACTCTAACTTTGATTTCATCCATTAAAATGAAAATAAGCATGATTTTTTGGCCTTTTTTCTGGGCTCTCACTTTATATGGTCATAGCCACTGCTTTTAGATGAGGAGTTTTACATAGGAAACATTAAAGGTTTTAAGAAGTGGCATTACTTGATGCTATCATCCAAACATCAGGTGCTACTATTCCTTCAAATTGCTAGATACAGCTACACAGTCTAGTCTTTGTCCAATATTCTTTAATGATTACTGTATTTTTTGGATAGGCATGCTGAATAATCAGATATTGTTCTAGTCTACCGATATTTTTTTTTCCTGGATCAAATTTGGTCGTTATTGGGCTTGCATTATTTCTCCTTTTGTCCCTAAACAAAAACTGCTGATGGAAGAATTATTGTAATTGCCATTTGGATTTCTATGCCCTTTGGCTCCTAGGGAAGGATTCGGAACTTTTGAGATAGCTCTTTCTGGAAGGATAAAGAGTGCTTTACTTTTCTAAATATGTGTCTGTGTATGTCTATTTGTGCACAGCTTCCGGCTAAACTAAAGGTCAAAAACATTAATACAACTTTGCTAATTGCTTATCTATCTATTTGTTCATTTAATGTATGGGAGAGAACCTCAGTTATAGGTTTTTTATTCTTAAAGTGGGCAACACAGGCTTGAAGAGGTTGAATTGAATTCGCCTTTTGCGAGTTGGATTTTCTTAGTACCTGTGGGCCATGTATCTGATGGAAATTGCATCTCTGGATGTATGATCACAGACACTGGGAAAGTATTAATATTAGTTGCTGTTCTATTAACCTTTAACTTTGTAACTAAGAGATCTTTTAGATTATAGAGTATGGCATCAGAAATTTTCTGTCGGCCTTCTTGGATAGTTGTAGGGAACAAATGTTTTTGTTTTTGAAAATTCCAAGTTTCCTTCCCCTGCTTTAAACATACACTGAAAGAAATATGAAGAAACCTTGACTTTATGGAAGCTCTGAGGTCGATTGAAGTCCGGACTGTATAGCTTGTTGTGCACCTCCTGTTGTTTGTCTCAATTTCTATATTGAACAAAGTGACTGGACTGTCTATAGCTAATTGTTATGCCAATGCCTCCTATATATTGTTTGTGAACATGTGAAGCAAATTTCAATTACTTTGTTGTGCCTGTGGGTTTTAGGTGGGGTTGCCTCTTGTACAGCAATATCTCTATCAGTTCGATCAACTGATGAGGGAGCAGTTGCCGAAATTGGGTGAGCATTTTACCCGGGAAATGATAAACCCAAGCATGTATTCAAGTCAGTGGTTTATAACTGTTTTCTCATACTCTTTCCCATTTCATTTGGCTCTTCGAATTTGGGATGTCTTTCTCTATGAGGTTAGTGATTTACCATTTATAGCAGTTCATTTTTTATTTATTCATTGATTTTCAGAAGCAGCATCAGTATTTGGCTTAAACTTGACCTGTTTTATTTGTAGGGTGTTAAAATTGTATTCAAAGTTGGCTTGGCCTTATTGAAGTATTGCCATGATGAATTGGTAAGCTTTCTATGGTCTCATATCCCCTTAGATCCTGATAACTTCTAGTTATTCTGCTTACAGAAACATTTATATAATTCATCAGATAAAATTACCTTTTGAGAAACTCATACATGCTTTGCGTAACTTCCCTGAGGATGCAATGAACCCGGATACACTGTTACCAATGGCCTATTCAATCAAGGTTCTCTCTCTCTCTCTCTCTCTGCATGTTGCACTGATGTTATGAATTCCTAAATGTTTTTTCTTGTCATTGAGGTTTACGTCACCCTCTCTTAATATCATAAGCATTATATTTATAAAATATAGCTTAGTATTACCTAATGGCATTGCATTAACTGTGGGAAATTTACTTGCTTGCATCTTCCATTAATCTACCTTTTCAGTCTTCTGAACTAAAAAGTAAGTGACTACAAATAATTGTTTTCGGTTATTGTGTTCTATAATGCGCGTGTCATTTTCAAGCTTCTGACATCTTCATGCTTCCTTCTTTCCAAAGCCTATAAGTGCTGCCCTGCTAGTTTGAAATTAGACCTTCCTGTTTTTATCATTTGTCCTCTTTGAACTTCACTCTTTTAAGGTTGCGTTTGCTGTAAAAAATATTTTGGATGTGTTTTTTATGTTTTCTGGTGTTTCCACGTTTCCATTTTTTTATATATTTCCTTTTTTTCATTGTGTTCACTCCCAGGTCAATCAGTTAACACAAATGAAATTTGAATGCTTTGAAATCAACATTGTATCACAACACAACTGTTGGCACAGGAAAAATCATGATTAAGCAAAGAAATGAAATTTTTGGTATTCTCCTCAAGGGCGCATGTATTTTTTTGAAACTCTTGTCCACTCCTTTTTGTTTTTGTCAAAGGTATATGTCCTTAAGATGACTCGATGAGCCTTATTTATTAAAATTTTCTTATGGTATGACAAGGTGTTGAAATGGCTGCATAGGCATAAACCTGGACCTGGAACCCATGAAAAATGATATAACTAGGTTGAGATGAACTTGATATATAAAGACCCTAGACCATTAAGCTTGCTGAGCTATTTTGCCATTTCCCAATGGAAAGTATTTCAAATGATCTGTTATGTGCGCAAGGCAGAGACATATGAACCTTAACTGAGTTTACAGAAGCAAGATGCAATCTACATGTCTGGCGTTATTAGGTTCTTGCCTCTGTTCTATGATGTCTGCACTTGGTATCTGAACCATCTGGGCTTGTTGCATAGCACTTTGTCTGTCCATCCTCCGTTGCCCTCTGTATTTGTTAATGGCTGAACCTTTTCTTTCATCTTCCTTTTAGAGCTTCAAACTTGCTTAGTCACTATTGGAGCCCACGTGGGATGAGTCTTCCATTTCCCGTCCTTAAAGTGATAAAAGGAAATAAATATATTTTGGCCTTTCCACATAGATACTTCATAATGTGCACTATTTATGGTCAAATATGATATGGTTACCGCATATGGCTTTGCTTGTATTGGCTTACACTGTGCAATCCTTTTTTCTTTTTATTTTTTGGAGGGTACAATCCGAATTTTTAAAGATTTTCTTAGAACTTTTCCTTATGGTACTCTTATTTTGCCGTGTTTGCTTATTATTAGTTATTCTGGTTATTTTTCATCGCTGATTTATATATGTTCCGGCAAACTGTCAGGTATCGAAGCACTTGGAGGAACTGAGGCAGGAATACGAGAAAAAAAATGGGAAGATGGCCGAATCTCGGGTGAAGCAAAAGCAGCAGCAGCAGCCACCTTGAGTGGGTGGAAGCTTACTCACTTATAAGATGAGCTAAGCCACCTTGTGGCATATTTTTCTACAACACTATCTAATTGTTCAATAGTTGCTTGGTGATGGTGGCGGTGGCCAATCATCTTTTGATCAAAAGTAACACTTTACAATGGAAGAAGAGAGCAAAGATCTATTGAGGCAACATTTATGTAAAAAAGTTAGTATAGACGTATCTTTGTAGGATGTATGTGGAAGAATCAATGCTTCAACACATCTTCACCTATGTCCTATTGTTTTTACATTGCCCCTTCAATCCTTCATGGGTCGTTTGTGTATATCAATGGAAGATGGATTAGTGCACTACTGAGGAATAAAGAAACGTATGACACGATAGTTTGTGGTTTGATAGAAAATATGGTCTTAATACAGCACAAGGACGAAACATGATTTATATAGCCAATTAGGTTAAGCACGAAATATAATTAATATTAAAGTAGGCTGAGTTGAGCTGAATTGTATGTTAAGAAGATTGTAGAGTTTGTTGGTTATTCAATTGTCATACACTATGCATTATTAAATTAAATTTTGTATTAGCCCCTTTAATACCATAGGTTTGGCTCCTCCGTTATTAATTTTTAACAACAGAGGTGTTGTCGATTAAACATCATTGTTCTATTTAACAAAACGTTGTTTTGTATGTTGTGCATTAACACGACGACATATTCTTATCCTTGAATTAATAAATTGATCAAATATTATATAGTAATTGAAAAAAATGATAGAAAGTGATATGATCTATATTTTTTATCTCATTTTTTTGTGGAGCATTACTCATAATGTAATGTTATGTTTATTAAATTTTTTTAATAAAATATTCATCTCAAATGATGTGGTACAATTTTTTACCTTTAACATGAATGGATTTTATTAATGTTTTGTGTCACGAACATTGTATTTTTCTTACTGAAATGGGTTGGTTGGTGAGAAATTAGTGGCCTAATTTCGAGTCAATTCTAAGGTGGGCCCCAAAATCTAGAAAAGCCATGGAAGACAAGCGTGGAAGTGAATGGGAAGATCAAAGAGGAGACTACGAGAATCCAGCTCACGTAGACATGAACCCACCTTTTTGTCTTTAAATGGTGTATGAGAGGGCACTAATCAACCCAACCCGACGCATCTCTTCGTCCAGTCCAGTCCAGTCCACACAAATTATTCAGGACAGTACAATGTCACGTGCTAAGATTGAGCTATCATTTTGTGTGGGCCTTTTTATCTTAGGTGGATAGATTGATTTTTTCCCCACCTTTTCATATTGGAAATTAGATTTAATGTTAAAATTTAAATAATTTAAATTAGATTTATTTAATGTTAAAATTTAAACGTGGCGAACTCTTCTCCAAACCGCACTTGCCTCTTCCCTCGCCTCCCCTATATATTTCACCACCTCCCTAGTCCTTCCCATTCATATGCTCCACCAGCACACAATCTCGTGCAACCCACAATTTCTAGCGTTCTTTCTCTCGATCGCTAGATTTCGGTTTGAGGGAGTCCGAGATTAGGGTTCGTTTCGATCTGGTTCGAAAATCAATCTGCGTTGAAAATTACATCAACCTGTAAGTTTCTACCATCCTTTTCAAGCGTTTCATATTTCGTTGTTTATGTCTATACATACGTTTGTTTGTGTCGGTGTGTGCATATTTTGTATTGTTTATACTGTAAGATGTGGGTTCTGGAATTTTTACAGGGTTTGATCGACTGAATCTTTTTGAAAAGGGGCTTTTGCACCGGTTGTAGATTCGTATCACAAGTTTCATATCTGTAAGTAGTGTTTTTTTTATGCTCAATTGAATATATGCATATGCTTATATATATATATATATATGAACCGGGCGTCTGGGTTGGCTTTTCTCTGATTCCAAATTCAGTCCAGTTCTCTCCAAACCAATCACCTATCCATTACCCATGTTTTGGTGAAGGAACCTGAATTCGTGGCGGTTGGTTGTTTTGAATGGAATTGGAAGGCATTGGAATTGAAGATCCTCTTTTTTTTTTTAAATTCTGAACTATACCTTAATGATATATTCTTGTGTTGATATTTTTTTTCTTTGATCATAATGGTTTTCCTTTTTATATTATCGGTCGCACATAGCGTTTGGCTTTTGTTTTGATTTTGTATTCCTTCTTGCTTTGATTGGTTGATGGAAACTGAATCTGCAATAATTTTCTGGGGCAAGACAGTTTTGTCCAAGGATTCAATTGTTTTTCTCTTTTTGGATTTCGACCTCAAGAGTTAAGTGGAATTCTACGGTATATCTTGATAAAATTTGGAGAATATGCATATTTTTTTTCCTTTTGTATTTTGTTTTTTCTCGGGGAATATTATTCTTTTGCATAATATGGGGAGCCTGCCTTAATTATTTGATTAATTTTACAATTGTTTGCGAGTTCTGAAATCAATAGGTTGACTAGTAATTTTCAAATATCATTTGTAGTTCTATTAAGTGTAAATTTGGGCAGTTGAAATCTAGTTATCCATGCTACATTTGTAAAATAAAAAATAAAAATTTCTTTTGTTTCTGATCACATTTATAAATTGATTTTATGTCTTGAATGTGTATGGAATGTAAATCGAATTGGTTACTTTTTCTTGTCAGGCCAAAATGCTTTGTAAACAAATTTTCTTGGGACTAGTTTATGGTTTAATTATATTCGTATGTTGGAATAACCCTTATCCATTGGGAATTAAATTGTAGTCATAATTGTATAATATGATGTACAAATGTGTAGTCTGGGGAGGGCATGTTTCCAGTTGCCATGAATTGTGATGGGCTCCAAGCTTTGCTTTTTTATGTTCTTTTAATGCACTGGTAATTTTAGTTACTATTGACAGTGTAGTTTTGTTCTCTGGTGCTGTCTTAAGTACATCTGCGCATGTTGTCTCAACCTAGATCAGAATATCTCTCATCTTGCATGTTGACTATTGTTGCATGCCTTTGATTAATTTGTGCGGTCAGTGTTGGAATTGTTTCTGACCTCTATTTTATTGTTTTAACAGGCAGGACTGGATGATCTAATGGAGTCTAAAGGTGGGAAGAACAAGTCTAGTAGTAGTAAATCTTTATTTTACGAAGTTCCCCTCGGTTACAGCATTGAAGACGTCCGACCTCACGGTGGAATCAAGAAGTTCAGATCTGCTGCTTACTCCAACGTGAGTTTTAGTATAGTATATTATCAAAAAGAAAATGTTACTTGAATGTGGGATTTTCAATCCTGAACACTATGTACTTTAACCATTGTGCTTTCAATGTTTTCCTCGGGTGCAGTGCGTGCGGAAGCCATCCTGAGTTTTTCCAAGTTGTGCAATAACCACCAAAGGTGGTTTATACCAGTAGTGGTCCATCATCAATATTTTGCTCTATCCTTTGCTTCTTTTCATCTTTACGCATCCTCGTGTTCTGTCTTTGCAACAACGCTTCTTTCTCTAAGACAAGATGGCCTTACCAGTCTCTGCAATTGGATTTGAAGGCGATGAAATGAGGCTTGAGATATCATTTTTTGAGCCTGGCCTCTTCACTGATCCTGATGGCAGGGGTCTCCGCTCTTTATCCAAAGACCAATTGGATGAAATTCTTAAACCAGCTGAATGCACCATTGTCTCATCATTATCGAACAATCAAGTTGATTCGTATGTCCTTTCAGAATCTAGCCTCTTTGTGTACCCTTACAAAATTATCATAAAAACCTGTGGGACTACAAAATTGCTTCTCTCTATCCCAGCAATCCTTAAGTTAGCGAATATACTTAAGTTGGATGTGAGGTACACACGAGGGAGTTTCACATTTCCAGGGGCTCAGCCCTTTCCGCATCGTAACTTCTCTGAAGAAGTAGTTGTCCTTGATAGCTATTTTGGCAAGCTTGGTATGGGCAGCATCATGGCCGTCGTGCTGGGTGGTGTTGACAAATCACAGAAGTGGCATGTTTACTCTGCTTCAGCTGAATCAGCTAGCAATTCAAACTGTGTTTACACTCTGGAGATGTGCATGACTGGTTTGGATCGGGAGAGGGCATCTGTCTTTTACAGGACTCATTCAAGCTCTGCATCTGTGATGACTGAATCCTCTGGCATCAGGAGGATTCTTCCGGAGTCCAACATATGTGATTTCGAGTTTGATCCTTGTGGTTACTCCATGAATGCAATCGAATGGGATGCTATTTCTACTATTCATGTAACTCCGGAAGATGGTTTCAGTTATGCGAGTTTTGAGACGGTGGGTGTTGGCTTGCTTCCAACCAACCGAATTTTCTGTAGCTTTGCATGCTGATGGTGCTGGAAAGGACCTTAGTTCTAGTTTCTTTCTGGAAGTGGAGGGATATGCCTGTGGCAAAAAGAGCTGTGAAGTGCTCAGGAAGGGAGAATCAATCATTTACCACAGCTTCACAAGCGTTGCGGGTATCTGTGGGTCTCCCAGGTCAACTCTGCAATGTTGTTGGATTGAGAGCGAGGATGAAGTGGAGAAGAAATAGTTTTGGAGAAGATAATGTGGTCTTTCTCCTACTACTAGTTTGCTTGAATATCTTGTGGTATTGTGAGGCTTTTGTGCCGTTCCATTAGCCTGCTACATTGTTCACGCATTATGAGTGTTTCATTGTTTGAGATGTTGGACCAGTACTTTCCATTTGAATATTTTGTATAATAAAATAGCTTACGATTTAAATTTCAAATGATAAACAAAATGATTTTTGCTATTCGCGATTGAAATCACTTTAAATTTGACTTTAAAATTAATTTAACGGTTAATATTAACACTTTAAATTTAATAGGAAAAAAAATCTTAAGTGTGTGATTGGAGTGATTTTTTAAAAGTATTTATAGAAATTACATATCATAAATATTTTAAAAAAAATACTATTCGAAACTATTCCACCACCACAACTACCCCTCCACCGCCACTATTGTTGCTGCCGTCACCACCACCACCTTCGCCATCACCGTCACCTCCCCCACCGCCACTACCACCACCGCCACCGCCGTCCCCGTTACCACCACCAACATTCCTGTCGCTGCCACCGTCATTGCCATCCCAACTATTACTGTTTGCTACTACCATCACTATCTCTCACCACCACTATAAATCGATGTTTAAATTTTTTTATTTCTTCTCTATGTTAGCGATTTAATTTTGGATATAAATATAAATATATTTATTATTTACTATTTGTTATTACTTTGTGTCTTCAGACACAAATAATAACTAGTTATCTTATATGGATAAAAATAACACATTTCGTTGCATTTAACTATGATAGTCCTTGTATTTTTCAGTTCAGTTGCTGGGACAGGTTTCCCAATGATTATACTTTATATTGTTGGTGTCGCTTGTTATTTTGTATGGAAAACAGCATAAACAGTTCAATACGTATCCCGGGTGTGTTCTCTTAACTGCGTTGGACATGTAAAGATTAATGTTGTCGAGATGGACCCAAGTCGGAATTCACTGGTCAGGGAGAAATCATGAGGAATCGTATAACAGATGGTAGAGTATTTTGATTTACTTTTTCTGAGACTGCTAGATGCGGGTTTTAATGTAACGGTTAGATTGTTCCATTTAGTGTTTAACAAGGTTATGCAATCATGATTCATGAATCATCTCAACTTCCATATTCAAAAAGTTAAGACGAAAAGCATATGAATCTTATAGGACGTTTGGTCTCGGTGCATTTTGTTGCGGAAAGAAACAACCAAGCCGCCAAACTTGACCGTGGAAGGGAAGCCAAAACATTCAAACTTTTGCTCTCGTTTAGACCATCTGTAAGACTGTAAGTCTTTAACCTGACTCAAATTTGTACTCAAAATTAAATTTAAATAAAAAATTTTAAAAATTTATTCTAATTTTTAACTCAAACATATATTAAATTAAAAAAAAATTATTTTTTTACTCAAATCAATAGAAACTCAAATTCTTACCAAAATCTTTAATGATAAAATTTCACCCTCTTTTAAAGATCCAATAGTTATCTTTATTCTCATTTAATTTTGAGTTTATTCTCATTAAAATTTGATTTTTCTTTCTTTAAATTTGAATTTGTCCATTAAATTTTTTGTATTAAATTAAATTTTTTACTTAAATATTAATTTAAATTTAAATAAAATTTGAGTTATGGTTACAAATACTCTTATACATTGTATTTAGTGGCTTTGAGCTGACAAATGTTTCTTTAAAGATACATTAAATGTTATAAGCAACTATGTTTTTTCATTAATGGGTGGTGAGAGAAAAATCTAAGAGAACAATCGAATCTTCGACTTGTCACTCGATAACGACGGACTTTAGCCTTCGGGTGGATTGTCACGAGTAAATATTGAATGTAGCGGTCATATTATATTGTCATTATTGACATAGTATCATTAATTAATAATAAAAATTTAAATAAAAAAAATGAATCATACTTAGGTTTATAAGACAGAAGGGTGGAGAGTTATTTGTTTATATGACAAGTTAATTATTGATTTTTGTGGGGTTTATTTATTTATTTGTTTTAGTATTATTGGTTGGTAATACCATAACACTTTACCACGTGTATCACCGCTGTAATGAATATTTCCTCAATTATCACAACATTAATATGCTCAAGAAAAAAATTATGATCTTCAAATAATTCTATCAATCCACATTTATATCTCTCTTTATTTTAATTTTAAATTGTGTAATTAAAAAAATTAAATTATTATTTAAAATCTATATAATAAAATAACTTACGATTAAAATTTCAAAAGATAAATAAAATAACTTTTGCTATTTGCGGTTAAGATCGCTTAAAATATTTTTTTAAAGTTAATTTAACGACTAATATTAACATTCTATATTTAATAGGAAAAATAGGCTCTTAAGAGTGTGTTTGAAATAACTTTTTAAAAATTAATTCTCATAAATATTTTTTTTTTAAAATAGTGTTTAAAACCGCTCCACCACTACATCTACTATCACCACCGCCACCATTGCTACTACCACCGTCGCCCCCCTCCACCACCACAACCTACCACCGTCGTCGCCTTCACCACCACAACCCATCACCGCCGCCGCCTTCACCACCACCACCACTGTCGTCGCCACCGCCACCGCCACCGTCACCACCACCGCCATGCCCCACCACCGCCACGCCCTCACCGCCATCGTCACCACCACCACCACCACCTCTCACCCCAATACAAATCGATAGTTAAATTTATTTATTTATTCTTTATGTTTGTGATTTAATTTTGGATATAAATACAAATATGTTTATTGCTTATTATTTTTATTATTATGTGCTTTCAGACATAAGCAATAATTAATATAAAATATTACAAGATCAATTCAATTTTTAATATTACATAGTGTTTTCAGATACGAAATTATTGATAAGATAAATATATATCATATTTCTGTCCAAATTTATTTAAAAAGCTCAATTACATGGGTTTGAATTCATATTACGAAACCAATTCAAGTTTAAATATCAAAATTATCAAACGGGCCCGATTGCTAGCGGGCCCCAGGAATCGGGTTGCTCTAACACAGTACCTGGTTGGACCGGAACAATTAGCTATATCCGACTTGACAATCATAATTTGGATACATACCGAAAACCTTCTCGTCCCTGCGAAGAACCCGTTAAAGTTCTCCTCTTTTCCGCTCTTTTTCAACTGGTGATTTTGGACTCAATCAGAGAAGAGGCACGAGATTTTAAGCATCGGTTTTTTAGGAACATTTATCCTGCGACGTATTCCTTGAATTATCAATATGTAGTTACATTTGTGAAGAATTTCACAATCAACAACACTCTGAAACCAGGTAAATTATCGTGATACTTGGGAATGTAGATTGTGTTTACCCTTTTGTTTTTTCTTCAATTTATGGCTAATTTAATTTCGACTAGCAACGAAGCCAAATTAGTCAAAGTTGTGTGTTCCATTGTACTGAAGGGACATTGGGACAATGTTCTGAGGCCAAAGATTGGTTCTAGTGTTACTTCGACAACCATCAATCAGACTCTGTCATATCTTTCACTCTATGGGTACTCCATTTCTTGGTCATTCTTCAAGTGGGTTGAGTCAATCCCCCATTACAAGCACTCTTTACAATCTTCATGGACTATGATTCACGTTCTCACCAAGCAAAAGCATTTCAAAACTGCACAAAAATTGCTTGAAAATATTGCACTGAAAGATTTTTTGTCATCTCCTTCGGTCTTGAATGCACTTGGGAACAGTTATGATGAGTCAGAAGTGAATTCTCACGTTTTGAGCTGGTTGGTGATATTTTATGTGAATTCGAAGATGACCCAAGATGCAATTCAAGTGTTTGAGCACATGAGGGTTAATGGGTTTAAGCCTCATTTGCATGCTTGTACTGTGCTTTTGAATTCATTAGTCAAGGATAGGTTGACTGATTCGGCGTGGAAAATTTACAAGAAGATTATTAAAGTAGGGATTGTTCCAAATTTGCACGTATATAATGTGTTGATTCATGCTTGCTGCAAATCTGGTGATGTGGAGAAGGCAGAAGAATTGTTGAGTGAGATGGAGTTCAAAGGTATTTTTCCTGATATTTTCAGTTATAATACATTGATCTCATTGTATTGCAAGAAGGGTATGCACTATGAAGCTTTGTCTGTACAAGATAGAATGGAAAGAAGTGGGATATTTCCCGACATCGTAACCTACAACTCTCTTATTTATGGATATTGTAGAGAAGGTAGAATGAGAGAGGCTTCCAGGCTTTTTAAGGAAATTAAAGGTGCTACTCCGAATCATGTGACATACACTACTCTGATTGATGGGTATTGTAGACTGAATGACCTCGATGAAACTTTACGATTGCGCGAAGAAATGGAGGCTAAAGGGCTGTATCCTGGAGTTGTTACTTATAACTCAATTCTCCGTAAATTGTGTGAGGAAGGCAGGATAAAGGATGCAAATAAACTATTGAATGAGATGAGTGAGAAGAAAATTGAACCTGATAACATCACATGTAACACATTGATTAATGCTTACTGCAAGATTGGAGACATGAGGTCTGCATTGAAAGTCAGAAACAAGATGTTGGAGGCTGGATTGAAACCTGACCAGTTTACGTATAAGGCATTGATTCATGGTTTCTGCAAGGCAAAGGAGATGGAGAATGCTGAAGAGATGTTGTTTCACATGCTTCATGCAGAATTTTCTCCGAGTTATTGCACGTATTCGTGGCTTGTGGATGGTTACTGCAACAAAGGCAATGAAGAAGCAGTCATAAAACTGCTGAATGAGTTTGCGCGGAGAGGTCTTTGCATTGACATCTCAGTTTACAGGGCACTAATACGAAGATTCTGTAAGAAAGAAAAAGTTGATTGTGCTCAACATTTATTCAGTCTAATGCTAGAGAAGGGAATATTAGGAGACAGTGTGGTATACACTAGCCTAGCATATGCGTACTTGAAAGCAGGGAACCCAAATGCTGCCTCTGACATGTTAGATGAGATGTATAAGAGGAGATTGATGATAACTCTCAAGATCTACAGAAGTTTCAATGCTTCTTATGCTGGAGACAAAAGCATTTTAGGTATCTTTTGGGATCTTGTGGTTGAGAGAGGGCTAATTTCAAAAACTATTTTGAAGTACATTGATCAATTGAAAGTAAACTCTTGAAGGATTATTGGAGATGTCTTCAAAATTTCATGATCAAGTTTACCATACTTTATGGGAGTGCTAACATGTACATTTACTCTCGGCAATCTATTGAGTGCCTTAGAAGTATTCTGGCACTTACTAATATATCCACAGGTAATTATATAATCTGGCTTGTTAAACCCTAATTTCTGTTGTTGACAACCACCTTGAGTTACCATGCCTGATTCTCTTACTTAAGCGAAGTTTGAGCAGTCTAGTATACAGGAAAGAGAAAGGGGTTTGCTAGAAAGAGTTTGAGCGGTTCTGCTTAGCTAACAAGCAGTAAGTTTGATGTTGAGGCAGCATGGTACAAGATCCCACTAAGCGGGGTCCAAGTCGAGGCAGCATGGATATGAAGAACTTCGCCTGGGGATCCATACTGACTTGGGGAGCTGTGGTGGTAGCTTTATTAAACCATTTATGATCAAGTGAGGCTTACTTATAAATGTCAAGGTTGATGATAGGGGATGTGCGGGTGGCAGAGGGACGCAAGTGACTCGAGTGTTAAAAGACAGAGATCAAGCAGGAAGCAGCAGATCAGTGTCTGTTGTCAGTTCCCAGGTATCAAAAAGGGAATAGATAGCGTCAAAAGTCAAAACCAAGGCGAGTTGATCGAAGGGTTCAGTGCATCCCCATCTATTATGACAGGCTTGTGGAGTTCGCGTTTCTTTTTGTGACAGTTGTACTCTTATGTATAGATCTTGGACAACTTCACTCCACTTTGGGGTCATGGCGTTTCTAGTCCAAGAAGCTTGGAAATTTACTATTGCACTTTCCAATATACAGGTAAGCACGTTAAAAGGCTTTTGTTTTCTATAATAACAATTCAAATGAGATCAAATTTATCATGTATATTCACTATTTGTCTTGACCTTGAACTGTATGTGTGATTTGCTAGTGGTCCCCTTCCAAGTTGTGAAACCAGCTATGCTCTGTAAAGTACACTCTGGCAACAGGAGGTATATGGTTCCTTTACTGTAGGTGGAGATAGATCATGCTATACTTTATAGTGTAGGGCCCTTATATTAGTACAAACAATGTAGTAATGTCAGAAAGGAACTTGCCTTATGGTCAATCGGTTAGGTATTAAGAAAGTTAGTTAATTAGAAGCCACCTTGACAAAGTTAAAAACGTGCCCTTAGCGTGCCTTACATCTTGGCCCAATGCATATGCCCAAAAGATTGCTTTGAATAAAATGTACTGCACACTTCTCAAGGTGACTATGTGCTTTGTTGGCTTCAGTAAGCCTGATACCTCTTTTGCACCTCTTGATGATGTAAATACTCTCCTTATATTTCTTTTATTTGGTAAGTAAATGTTTAATTGAGTGCAGATGCAAGGGATCAAACCCTGTACCTTTCGAATGAAAAGCTAGCACTCTACCATTTGCGCTACATCCCCCTGCCCCCCTTCTCTCTATCTCTCCCCATTACGGTTGTAGCATCTAGTGGATACTGATTTCGTACCAGGTTCCATCCTCTCAAAATACAGTTTCCCCAAACAAGGCCCTTTTTTTTGTTGTTTTTCTATGATTTTTAAAGTTTCATTTGTGTCCATTGTTGCCTTCCTCTGATTGGTTTCTTTGAGTATTCGGACCTTTCCTTCAAGTTGGAGACTACTAATTCAACATTATCCATAGTACATCAGCAATTTTTTGTATATTGCATTAATCTGAGCATATGATTAACCATCCATAGTCATCCAAGTTTGTTTTAGGAAATGATGGGACAAAATGGGAGAAATAAGAAATGGGCCTGCACTAAGGCTTGAGCAGCTGAACCTTGAGACAATGAAAGTCCAACAAGCTGTATATATGGAGGAGCAGAGCAGCTGCTACTGAGGAATAAAATTATGGCAACTGTGGAATGCAGTATGTTGTTGATGCAGGTTTGTAATCCATTCATTCAGAGGGGAAATTTTGTTGATACGAGTACAGACCATTGGTTTTTCATATGATATGAAATACAAGAAAGGTGAAATACCCTAAATTGTACATCATGTATGCATTTCTGGTTTTCATTCTTTCATTTTTGTCACTTTAGTACCTCAAGTGTCCAATTTGTATTACTTACTTTGTTCCAATAATAGGGCAGTCTAAATTGACCATACCTTGAAGAGATATCGTTTACAGAAATTGGAGGGAAGAGAATTAGTGTGGGAAGGAAGGGTTCTCACTCCTACATATGTAGCATCACTGTATGGAGGAGGGCCTCCATCTGTTCCTCTTTAATGTTTCATATCATTGGTTCCTTCTTATATCAACAATTCTCAGAGCATGAATCACCAAGCTGGCCTGGCCAAGTGCCAAGCCTAGTGATCAGCCTAAGTAATAGAATGGTCCATGAATTTCCTCTGAAGTTTGAACAAAGAAGAGAAGTTCTTTTCCATGAAATATAATAGTCGTACCATTGTGTAAGTCTTCCATCTATACGGAGTTTGAGAGAAATAAGTGGTGGGCAAATAACCTTGAGTCATATCAACATTGCGAGTTTGATAACAAATCTTTCCGACATTTTGAGTCATGTAAAAAGGAAATGTTGTACCCATTGTGTTAAGACTTCCACCTTTAAATGAAGTATGAGTGAAAGTTAATGTCACCCCGTTTTAGAGAGATATATCACTTAGGCGGATAAATATTTATTATTGTTGTAAGTCTGACCTCTCCCACTATGTAACCTATGTATCGATCAAATATCCCCTCCAAGCGTATTTACTTCTTGTTAATGATTTTGAATGAAATACTAGAGCGTGTTTGGTTCAAGTATAATATGAGATAAGATGGGATAATGGTTTCAATCCAATTCAAAATGGGACTGTATAACATGACCCAAACTTACTATAAAGTAGCCCTTAGTCTAATCAAGTCCAATCCCACCCTTAATATGCCCCAACAAAACACGGCCTTACTGTCTTAATCTTCTCCACTCTTGTACTCCTGCTATGAATGAATAACAGTTTTAAAACGAAGGTCCTCTTGTAAATTAATTTGAATAATTCAAGAATCTTGGATTCACCCATTGTTATAGGTGTCATTGACATATGTGTCATAGATTCAAGATTCACTTTGATAAACTTAAAATCGAGATTAATTATACAATTTTCTTTATTAAGTAATAAGGTTGTTCTATTATGATATCAATATTATGGGTTCGAGTCATGAATTAATTTCTTCGCATGTAGGAGGAAGACTGTAGAAAACCGACTCTCATTAGATTCTGCAATGATAAAAGTCTCGTGCATTAGATTATCATTTTTACGTTCAAAATTAACTTAGATAAATCAAGAATAATTGTACAACTCTTCGTAATTCAGATTATTTGATACTGATGCTATTATATAAGGATCCAGAGCAAAATAGTAGGGGTGCACAACCTAAAGTTTAAAGCCCAATCGGGAGCTCTACTTAAACCAAAATCCAACAAGCCCATCTTGTGAGAGAACCGAGTTTCTATGCAACCAACACAGGCCCAAAGCTCACGTGAAAGAAACTCTCGAGGATAAATGAAGTAATAATAGAAACAAGTTTTAAATTCAGATATTCTGAGTTTAAATTTTGATAATTTTCTAAGGTTAAGTCATGAAGAATTTATCTCTCATGAATACTCAAATTTTGATATGAATAACTTACCTTTAACTGGACCAGTGAAATGATTAATCGAAATGTGCGTAAATTAATCCGAATGTTCGAATCAGACAGAGGGCCTTAATTGAAACAATTTTATAGTTATTGGGATCAATTGAGACAAAATAAAACAGAGGGGCATGATTAAAACTGAATGCAAAATTTACGCGTCCCAACTATAATTTTTACACGAACTCAACCGAAACAGATAAACCTCCTCCTCCTCCATTTTCAAAACCCTAATTTACGCAGAAGAAATGAGAAATCAATGGCGTCTGCTTCTTCTCCGATGCCACTCTCGATCTCAACCGCACATATCGACACACTTGGCTCAGTACTATCAGTCTCGCTTCCAGGTACACTCTCTTCGATCGTTCTCTTCCTCACTCGTCCACTCACGTGCACCTCACGTGTCCCCACCATCCTTCATTTCCCCTGTCCAAAACCCTATATTCCGCTATTTCTCTTCATCTGAACTTGCCGTCGAGCACAAAGACTCAGATCAGGTACTTCTATTAACAGATATTTTCTTGAAAGAAAGAATTACTAATGATGAGATTAAGCTTGAATTAGAGTCCAATAACATCGTTATAAGTCATGAAGTGGTGCTAAAGGTTTTAGAGAATCTCAATGCAGCCCCTGAGGTTGCTAAGAGGTTTTTCGATTGGGTTTTAGATAGAGAAAGCGAAAGATTGAGCTCAAAGTCGTATAACTTGATGTTGGGTATACTGGGTGTGAATGGGTTTGTGAAGGAGTTTTGGGACATGTTTGGAATTATGAAAAAGAAAGGGTATGGAGTGTCAAAGGGTACATTTATTAGGGTTTCAGAAAAATTCGAAAAGGAAGGAATGGGTAGTGATTTAGAGAAGTTAAAAGAATTGTTTGCATCTGGTTCAGTGGATAATTCTATTGAAAATGTTTGTTCTAGGGTTTGTAAGGTTATTCGACGAGAAGTTTGGGGGGATACTGTAGAAAAGCGGTTAAAAGAATTGAATGTTGAGTTTTCGAGTGACTTAGTTGCAATGGTATTAGAAAATGTTGGGAGTGAACCAAATAAGGCATTGATATTCTTTAGATGGATTGAGGAAAGTGGCTTGTTTAAGCACAATAAGCAGAGTTATAATGCCATGGCATTGGTATTGGGTAGGGAAGAGAGTGTTGATAAGTTCTGGAGAGTGGTCAATGAAATGAGGGGTGCTGGGTATGAAATCAAGAAAGGGGTGTATGTCAAGGTTTTGGGGCTGTTTCTGAAGAGGAAAATGATGAAGGATGCTGTGGATTTGTATGAGTTTGCGATGATTGGTGAGAATAAGCCCTCAGTGCATGATTGTACTTATCTTTTGAGGAAATTAGTTGTTAGTAAGGAGGTAGATATGGATTTGTTTACTAGAGTCGTGAGGATTTTTAAGGGGAGTGGGAATGTGATGACGAATTCGACTCTTGATGCAGTTCTCAAGTCTTTAACCAGTGTTGGAAGATTCAGGGAATTCAATAAGATATTGAAAGCTCTTGAGGAAGGTGGCCTCTTACCTAGTGATCCTTTGCAGGGCAAAATTGCCTTTCAGCTTAGCAGTCACGGGAAAAAGGATGAAGCAAGTGAATTTATGAATAACATAGAAGCGTCTGGGTGTAGCCCAAGTTACAAAACGTGGGCGTCTTTAGTTGAAGGACACTTTATAGCTGGTGATCTTGACGAAGCTTCTGATTGTTTCCAAAAGATGGTTGATAAGAAGGGGGCAACTCATGCTGGGTATGCTTTAGAATTGTTGGTTAATGCATACTGTTGTAAGAACAGAGCAATGGTTGCATGCAAGCTTCTTTCCGATATGGTCAATGAGAAAGAGTTAAAACCTTTGCATACTACATATAAATTATTGCTGAGCAAGCTTCTGGTTCAGGGGGGTTTTAATGAAGCTTTGAATCTTTTGGGTTTGATGAAAAGTCAAGGGTATCCTCCTTTCTTGGATCCATTTGTTAATTACATTTCTAAAACTGGAACTGCTGATGATGCTGCTATGTTGCTGAAAGCTATGACGGTGAAGAGGTTCCCATCTACATCTGTGTTTCTTCGCGTCTTTGAAGCATATTTTAGGGCTGGAAGGCATAATGAAGCACATGATTTCCTCTCAAAATGCCCGAGATACATCCGTAACCATGCTGATGTTTTGAATCTCTTCTGTTCCATGAAATCTTCTACAGTTGCTGCTGCTGCCACTGTTGTGGCTGCTTAGATTCCCAGATGGCGTCTTTTATTGTATTTTGTGGTGATAAAGTGTAGGAAATTTTCTTTAAAAATATTCACTCCCCCCTCTTTTTAAGTCTTGATTAATTGAGCACAATCAACTCATGTTTTATAAAAATAAAACCCTAAGTTTTGAATTTCTATGGATCCTTCTACCATAAACAATGGCAGTTGTCTATGATGTTGCAGTTGGTTAACGAGTCGATTTTGATAGGATCAAATAACTCACGGTTGGTTTTCTATTCTTGATAGGATCACATTCACATCTAGGTTTGATCATCATAAAGCTCCAGCACAGAGGTTTTCAAGTGAACTTACCCTTAAACACAGGTTTTATTGACAACTATTTAAGAATTTCTGTTGAGAATATGAGTAGTATAACCTCGTGAATCCTTGTTATCTACCGTGGATGTCATAGCTCTTCGAAATCATCTTGTTAAGCCAAAACACTGGGAAATTTCTATTTGTTTTTGCTGGCTGAAAGAAAGAGGTCGATTTTGAAGGCATCATATTTGTTGATACAATTTCGAATGAGAATTACTGAAGAATTTTGGATTTGGGTTTAGGAAGAAAAGATAGACAGGAAGGGTTGAATGGTTTTTATTCAGAGAATCTAACATTGATATTGCTTCCAAATTGTGTGCATAATTTCGTAGAAAAGATTTTCTCTGAAGGTTTGAAAGGTTATTAGACTTCACATTTGTGTTCCGTTTGATACGATAAAAAAATGGAATGATGAAAAGTTGGAGGAATAAATAAAACATCATGTTTGGTGAGGAATAATGAAATAGTGGATAGATTAACTTTTTTTTCTAACTCACTGAAATCAATCTTTCTAAAATTAGGGGTGCAACTTGGGCGAGTTAGACAATCAACCCTATCCCAATCCTAAGTATATAGTCATCAACCCTAACTCTAACCCTACCTCAGGTTGGGGAACTCAACCCAAGCACTACCTGAGTTTAATTCGGGTTGATGATTTCGGGTTACTTTACGGGTTCAATTCGAGTAGAGCCAAAAATAGACTTATTGTTCTAAACCTAATACATATATTACATAATATTCATCTAAATTAACAACCAATAACTTCAATCAAGTTTTTAATGAAAGAGGCAGAGAATGATAAAACAAAAATAAAAAATCAGTGCTAATGTTTTATATATATATAATATTTTTTTAAATTTGTCAGATTCTGGTTGAACTCGGGTTCGCGAGGCCTTAATTCGAGCTCAACCAAAATTGAATTCGAGTTGAGATTTTTTGACCCAAGCTTAACTCAAGTATTAAAAATCCTTGTCCAAACCCTAATTTTTTTGGGTTGGGCTCGGGTTGAGATTGGGTTGCCCAACCCAAGTTGCACCCCTATCTAAAATCAGAAAGAAAGTGGACGAAAAATTAATTATTTGTGTTGAGATGTATCTTATTTGTCTATATATTATGTATTTATTAATTATATATTAAAATATAATGATAAAATATGCATTTATATATATATATATATATATATATATATATATATATATATATATATATATATATATATATATATATATACTTAACTAAGGGTAAAAATTTTCGATTCAACACGATGGCACAACTCGAACTTGAAAATGACCTGACACGCGAACAAGAAATATAAAAAACTCATAATTTTATGACTTAACACGAATTTGACACGACAAGATTCGACTGTCACCCTTATTATTAGACAAAAAAAAAATGGTTATTTTTATTTTCTATCCATCTAACCAAATACAAAAAAAAGAAAGTGTATCATTCATACTTTTCATACTTAAAGGAGAAAGTGTATCACTTTTATTTTTCATCTTTTCTATTTTTTATCCTTCCTACCTACCAAACGGAGCATTGAAGAATGATGATTCAAATAATTTGTGGACCTAACGTTTTTCCGATTGCTTTGGACCAATAGTCAGGGACTTACAGAAACAAATTTGGACCGGCATGTTGTTTCTCCGCATTCCATTTCGGCACGCATTGTTGCCTTGCCATAGAAGGGGGTTCGGAGTTAGAAGGACTTTGGTTTAAGTTTTAAAAAATAATATTTAAAAATAAAAATTATATGTGAGAAGAATTTTAGAAAAGTAATAAATTTGCCTCTCTTTCAGATTTGACTCATTTGTAATGGTTGGGTTAGGGTAATGAAATGTAAGTGTTGCGGCATGTTGTTATCAATTTTTAGGTTAGGCTAACAATGATAGAGAGGTGTTTACTAAAGGCAAAGGTGGAGGGAGGAATTGGATACTTGAGCAGAAAGAACACGTTTAGTGGGCCCTGGGCTTGGATTAGTCCATATACGTCAGACAAATTCACACTCATTCTCCTTCTTGGCTGTTTCATTCAAGCAATCAATGCTCAGCAAAGGATCACAGTGAAGCACAAGCAAGAATACCTTTTTGAGCTTTTCTGCCAGGGGGAGGGTAAATTCGTAATTAAACAAGGCAATGCCTTAGTGATCTAGTCCATGGACTGTGGAAGAGTGTTTCCCAGTTATATATACAAAGACACTTAACCTCATATTTCAATTCATTGCAGTGGAAAAACTAGAGAGAGAGATAGAGAGAGGCTCTAAGATCAGATGATGCCAACACACAACACCACCACCGTTCATGGCGGTTTCCACCCGTGGAAATCACCCATTCCCTACCTCTTTGGTGGCTTAGCTTTTGTGTTGGGACTCATTGCATTAGCATTACTTCTTCTATCTTGTTCCTTCAGATGTTCTTCTTCTGAGCCGTCTGGTGATGTTGAAGAAAAACCTGCCAAGCCCGATCACGTACCGCAACCGGAAATGGAGCCGAAGATCGTTATCATGGCCGGAGATCTCAACCCTACGTACCTGGCAAAGCCTGTATTGTCTACTCGCCACAGTACTAAACAAGTCTAACAGCTATATATCTCTTGCTTCACATATAATCTGATACAAAATTCCATCATCATATTTCTGTTTGCCTTGCATACCTTTTTCTATCAATTCTTTCTTTCCCTTCTTTTAAGTTTTATTTTTGAAAGTTTACAAGTTTTAGTTTGCCAACATAAGGGGGGTGAATTTGAGATAAACCATATGAAGTTATCTTTGTGTTTGTCTAATGAATTCGGATCACAGATATAACCTCCTCGCATACAGAGTAAAATACTTTTCAGACTCAGTGATGAGAGACTCGTGCCCTGGATTACAAGTGACTAACTAAGATACAACACTCACAAGATCTTAAGGTGCGAAAACATTCTCTCTGATAGTCGGGTAAGACTGTGTACATCTAATCTTATTCAAACTCTTGAATTACGGGAGTTTGTGCACCAAGTATGCCTTTTATTCACATGATCTTAAGGTATAACGATGTGAAGCCTGAAAGTTAAGCGAGTTTGTTACCATTTGTAAGCATCTTTGAGGAATAATTATATAAGAAGAGAAGTAGCATCAGAGAGTGCTTCTATCCAAATAAGTCTGAAGGGATAAGATGATCCTAAACTAGCTGGCCACTTCACTATGTAGGAATAAGTATCATGCAAGTAAAGAAGGGATTCTCCTGTACTATACCAAAATTCTGTTTCCAACAGGCAGTGACTAAAGTATGCTCATCGAACATACACACAAGTCGGGGAAATATAAGCGAAACAGTCTAAAAGATAGTATTAATGAATGAATCAACTTGGTATGTATAAGAATACCTAAAACTTAAACGTTAGGAAAATAGTATTACTCGGTATGGTAACAGGAGGAGACTGATAAATAGACAAAATATTGTCGAAAAAGAATAGGAAAGATAATTCGAGGAAGACCACATACCACATGCATCATGAGGGTTTAGAAAGTAAGACTAGATCTTTGAATTGCAAGCAACCTTTTCAAGGTTCATCAAGAACACCCACCCTTTTGTGTCCAAATCAGGCACATGCATCAAACGACTCCAGTTCTTTTTGATTAGTTTCAACGTTGTAATTTACACCATAATCTTTTGATCTTCCTTGCTAGCTGAAAATTGGGTGGTGACTGTAATGCAGAAATTGACCAATCAATTGAAATGAGTCCACCTCTCTCTCTCTCTCTCTTTCTCATAATACACGTATAAAAGGGCAAGTAAATGTACTGAATCTTTTGCTACCATGTGGTCAGAAGTATATCAAATGTACACATTCTTACTCCATAAGAGAGGTTGTTTCTGCAACTTATAGGGGGTGGAGGGAGGGTGTGGCAATGTGGGGGGTTGCCCTCACTGCATTTCAAAAGAACTGTGGGCTAACTGGAATTTACAAAATTTAAAAATTTGCTTCCACTGAAAATTTATAAGAAGTTTCGGTGGTAAGCTTTTGATATTCAGCGACCCCTGTTAAAAAATAATCGCAAAAATCTAAACATTTATCTATCCATCCATGAGGTAGATCAGCCGCAACTCCTTCGAGACGAAATTGATTAATTCAAATTCTAAAAATTAATTGTGATTCTTTCATACATAGAAAACTTATACTTTTATAGAGATCAAATAGCAAACGGAATCCAATTCATTCTTAATTCTATTTGGTAGCACGAATTAATATCTCTAACCGAATATCTGAGTTTTATCGGTTATATTGTTTGATTTGCATATGCTTATATAGATATATATGATGAAATTAAGCGTTATTCATTAAAATTAAATCAAAATTAAGATGTAATTTGTTAAAAATTAATTTTAGTTGACTCACATTCGATCGTATTCATAATATTTATCTCATTCGAGTATGAAATTTGTATATGACATCTATTATAGTTCAAATCTAAAGAAATTTTCAAAACAGATTGAATTACTCGAAATCCAAATCCGAGCGTTGAACGCTTACTCACCATTTTTTCACAAAGCATGTCAAGTTTTCATGATTTTCGCTTGATCATTCTTTTTAACTGATGATCACCCCTCATTACGAAGTAAACTACGACGACTTAAACTTTTAATGCCCAGATGACAATCGAACAAATCTATCATTACACTACAGCTGACCCTCCAAACATGTATATTTGTATACATATATATATATATATATATATATATATATATACACAAGCCAACACATACATACACTAAGAAAAGTAAATAGTCACCTTAATCAATGTATGATCTTGTAAACTGATTTGTGGGCCGGCCTAGCATCAAATTTTCCACATTAATCTCACTATCTTAATGTTCCAAGGGGTTTATTATCTTTTTATTCATTGTGATTCTCCCAAAAGCAGCCAATTGGAGAAGACACTAGTGAAAAATATGGATATTATTATGAAGGTGATATTGAAGCAGGTATTGGAGAAGCACTTAAATATAGAATAAGTTGACTTCTCTTTCTAAATAGGTCTTCTAGTGCCTTGATTTTCTTCGCATTTAGCCATATATGTTTGACAGAAAGGATTAAACATTAATGTGAAAGTCGAATGGGTAATGGATTAGGTTGATGGTCATGGATCATCTCTATTATTTTTTTCACACAATTTCACTCAACAGTAGATCACTCGTTGTGTATGAGTGAAGAGTCCGTATATAAATAATGGGTCTTACGTAAATGCATAGTAGGTGATCTACCATTGAGTAAAATTATGTAAAAAATTGATGAATATATCAATCCTATGGTTTGTTACTTGGGAGGATGGCAGGGTGAGAAATATAACAATACTATTGAAACTTAATTTTATGACTCCATTCACTATAACCCTTAGATTGTTTGTGGACTCCATTAAATATCGAAATTCGATGTTAATTCAATGGTGACAATGAAATGACATTATTAAATCTGATCTTTAAATCACAATAATATATATATATATATATATATATATATGAATGTCGGGGTAAAATGGACAACAGGTGGAAAATCATCGGTCCACGAAAATGGACAACAGTCTCTTTAGTGGGAGACACGAAAATATAATTTCCACTAGGTTTTGTAGTTTAGATTATTGCATTTTTCTACTTCCTCATTGGAGTTTATCCAAATTGACCCCCAAAGAGACTCTCTCTCTCTCTCTCTCTCTCTCTCGTATGGACATGTAGCCACGTTTGGCTATGCTGGCCATTATAGAAGTCAGTTTAATTTTTTTTGCTCCTTTCACTTGTAATATGGATATGGCACCTACAAACTCTTCACATCCTAGGGAATCCTATATCTGATTCCATATCATTTGATTTGGGTTCATAAACTGTTAATTGACTTAATCATTCATAATCATTGAATTACAATACACTAATATTTGTTGACACCATAACTAATTTAATAATTGTAATAAATTAGCAACAAATTATGTCAACAAATCATTATTGATAAAAAAAATAAAAAAATTGAGAAAAAATACCATGTGCCCACTTTATTGTCATTTTTGATGGCACTGATAATGAAGTTATCATAAAATATTTTCCAAGTATAAAGATTCGTTGGGATCAATTGTAAATAACTATAATTAATCTTATTTTTTTTGTAAAAGATTATAATTAACCTCTTCTTTGTTATTTTTTATTTGCATAGACTATGTATATTAATTTTGGCTTTTTAATATTTAATGAATCTTTAAGTATTAAATATGATATAATAAAATATAAATGTAGAAAATTATTTATATTAGTAAAACTTATGATTAAGTGTATCCACCCTAAAACATATTCCTAGCTCCGTCATGCTGGTGGGGTAAGTGGATGTAATGGCTGGGAGAAGTCAGGGTTAAGAAAGTAATTAGTGGGGGACAGAGAGTATACAGTGGCAATAAGAATGTCGAGAAAGTGAGAAGCTCTGAAATTTCTGTCGGGTGTGGAGAGCGAAGATATGTCAAAATGCGCTATTTCAAATATGGCATATTTAGTCCTAACGAAGAAATATTTTGCTACTCCCAACTTCTTTAGTGGGAGATTTTTGTAATTATAACCTTCAATTTCTTTCGTCACGGAAACAATCCTCACATAAATATAATACTATATACTTGACTCTCTTCTAAATCCGCAATTTCGAGATCTTTGTGCATTGAACCGCCTTTTTTAACTTCCATTCCTATCATACAAAAATTATCTCATCCTACACTATGACCACCTCCCCTCTCTCTCGCACGCACACACAGTCACACTCACATATATATACTCTCTCTCTCTCTCTCTCTCTCTCTCTCACACACACACACACACACGAATGGTAACACTCAACTTGCTTAAGTTAAGAAACTCTACAAAAATCTGTTTCCTTTGTTGCTGGTTGGTTCTGGAAGCCCTGCTTGTGATTCAATAAGAAAGTATCCCAAAGATCAGTAACAAGAGCCACAAGAATGCAGACAAGCATGCTATGGATATAGACCACATCCCTACTCCCAAAAGCTATCTTCTAACAGGGAATAATCTAACAAATCATGTCAATTAGTTGAAGGAGAATAGGCAGCATATTAAATTGTGTAGCTAACATAACGATAATTACTAATCAACTATACCATCGGTTTGTTAAAAATAAAAGTCAACAAAAAAATATATTCATGCCAATAATCAATGCTTGCACTCTTTCGGAAAGGACTTCAATAGGCTAAGAAAATAACAACAGAGGTAGGTTCGGGAAAAGAATGAAACATGGTGGTTAAAATTTAGAGCGTGCTACTTACCCAAAAAGAAAATTTGGAAGTACAATAGTTGATGAAAATCAAACAAACCGTTGATCCTGGCATTTTTAACTCACTAAATGTATTGTTAGGACAGGACTCATACAAAAGAATCATTTTGGCGTGTAATTGTCCATGCACACTGGTTTCATGTTATAGTTAACAATTAAAATGACAACAAAATGTGAGAAATTGGGGAAAAAATAGCAGCCCAGAGCTTCGCCCTGAAAGATACAATCAAAGATGAAAGATGAAAACCATAAGGTTTTAAGGCGCGTAGCCTACAGGTAAACCAAAATGGATAATGGCAATACTCAATTTTGTTTTACCTGATGATTGCTAAGTCAGTATCAGTGGTCGTCTAGAGGCCAAAATTGCACATCTGCACGAACTCCATTTCATAATCAACATATTTAGTCCATAAATGCTTGAATTGGTTCATAGCAATGTCAAGCCAAGGTTTCATGTTTCCATTGAAGTGGATGACAGCAGCATTATTGATCTCATCCATGCTGATACTGGGATTGTATCCAAGCCCGAGCACATGCCATGATTTGTCCAATGACTTTGTTGTTGCGTAGAAGGTGATCAGGCCAGCTGGGAGGGTCCCCAGTTTCCATAAGGTCTGATTCTCATTCTGATGGAAAATATTCAAAGAATGTCAGACGATGAATATAAAATGGACAAAAAGTAATTCAAAAGACAAACAAGTACCCATCAGGGGAAAATTGATTTACCAGGTTCTGCCAATAATGGTATTGTTCAGTGCATTTCTCACGCTTCCAAGCATCAAGATCAAATATATTCATCCCATAAGCCCAGGCACATGCCTTTGGATTAAACCTCTCCCTAATTAGAGGGTGAGAGAAATTCAAATACTGAGCATAACGGTGAAATGACCCAAAGCAGGTCTCAACAGCACCATTCACCTTCCCACCCATATCAATTTTCCACAACATAGTCAAATCCTTCTGAACTACAACATCATCATCAAGAAACAATATCCTGTGCAGCTTTGGGTACATCTCTGGCAAATAAAACCTAAGGTAATTTAACATTGACAAGTACTTAGGGTTCCTGAATTTCATGTTGTTCACGTCTTTAGTTGCAGATTCCAGTTGCCTGAGGACTGGCTCGTATGAAGAATTCAAGAATGTGTAATCCTCCACGGTTTTGATCTCAACGTGGGCACCTCCTTTTACTGGCCTTATCTTAAACCAAACCTTCATGGCTGCAAGGTTCATCTTATCTGTGACGATATGGAAAACATGTCTCCATGGCTCCTCTGCATTCTTTACAGCTGAATTAACTACCACAGAGACCGCAATCACATTATCAGAAAATATTGCATAATGGAACAAACTCGGGTCCTCAAACTCAGGCTTAGGCTCATCGTCCCTGTACTTCTCTGGATTTGCAATCCTCTCCCCCATAAGGCGCATTGCAAGGCAATGTAAACTTTTGGGAGTCGATTTTGCAGCGATCAAACTAGCAAATGCACCATTCTTCTTAGCCTTAATGAGCAACTCATTAACAGCAAATATGGTGTCTTTCAGTTTTTGAATCTTCAATTGATTGTCATAAGACTCTTTTGCATCAGCAATCATTAACCTAGCATTCTTGACTTTATCCTTAACCTCCTTCTCGAATTGCCTCAACACATCCTCATCCACTGGCCCATCCGATTTAAATAAGGACGTGTGATAACTCGGTTTAAATGCAAGATCGGAGAAATTCTTTGCCAAGTCATCAAACATTCTAAGTTTGCTAGAGATCTCGAGCTTAAGCTTCCTCGCATAAGCCGCATATGCATTCACTAGAGCAATGTGATCATTTGCTTGCTTATAAATCAAATCTAACCTAGTCTTCAATGGATCCGACTTTATCGCTAGAAAGGTCCGCTGAACATAGGCATTTCCAGTAGTCTGTATCACCTGTTTGGAATTAAGTCAAACCACCTAAATTTCAATTTATGTTTAGCTAAACATTCCAACGCAGTTCAGCTTTGTGGACAATCTTTGACAATAGTTATGCATTAAACAAAAAATAGGTCGATATGCATATAGAGTACAAACACGAACACACGCTACACAACCTTTCGGCAAAACACGGGATTAGCAACACTCCAACAGTGGAATTCCCATCACACAATTTAAATAATCTTCTTTCCTTTCCCAGTCTCGGCAGAGGGGTAGAGTTCATCATCAAATACGAGTGAAAATGAGATAAATGACACATGCATACATACGCCACACACATGATTATGCAACTCGTCGAAAATCAAATTCAACCTAGTCTGCAACAGATCTAAATTAACCGACCGTGCAGAACCACCTCCGGCCGTTGAAATTACCGGCTAAACTAAACTAATTGCATTAAGGATGTTGTGATGTGCTCCATTTCCTTTCCTTTCTTTTCTTTTCAAGGTCAATCTCCGCAGTAGAACTGAACATGAAGAAATATTAACTTACAAATGGCCAATATATGTACACAACACACACAATCGATAACATAAACGCAGCATTCTTCACTATCACAACATTCCCAAAATTAGGCGTTCCACAATATTATCTCTACAATTATTCATTTTTTTCATCTTTTCTTCTAATACTCTGGGCAATAGAACAGGACATAACACAAAAATTGATCAAATACACATACAAAGAGAGTGACTTACAGAGTCGTGATGGGAGGGATGAGAAGAGAAGAGAACAGAGAAAGTGGCGAGGAAGAGGAGAGTGAACATCGCGGAGACAAAGATCCGGTATGAAAAGAAGTTGCGAAGGGCCGATCCGCCACCAGATCCTCCTCGGCCACCCCGGACAGCAACCGCCATGATCTATTACTTAATTGCACGCCGATCTAATATTCAATGTAAACCACCTTTCAGTGTGGACTAGAGATGCAGTTTCTGGTTTCGAAGTGAGATGTAAGTGACAGAGGAGAGAGAAAATTTGCCGTGTTAGGGGGCGTGGGGGATGTTCTGACCAAATGTGTGTGAGGTTAGAGAGTGAGAGAGACTTGTCCGTCCCGCGTCGGTTGGTTTTTTCTATTATTTAATTTGTGTGGTGACCCCCAAGAATTTGGACGAATGACAGCACAAAAGATTAGACATTTAACATTCTAACCCTCAATTTAATTAGAAAATAACAGTATGGTCCAAACAACAATGAACACGAAAAGTTTACGTAGTTCGGAAAAATTTTGTCTACGTTCATAGAAGCGACTACTTCTTTAGAGTCTAATGTAAGAATTTTAATAATTTTTTTATAATGTGAGTTAAAAAAATTAAAAAATATTATTTAAACTTAATTTAAATACCTAATTAACTATAACTATTTAATTAAAAACAAGTTTCAGATAACATTGGAACTCAAAATTAATAGAATAGATGTGCTAAATCCAGTTTTCAACTTAGAAGAGTGAGATGTCCTCTAATATATTTTGTTTTTCAATTTCTTTATTAACTAATCATTTACTTTGTATTAAGTGAAACCTCTTTGCATATATGTGAGTTATTCATTTATTAATAATAGATAATCTGCTAAGTAGGAAAAAATATATTGGAAGGAGTTCGGATTCACAAATAGAGGATATAAGTATATGGTGATAATTTCTCATTGAGTAAAATTATATGAAAAAGCAATGGAAATAGATCTCAATCTCCTATCACATTGCTCGTAAAAAAGTTAGGGTATAAACTAAAAATTTACTCCTGTTTGGTTTTTTTTATGTATTTATTAAGAGCATTAATAGTGTTCTCTGAGCCTATAAGGGATTTTTACACTTTATACCCTAAAAAAATGCAATTATCACTTTATACTTTATAAGATTATTTTTCTCACATTACACTCTTAATATTATAAATTAGTTTCAATGTGAGACTAACATCCGTTTCAAATTCCTTTAAAAATTAATACACACGTCACTCCACGTGTATTATTCTTGGACAAAAATATAAACTCACAATTTATATATTTGGGTGGCATATGCATTAATTTTTAATGAAATCTGACACAAATATTAGTCTAAGGTCTACATTAGAACTAATTTATAACATTTAGGGTGTAATGTAAAAATAATAATTTTTAAAGTGAAAAGTGAGATTCAAGATATCTTTCAGGGTATAAAGTGTAAAATTCCCAACATATAAATAAGACTGCGAGTGAAAGAGGCCGCCTTCGAACCAAGAATTCCCGCGAAGTGGTTCTCACCTCCGGAATTCAAATTCTATTTTCACATCCAAAGGTGAATCAAATTCTGAAATACACTACTTGAATTGAACCCTCATGAACCGTTCTCTATTCCGGAACTGAGCTAAACAAATATGTCGAAACTTCCTCTCGTTCGAAATTAAGAGAATTTCTTGCGCTAAGGAAAAGGTTTGGAGGTTCACACTGGATTATATCTTCCTCAATTTCAATATTTTGATATGTGATGATGTTGTAGTCTTAATAACTTGATTTGCCTTTAAGAGCTTTACATATTAATTGTATTATTCACTGTATATCGTCTTCTTCTGTGTTGATATGTGGTTATTTTCCTGTGTTGTTATGTTTATTGGAATTGGGCTGCGATAACCCGATTTCCAATCTACTTTGAATAATCTATGTGATGTCTGAGGTAGTTTGAAGCTAAAAATTGACTGAAGAGGCTACAAATCTGCTTGAGAACTCAAGTCTAATAGTGGTTTATATTGAATTAGGTTTTTTAAGGGTGTATTTCAGTAGTAATTTAAGTTTTGAGGTGTTATTCTCTCAGTTCTTGGACACATGCAGCCTATATTTAATGATGGGCATGTCTGCATTTCATTGACTAACAAGTAAATAGGTGTTGAAATAGTTGATGAGGGACTCTCCTTCTTTAGCTTTACTTAATGAGGTTGAAGTAGAGTTCTCGAAGGTGTTGTCCATGCCGCAATCACTCCTCCTATTGTCGAATTTGTTTTTTTATGTCAATTTCTGATGTCGTTTAAACTATTGATTAAGCACTCCCCACCTGCACTACTTGATGAATGATTAGTACCTTCATCTGGCCAGAGGACTAGCCTAGTGGATTCCTTGGATACAAAGTTAAATGGATTCTTAATCATTCATCAAGGCCCAATGGGAGTTTGGACTGAGCAACTCCTAGTGCCAAACCATTATCCTTGGTGGCACGTAGAATATATGACTTTAGAGCATTTTTTTTCCACTACAAAAGGAGTGGGAACATTTAATTCAGAGTAAGAGTAATATCTAGATGTTTCATTCATAGAATGACAAATTCCTCTTTGTACTTTGTTTGACTTAAAGTTGTTATATTACTAAGGGTTAGTATCTATTTGTATCGTTGCCTCTCAAAAAAAAAAGGGCAAAACTAAAGGGCTACAAAAGCATGATATCTATGTTTTCTCAATCTGTTTATAGTTCCTTGCTATTTTTATGTTAAAAGCAACCCCATAGTTACCAAAAACACACCTGCAAGTATTTTTTTCCTATCAAGTCATCAATTAATCAAGAAATGCATCCAGCATCATAAATGTTTATTGTGATAAGCAACAAATCTGGCTGGGATCTGAAAACATGGGAATCACGTTGGCTCATTCTTTGATTGCTGGCTACCAGATGTCACAGACCCAGGTCTTGCATTTTCATCTTGATTGTTCTTTAGTAAACATCTAGGTTTCTGGTAGTACAAGTGTAGGTATACATGCCTGCTATATTCGATTACTTGTTTACAAGCACCTTTATGTACATAGATTTAATTATTGCATTGCTATCGCACCAGTGCTCTATTAAGTATTTGATATATCACATATGGAACAATCACACCAAATTCAGGAGTCCATTAGTTCACTTTACCAATGTCCAGGCACAGAAAAAGATCCAAAATATTTAGGATTTAGAAAGACATGAGTGGTGAACTTAATGCTGCTCAAATGTTAAAGAACTAGTTATAACCCGTGCTTGAAGGCAAGATAAAACATAAGATTCTAGCGTTAAAAAAATTAATCACACTATATTAAATTTAAAATTAATTTTTTTGCTTACATCATTTAATATTAATTTCTACCTTTTATTTTCTTAAAAATAGCGTCAAATTTTTTTTCAAAATGCATAACTCGATAATTTTTTTTTAACATGTATACAACATCGTGTATGAATAATGTATTAAATAAAAATTGTGTTAAACTACAAATTAACTAAATATTAAATGATTGAATATGTGATAGAATTGAGTGATGTGATGTGATATTTTTTTGGGGGAAAATGTATAGAGGATAAAGATCCAACTTACTAGCTGATTTATTATATAGATTGTTTGAAAAACCACAAAAATATGTAAACCACGGTTACCTGATGCATATTTGACAGGTGTACTTGTCAAAATGTACTCACACACTGTGATTGACTGAAACATCTATTTCAGTTGTCTTTGCAATAAGAAGTATTCACGTGCATACCACACAAACATAAAATGCATTACCTCAAGTTTACTAATTTGTGGCACATAGAAATTATAAAAGGAGATAAAAGGAATGATGAAGATAAGGCTCAGACTTGGTGGTGGTTCTTGTATAGAGGTGTTCAAAGATTATTACTAACCTTACTGGTGAAGTCTGTTAGTTCACCTCTTGTCCATCAAAGGGGAGGTGAGATAGTTGCTGTATCACAGACTAATATAGATAAAATGACTACCAACATCTGAACACATTGATGAAACTCTTAGAAAAGCATGGAACAATGTAACTTGGGGACTTTAGGGGATGTCTCTTTCACATGTTTTTCTTCTTATATCAGTTGTTGTATTATCAGTTCTTATATAAGTTGACCAGCCTTTTACTTATGTTGTGTTTTTGCACTCTCTTACACAGAAAAGCCACTTGTATGCCTCTCTGTTGTACTTCACCTGACCGGACTAGTACTTCTTGCAGTAATAACAGTTGTGATTTTTTTTCATTATTCTCTTTAAAATAATTTTCAATTTGGCTTCCAATTCTTCTTCCATTTTATAGGTGATTTCTCTATTATATATTATGACTGGTGGGTTTTTAGTATAATCAATGAAGAAAAGATCACCATGGAATCTCTTTTCGTGTACTCTGACCGGTCAGTTCTCATAATGCCCTTTCTGGTTTTACTTTGTGATCCTTCTGAAAATATTTGTGCAGTTAACGGGGTGAGACCTAGATAATAGAAGCATTTTTTTTTCTGTCTTAAAAATACATATAATGCACGTGACTTGAAAACTAAAATAAGAATGATTTTCTTAAAAGTTGTTATTGCACTTCTCTCCGATCTTGTACTTCTTCAATTAAAGCCAAATACTGGTGGACTTAGATACGAATGAAGATCAAAGTGATAAAGGGAAAACCAATATCACCGGCTTCATCTCAGTGAAGCAAATCCATGGAATTTGTGATGGTTTGACTTGAGGATTCTGTTCTGAGGTAGCCATTGCAAAGGATGTCAAGATGATCTCTCAAGGAAGGGTGGCGGCTGTTCAGCTGCATATCTGTTAGCATTTGACGAAGTTCTAAAGCTGTTTCTTTAAGTTTAGCATTCTCTTGAAAGACATGATCATGTCGTTCTGAAACATGGTTCAGTTTATCCATGAGTTGATGATTCTCATTTTGGAGCCAAGCAACCTGCGACCAGAGCTCGTCTAGATGCCTCTGCTTGCGCATACGTGACCGACGCGCTGACTCTCTATTTGAAATCATTCTTCTCTGCTTCCTCTCATTGATGATACTTAGCTGTTGCCCATCTGCTTCATCAGAAGTTGAGTTACTGCTAAAACATGTTTGTCGTGGATTAAATTCTTGGATTTGAGAAGCGCTTTGTAGATGATGCAAATGGTTTGAAAGTCCATTAAACTGAAATCCTTGTGTGTTGTTGAAGCTAACATGAGACAGGAATGGATTTGGGTTTGAAGGAAGTACATAATGTTCTTGTGTGGGCTGCATGGCTTTGAAGCTTTTGAGTGAATATGCAATGACTAAGTTTTAGACAGGGTTTGAGGGGTCAGGTAGATGGAGTCTGATATAAGGCGGAGGGAAACTTGAGAGGAAAGGGGATTTTATAGGATGGGAAAAGGTTGTGTCCCCACTTTTACCAATTTGGAGTAACAGTAGAGTTTCTTAAAGATGAGACCATTGGAATATGATGCTGAACATGTCCATGTACTTATGTAGTATCACATCCATTATTTATGGAACATGCAACCCATGTCTATATATAGTTGTTACTCATGCCCTTTATGGTCATTCAATGTGTACATGTACACATGCCTCTCATAGAACTTTGTCATTGCATACCCATAGATGGACGGGGAATGAGAGCTTTATTGTGGATAATCATTCTGTGATTGAAAAAACCATGTTTACATCAGAGAGAGAAAGAGAGTGGATTTATATCATGGGAAGTAGAATTAAATAAAAGGAGAAATAGTTTGGAAGATAAGAGCCAATAGCGGAAATGGGGTTCAAGAAATCAATCTCAAATCTGAAAAGTGGTGTTATTGCCAAGCCAATCTTGATTGTTTTTACTCTTAGATGTTCTTGGCCAGTGGCGTGTTGTGATGTAAAGGAACAGGAGGTTGGAGAAGGTATAAGAAATTGGTGACTTGACAGCCACTTTGATGAGATTCATACAATAATAAGATATAATATACTTGATCGAATGCTGATTTTATGATTATTAGAAATCAAAGCCCCTTCTTGTGGCACACAGGCGCCAGTCAGTGCCATATCAGGGGGCGGAGAGGTGTCTTAGTCATTGTTGAATTTAATGTATGCAGACCGAACAATTTATCTGTTTTTCCACACCATTCTTTGGAATAATGACAGCAGCATCTCCCACTGTGAGTAGTTAATGGTAAAGCTGGAGTAAAGCGCAATGGGTTTGATGTGATATGTCACCAGATAGTATTGCCATCATCCTTGCATAGGTTCGAATGACCTGCAAGTGAACTTCTTTATAGTTTTTGGTGGAACATATTGAACTAAATGCAAAGGACCCATGTGTGAAAAGATGGTGAAATTTGAAGCTGCAATGTTTTATCAGATCCTGATCAAGTAAGTGAGTTATTTAATGCAAGCTTAGACTTTTCTATGTTTACTAAACTACTACAATATCAATATTTATATTTACCTTTTCGTTTTCTTTTAGTACCTTTTTTGTTATATCTCTCTTTTCTTCAGAAAAATCGAAAACTCCAGCCTCTATCTTTCTACAGGTCGAATTATTTTTATCTGTTAGAAAAAGAGAGAATTTCCTATTTTTTTCCTTCAATGCAATACTCAATACAATATTAAATAAAATAAGTAAACTGATTATATGGATTTGTTGAATAAGCAGACTGCATCTACTGACTTGGATTGAGTTCTAAATTACATAACAAGAATCTGAAGGTAGAAATTGGGAAATTTCTGTTTGGATGTGAGGTTGTTAACCTCAATGGACCATTTGTTTCTCACGATGCTCAGCTATGCAATATAATACGTAACTGTGTCTTGGGCAAATTCTTATTTTAGTAAGATGAGCAAGTTGAGAATAATGAAGAATCTTGTTTCATAATTCATGCTCTATGGGATCTTGCTTGGACTATATTGAGATAAGTCACTGAGAGTAGATTTTCTCCCAACCACAAAACTTACTGAGCATTATGAAGTGGAAAAATCTTGTTCTATGGTGATGGAAATGATGAGAAGGATATGGATGTACTTTGAAATGCATTGTTCCACTATTGAAAAAGTAATGCCTTCAGACCCAGGACTCTATTGGGGCAAAAGCTCTCTCCCTACTACATGTTGGTTCAGGTTGAGTGGACTGAATGGTCAACAATATCATTAGACAGATATAGACTCCTCTTTCTTTTCTTGCCTTCAAAGTGTTATTCCCATGCTCTATTCTCAGTGTTCTTTTCCTTTTTCATTTTTCCTTCTCTTTTCTGATGAAATCCCTTTCCATATAAGGATGAGTATAAAGTTGGCCAATATAGTTGAATACATAGATTAGATACGTTGAATACATTTTTGTCCAGTGCACTTGTTTAGATACGTTAATTTTGGATCATAGAATGCAGCACTCAAACCTTGGAGGGCAAAGATTTACCTCAGACTTGACTAAACCATATCTTTTAACATTTTTAAGCAAGAAAATTTCAGCAAGCAGTAGGAGCATATTTGATTAATATCTATCCAATTGGTCTACTTAACATGCTATTATACAAATAATATGCTCGTGTACACAACCATACATGTGATATAAGCTTCAAGGGCGAGGGAAATCTGGTATTAGCAAATGGTACTTTAGTGATTGGAAAAAATCTTAGATGCAAATAGTTCATTTGTGTGTATACGTGTGTATGTGTGTGTGTAAGGATCAGTTTTATTCAAAATGTATGTCTTGATCACAATACAATAGGATAGTTTGAATGAGAAGAATGATATATGTTTTTTTTTTAACTGTTAAATGATAATGTGTTTGCAATTTGAAACATGTATTGTATCCATAAGATTGAGTTTGTAAATGTGAGTAATTAAAGAAGTATAGGAATGTGTATTTGGTATCAGAGTGCTCCTCTCCCTCTCTCCCTCTCTCTCTCTCTCTCTCTCACACACACACACACACATTGGCCTTCAGAAATTTTAGTTGGTTGGGATACTTAGGCAGCCTCCCCCGTCACAGATGTGAATAAAATTATAGAAGGCATAGCACCCAACTTAGCACCCCACTCACCTGGCATGCATATCAACAGCAGATTTATCTATCACTATCTTATCAATCATGTCGCATCTCCTCATTTTTCCATTATGCCCTTACCACCCAGCTCATAAAATCCAAGCGTATGGCTGGGATTATAAAAATCATGTATGGTAATTTGGGAAGAGAGAATGATGGAGAACCGGTACCAAACAATCCCAAAGTCATGTGAAGAACACGGCAGCCAACCAAAAAAATAAGGGTGCATGATAGATTTCCCTGGGCCTTGCCAACAAGTGCCCATGGGTGGCGGGTGCACCATCTCCTCAGAGATCTCACCATATAGTAAGATTGAGATATCTTCTAACATATATTTTTTTTCTTCCACCGTGAATTTAAGGTGGATTTATTGTATATAAGTGATGAGTGATCTACCAAGCAGAGACATGGAAAAAAAAATGTAAAGAGGGAATCTAGATCTCATATTGTTCTACAAACAGCTCATCCATAGGCCTTAAAATCTCTCTCTCTCTCTCTCTCTCACACGCACGTATGCACGCACGCATTCATATTGAAAGGGAGAGCCAGCTTTTTTCAGGTGCTCCCTCACCCGTCATGGGGCTCTCAATTTTGTGGTACACTCACATATGTGAGCCATTTGTGCACCCCACTCAAGCAACCTACACTTTTTCTCTTCAATGCTAGTGAGGACACAATTTTAATTTGTTCAACCTGATAAAGTTTTTGTCCAAACTTTTTTGCCGTTGGTGTCTAAACTCGTGTTTCATGGTTCTGCTATATGTTCAAACATAAGACAGGCTAATGCCGTAGTTAGATCTAAGTTTCTATGCTGGATCACTAGTTGGGGTGGAGAGACCTTTTATGATTTCAGTTATTTTACCTCGCTTCTTTCTACCACAATCATTTTGTTGGATTCGTGAAGTTTGTGTTCTTTTATGTTTTATATTGTTGAGCGATGATAATAAGATCCAAACTTTGACGGCTACTCTCATGTCGTCTACCCTCAAGTTGTCTGATCATCTTCATTCTCACATTACTATATTGTAGGATTACGACTTTTTTAGCATATAAAATCGATGGATTAACATTTAGATTAGAGAAAAAACAGGAAAGAAAAACTCTGATCCTCTGCATTCTTTGCCTCATCCATGTTGATACATTTCATTTTGAATTCCATTGGTTCCTTACTAGTTGGTCTTCATTCAAATTAGAATGTTACTTCTTTGAATGCATTCTTTTTCTTGCAACAATGATAACAAGTAGGAAGTAGATTTGACGGACACATTTTAGACCTTTGCAATCCAAAACACTAATGCATTCTGTCTTAATCCGACAATGCAGTTATACTTTTTTAATATATATGTCTCTCTAATTAGGTATTGAGATCTCAAGAGATTGCTTAAGAGCGTCTAAGTGCAAAAACCTTGGTCATCGTCACACTTTTATTTGAACTTTTCGTTTAATAAATATAAAACATTTAATTTGTCCATTTTATGTGTTAATAATATTGTCATCTTGGTTACATTATACATTCTATGACATAGTTCTGGATGGTGCATTTTAGAGCACTGCGGTTGCATGTGCTTAGTACCTGTAATAAGGATTTTGTCCACTACCATTGTGGCTAATAAAGGTGTTGCGTTATTTAAAGCAAATGGGCATGGCGTTGGGTGTAGTTAGATTGGGGGAGGCATAACCAACTTTTGGTCATCCACAAACTTTTTTATTGGAACACAAAGGCTTTATTTGTTGAACTAAAATTGTTACTTTGGTAATTTTGCATTCTTGAAATATTGTGAATTGAGCATGAATCGATTTCTAGTTTACTCAATTGAGTGGTTATTTTTTGAGTTTAGCATGAAGAGTAAATGAGTTCAAACTTTTGATCATATTGGATTCGTACGTTTCTAGTATGAAGAGTTCGAACAATTAAAATTGAGCCAAGTCATAGTTAGAATTGAGTGGCTATGTTTGTTTTAAGAGTAGCATTTTAATTATCAGAATTGTTTATAAACGTCTCTATTTGAATAATGATTTTACTTGTTTTTTATTTATACCTTTCTTCCTTGATATCTCTTTTACCTTTCTCTCATTCACTATCAAATCCATAAAAGATACACAAATTCAATACAATAATGATTGAAACAATAATACTGAATACCTACCCTCTTAAAAAATAGCTTCCTAAGTGCCCAAGGGTCACACTAGAGAATGTTGAGACAAAGTCACTAGCAAGAGCCACAGCCATAATAAGGTTTCTAGAGGGAATAAGTGCTTTATTTGATTGCCTTCATGGACACACTCAAAAGAGACAGACTTATCTCTCATTTGTGAAAATGAAAACATTGAATTTTTATATTTTTTTTCTCGCATGTTCCTCGTGTATGCTAGTGAAGTGAAACTGTGTTGTCAAGTTGATTAAGTTTGGGTTTTTTGGGTGTCAAACATAGTTGTCCTTAAGTTTGAACTAGTCCACAGTTTTTCCAAGCTTGGTCCGTGGCTTACGTTGGCCCAAAAAGGGTCTTGCTCGGCTATGCCATGACTCTATAAATGGCGTACGGGCTAGCCCATGGCCTGGCCTGTAAATTCCATGAATGCTATAAAAAATAACATCTAGTTTTAACTTGCTAATTTATACAAGTTATAAATTACAATTTGTAGAATATGTTATTTTAAGTAATAAGTGAGGGTTAGTCTTATTTACGAGACACCTAAAGTTCGGGTAATGGCCTGGGTTATGACTAGGGCTGTTAGTCGAATGAGCCTGAGCCAAGTTTAAATCGAACTTGAAAAGTTTATTTTTTAATCGAGACTTAAAAATTGTCCAAGTTCGGTCCGTTTAGGAAACGAGCACAAAACAAATAGAGTCTGAGTATTTGCATATAAACGAGTCAAGTTTGTTGAGTTTGAGCTAAATTTGTAAGGTTTGTTTTTTAAACGAGTTTAAAAACTTGTTCAAGTTCGAATTTGTTTAGCAAATGAATTAAATTCGAGTCAAACTCAAGTCAAGTTTAAATAATTCAATTTGATTAACGGCCTTAGTTATGATACGTGACTCTTTATGTGCAGCTAGGTGTGGCCCAACAATTTTTAGGGATGGGAATTGGCCTTAAAAATCTGCTAAAACTTTGCATATAGTTTCGCATTTAGAAAGTCAGCTCACTTCCCATACCCACCGGTGATTTTCGTGAGATAATATCATTTCATAGGAGATTTTTTTTTTTTTTTTAAAGACCTTGAACTCCATAAAGTTCTCATTTAAATTACAAGACACCATTTATGTGATACAAAATTGACATACATTTGATGGGTTAGGTTTAATTTTACCCATTTTGAATAATTTGTTAGACTTATTAAATAAAGAAGTCCACTTTTATTAAGACATACCATCCGATTACATATGATTATAAGTGGGTCGGGTTAACAGATTTTGACATCAAACGGGATTAAACCCAACAGGAACAATTACCAGGCTTGGTGTAATAGTAATAGACCACATCCAGGCACCTACAGGACCAAGGAAGCCAACCACCAGAACGCTGCCGGAACAGCAGCCCACAAGAAAAACACCACAGCCACGGCCATAGCGCCGACGGCGAAAAGCCTATAATACCTCGCCATCGTTGGATCACGTTGGCGGAGTACGATCGCGCAGACGGATCCAATGACCGACATAGTGAGCCCAAACACGAAGGTCTGAAAAGTCTTGGTTTGACCCTTGAAGATAACGGTAGGTACATAGTTACCGTCTATGTACTCCATCGGCAATTGCCAGAGTGACATGATTGTCATGTAAGCTATGGCGAACAGATGTTCTTCGTACCGTCGTCGATCCCAATCGGAGATCAGTGACTTCTTCTTAGGACGAAGATGAACATGTGGCAGTGATATTCTTACTTCTTCCATTTTTATTAAATGGGATATAACATAATGTGAGAGAGAGTGGTCTGCTAATTCTTGCTCCTCGGTGTTTATATTGTACTGGCAATCAGGGGATTCGAAGCAGTTTCAGAGTAAAGTTCGATGAAAGTTCGGGGAAAGGAAGGAGGAAAGTACACCAAAGCGCGTGATGTGGAAAATTTTGCTTATTTACTGTTAATTTTGTACCTCGACTTAAAAATTAAATTTAATAATTATAATTATTGATTTTATTGTGGGTCTTATTTATTATGATCCGATACCTATTCAATAGATGAGATTATCAAATCTAATTTTTATGTCTAATTTTTAAATCCATCTAACATTACTCTTAATTTTGTGTCAATTAATTCTTTTATTTCCTTTCATTTGATATAACAAATAGAATCTTGTTTATCACGTGATCGTTTCTTTCTCATATCATCGAAAAAACTTAATTCATAAAAAATTAATAATTAAAGTAATTAAAATTTTAATGACCGTTTTAAAATAGAAGTCAAAATTTTAAAATTAATTATAATATATATCCAATAATTTTACATTTATAATTTGGTCTGTTGGATTAAATTTGAATTAGATTGCAGTTGATCTTAATTTGAATTAAATTTTAAAATTTGAAATTTTATCTGAATATTTAACATATTTGTTTACGGTACATATTTGAATTAAACAAGTAAAGAATCCAAATACCCAATCCTATTTGATTGGAGTAACTCACAGAAATTAAATTTTACTAAGTTAAATTTGAATTTTGTAAAATAATCACTTAATTTTATTATTATTAATCTATAATAAAGTAATTAGATCTAAATTCAAGACAACATTTGATCCATTAACAAATTTACTTAAAATACGTGTAAAATAAGTAACCAGTCAAGTCTAATAACTTAATTTTAACACGCCGTTTAACACATTTTTGTATTAATAAAAGAGTTTATTATTTATAATTTTTTTTTTTTTTACAAAGTATCATTTGAGATCCAGTAGAATTAAAGTAATTTTATTCATGGTTTCACTGAAAAACCAGCACAGAAAGCATCAACGGTCGAAAAATCCGCGAAAATCATGATTTCAAAAATCAATGGCAGCTCTCATCCCTCAGCTTTACTTCAAAAAACGCCTCTTTTTCTTACCAAAGCCTCCATTCAACAATGTTCTACCCAATTGGAGAATACCTTTTTGTACAATATCTACAGTGACACCAAACCAAACGCTCTCCTACAGGAGAAAGACTTTTTCTCACATATTCCAAGAATGTTCCCGGCAAATAGCTCTACATCCTGGCAGACAAGCCCATGCTCTTATGGTAGTTTCTGGGTTCACCCCAACTGTATTTGTTACGAATTGTTTGATTCAAATGTACATAAAATGTTCCAACTTAGAAAATGCTAATAAAGTATTTGATCAAATGCCTCAAAGAGACATAGTTTCATGGAATGCAATGGTTTTCGGTTATACCAGTTGTGGAAATATGATGGTGGCTCAGTCTATGTTTGACTTGATGCCAGAGAGAGATGTCATTTCTTGGAACTCTTTAATTTCGGGGTATTTGCAAAACGGTTATTACCGGAAATCGGTTGATGTTTTCTTGGATATGGGAAGAGTAGGTGTAGTATTGGACAGAACGACTTTTGCTGTGATTTTGAAAGCGTGTTCGAGTTTGGAAGATTATGAGTTAGGGATTCAGATTCACGGACTTGTGGTTCGTATGGGTGTCGATTATGATGTGGTAACTGGAAGTGCCATTGTGGATATGTATGGGAAATGCAAGAAATTCGATGAGTTGTTGCGTTTTTTCAATGACATGCCTGAGAAGAATTGGGTTTCTTGGAGCGCTGTTATTGCAGGCTGCATCCAAAATGCTGAGTTTGTGGGTGGTTTAGAAATGTTCAAGGAAATGCAAAGAGAGGGAGTTGGTGTAAGTCAATCTACTTATGCTAGCGTTTTCAGGTCCTGTGCAAGTTTGTCTGAATTGAGGTTTGGTTCTCAATTGCATGCTCATGCATTGAAGGCTGATTTTGGATCTGATAGTATTGTAGGAACGGCCACTTTGGATATGTATGCAAAATGTGGTCATTTGTCTGATGCCAGAAAAGTATTTGATTTGTTGCCGAATCATACTCGGCAATCTTATAATGCCTTAATTATTGGGTATGCTCGAGGCGATCAAGGCTTTGCCGCTTTGCAGCTCTTTCGGCTTTTGCTGAGGTCTGGTCTTGGTTTTGATGAGATAAGCCTCTCTGGTGGATTGAACGCTTGTGCAGTGATCAAAGGGCATGTTGAGGGGATGCAAGTATATGGGTTGGCAACTAAGAGTTGTTTCTGGTCCAATGTTTGTGTGGCAAATGCAATTCTGGACATGTATGGAAAATGTAGAGCTTTGGCTGAAGCTCATCGTATCTTTGATGAAATGGAAATAAGAGATGCTGTTTCATGGAATGCAATTATTGCAGCTTATGAGCAGAATGAAAATGATGAGCAAACACTATCACTATTTGTTTGGATGCTCCGAGCAAGGAAGGAACCAGATGAATTCACTTATGGTAGTGTTTTGAAAGCTTGTGCAGGTCAACAAGCTCTGAACTGTGGCATGGAGATTCATCAGAGAATTATTAAATCTGGGATGGGGTTGGACGCGTTTGTTGGAAGTGCTCTTGTGGATATGTACTGCAAGTGTGCAAAGGTAGAAGAGGCAGAGAAGATCCATGACAGAATGGAGGAACAAACATTGGTTTCATGGAATGCAATCATCTCTGGATTCTCACTGAATGAACAGAGTGAGAACTCTCAGAAGTTCTTTTCTCGGATGTTAGAAATGGGCGTCATGCCTGATAATTTCACCTATGCTACTGTACTTGATACTTGTGCTAATTTGGCAAGTGTCGGACTTGGAAAGCAAATCCATGCTCAAGTCATGAAGCAGGAACTGCAGTCTGATGCATTCATATCCAGCACCCTCGTTGACATGTATTCAAAATGCGGAATCATGCTTGATTCCCGGCTAACATTCGAGAAAGCGCCGAAGCGGGACTTTGTGACCTGGAATGCGATGATTTGTGGCTATGCTCAGCATGGTCTTGGAGAAGAAGCTCTTGAGATTTTTGAGGATATGCAACTCAAAGGTGTGAAACCAAACCATGCTACTTTCGTTGCAGTCCTTCGAGCTTGTGCACATATTGGCCTTGTTCAGAAAGGGTTGCATTACTTCGATTCAATGCTTAGTGAGTATGAATTACCTCCTCAATTGGAACATTATTCGTGTATGATCGATATATTGGGTAGGTCAGGTCGAATTAGCGATGCTTTGAAGCTTATACAAAACATGCCTTTCGAGGCTGATGATGTTATCTGGAGAAATCTGCTTAGTACTTGCAAGATTCATGGGAATGTAGAGGTGGCAGAACAAGCAGCGAGTTCTCTTCTGCAGTTGGACCCGCAGGACTCTTCTGCTTATGTTCTTCTATCAAACATCTACGCTGATGCAGGAATGTGGGGTGAGGTTTCGAAGATGAGGAAGGTGATGAGGTATAGTGGGCTTAAGAAAGAGCCAGGTTGTAGCTGGATTGAGGTCAAGTCTGAAGTACACATGTTCCTTGTTGGGGACAAAGCTCATCCAAGATGCAGAGAGATATATGAGAATCTGTACTTGCTAATGGATGAAATGAAGTGGGCTGGGTATGTGCCTGATATTGATTTTGTGCTTCATGATGAGGAGGCAGAAGATGAGCCGCAAGAACTATTATCCCGCATGCACAATCTCTAGTTTTTAAGTCATACGGAAAACTAAGATCAAAAGCTGGGAAGCCTGCGATTGCAATGGTGAGTTTTTCTTCAACTTTACAAGATTCCAGTGTCTCATACTTAACACATAGTTGTACCTAGAGTAGCTACGGCATACTCAAGTGTACAATTAAAAAAAAAATTCCAAATAAATTACGTTGCCTGGATTCCTTCCGAAGGACATGACACGTCAAGACTTTACAGCTGTGGCAACCATAACCCCATGTTTATTATTCTATAATAATAATATGTCTACCGTGATCCACTAAAATATGAATATTTTATGTTTTGGTTTTAATTTTGCTTTTCAAACCCTAAGAGGTTTTCGCAAGTGTAAACCATTATTAGTGTTGTCAAATCGCAACATGTAGTGAGTTTTCACTTCACTAGTACAGGCTATGATCAAATTGACTTGTTAAGGCTAGTTAGTAAAGTTGGTTCGGACACGGGGAATGATGTGGGCTTTTCGGTAATTTGTATTAGTAGCCAAATGATTAGGGGAGGTTTTTGTTTTTTTGCGGGAAAAACAAGTTTTATTACCAAACAAATCACCCATTCTTTTCTTCCTTCCAACTGCAACGAAATTCTTACCTGAAAATCTAGGGTTGATTTTAGGGTTTTCAGGAGCTGATAGGACGGGTCCATTGACAAAGACGTTAACGGACGACGTCTTTCAACAACTGTAGAAAACTGATAAAAAAAACCTTAAATTTAACCTGATATCAATTTAAACCCGGCAGTAATTCCACCAAGAACATGGTCCGCATCAGCTAATCGCCCTGTCATATGATGTTGATGTCCGAGTCAAGTCTTATATAAGAACTGTACGTAGATCATGAATCTTTGCGTGAAGCTATCTCTTTCTTCTTCTTCTTCTTCTTCTTCTTTATAAATTGGACCTGAGCTCAAGAAGAAACAAGGACTTCCGTTGTTAGCTTTTGATTTCGAAGCTCAATTGGGATCCTTATAATTCTGGATCTTGAATTGTACATTGACGTGTTTCAATTTCTCTCCAATTTTATAATAATCCATTGGTTTCATATTTGATTAGGACCATTTCGGGTAAGATTTAGGTATTTTTAATGTCATGCCAATTGTGTTTTTTCGGTATTGCTGTTTTAGGACTTGGGTTTGTACATGCTAGCCGTGTAAATCTTGAAAACCGTACTTTTTTGTCAATTTTTTTTTTTTTTTGGTGATAGCAGTTGCTTCTTTTGAAAAATTCAAGCCTCTTTTAGGGAAGGAGGATCAGTCAAATCGAAGTGGCAGGAACAACTGCACTTTTTTCCTCTTATTTTATTCCGCAGGATTTTGCATTTACTGCTCGTTCCGGAGCCGTCGTGTAGATTCAATGCAGTCCAGTCAGAGGAAATGCTCGAACTGGCCTTTTTATCTGAGTTCCTCAAAACTTCTTGTCTTTTATTTGAAAAGTTTTAGCGATGTTCTATTGTTGATCTACTTCTTAACCTTCCTATTGCCAATTGCGTTCTGAAAGTTTGGCTCATGGGGGGCTTTGATAATTGTTTTTATCTTCTTGTTAGTTCTGAGAAAAAGTTAAGAGTTTCAAAGTAAAAATTGATTTAGTTATGGTCCCCTAGGCTTTTATAAATTTAGACTCAAAAGACTAGAGATATTTCAGTTTTGAAGTACTCATGTTGTGAGATATTGGATGTTGATTCTAACAATAGAGACAATTCATAGTTCCAAAACTAATTTTCTGAAGTTATCTGTACAGATCTTCTTGCTCTGAAACCTAGAAGGTTGAGCTATTTCGCATATCTTCAAATCTTTACTTGGAAAAATAAATATTAGACAATGACAATCGGAAGCCTTAAATCCGCAAACGAGAAGGTATCGCGAAAGAGCAAGCAAGTTGTTGATGAGAGAGCCCCTCTCTTACCCACTAAGCAGGAGGAAGATGCTGGGTTTGATGAGTTCAATGGGGCTTCCTTTAGTGGGGCAGTCTTTAATTTGTCGACGACAATTGTTGGTGCTGGAATCATGGCCTTGCCTGCAACTATGAAAGTATTGGGTCTTATTCTTGGAATTGCTTTGATCATATTTATGGCATTCCTGACAGAGGCTTCAATTGAGTTGTTGCTTAGGTTTAGTAGGGCTGGCAAAACTGTTTCTTATGGAGGTTTGATGGGAGAAACTTTTGGAAAGTATGGCAGGATGTTGCTGCAAATATGTGTTCTGGTCAACAATGTTGGTGTACTTGTCGTGTACATGATCATCATTGGTGAGATTTAGTTTCCAACAGCCATCATGTTGGTTGATTTTCGTCCTCATTATGATTTCAGATGTGTTGTGCATTTAGTTGGCATTTCAATCTTGTAAAAGTTTTTATAATTGTTAGGTGGGTTGCTCAAGATAGTATATTGAAATTATCGGATCGTGTATTTTTAGGTGATGTGCTTTCTGGAACAACCTCAAGTGGAATTCACCATGCTGGTGTCCTAGAAGGTTGGTTTGGATTGCAGTGGTGGAATGGTCGATTCTTTGTTCTTCTTGTAACAACTCTTGCAATATTTGCTCCATTGGCAAGTTTAAAGCGAATTGGTGAGTCCTTTTAACTTTCCTCTCTTTTTTTTGGGAACTTGGCAAATATTAGCAATTTCATACTTTTTAGAATTGTTTCTTTATTTTGTGGTCATTTACTCACTATATTTCTTTTAAGATTCACCACATTTAGATTTCAGGTGGTTCTAGTAGCCTGAGAGGCTTAGTTGTGATTGGTTATGTCCAATTTTTTTGGTACTTGCTAATTTTTTAATACATATAATTGTGTCAAGATACCTCTTTCAGAGTGAATATCTTGATAGCTATCCTCCATTTATGTTGATTTTGGGACCAGTAATGAACAGCATTGAGTAAGCACGCTGGTTTCTACCTTTTTCTCCACCATAAAGATCTAAGCCAGTTTTCAAGTTCTATAACTCTCCCTCATCTCAAAATCTGTGAAAATTATTGTAGCCTCTGATTGGTGTAATTTCTAGAAAGTTGTGGAGCAGAAAATTTGTTGTCTCTATAATAAAATCTTCTTAATAGTTGCTTAATTGTCATGTGTTTCCCTTTTATTTTGCATTTGTTGATTTTTGGAACTTTTACTTTTAACAGCAAGTGTGTAGTACCCAATTAAAGTAGCCATTTGCACCTTGTTTCGTTTGACTTTGTGATGCAATGATTATAATTGCCTTACTTTTGTGATTGCAGATTCATTAAGATTCACATCTGCATTATCAGTTGCACTGGCGGTTGTGTTTCTTGTTATTACCGTGGGAATCACGGTTTTCAAGTTGATAAATGGAAGCATTTTGATGCCTAGATTGTTTCCTGATGTTTATGATTTGACCTCATTCATCCAACTATTCACTGTCATCCCTGTTCTTGTCACCGCATACATCTGCCATTACAATGGTAAGCAAGCTTTATTTTTCCCTGTCCTCTTTTCATTTTGAATGTTGTGGCAAGAACTACTGACTGACCCTTTCAGAACCTGACAACAGACTACTAAATAAGCAAGTCAGATCAGGTGACTTTAATTCAATTATATCATGCACAACCAGTTCTTGAGTTATGCGGCTGATCTGATCAATCTGGAGTCAGTTTTATTCTGAAATGCCTGAATTTCTTATCCTTTTTAAATAATGCTTTCAGACAATAGGTTGTTGTTGGTGAGGAAATTATTGGAAAAATGTATTTGCATATACTAATTTATGAGATAGCTGATTTTATGATCACTCCAGCTGCATCATTACTATATAGACATTTGCAACTAGAAACCTTAGGGTTTGAATTAACTTTGACATTTTGATTCTGATCCTAAGCAAAGTAGTTTTGGGTTTTAATTTGGAGGTGCTAACTTATGAGGAGTTGACCTTTATGGGAAAATTTTGCAGTTCACTCAATAGATAATGAGCTTGAAGACAATACACAGATAAAAGCAGTTGTACGAACCTCGCTTTCTCTCTGCTCAACTGTGTATGTAATGACAAGCCTATTTGGATTCCTTCTGTTTGGCAATGCAACTCTTGACGACGTGCTCGCCAACTTTGACACTGACCTTGGAATTCCATATGGCTCCCTGCTTAATGATGCTGTGCGTGTTACCTATGCTGCCCACCTGATGCTTGTCTTTCCCATTGTTTTTTATCCATTGAGGTTGAACTTGGACGGCCTCCTCTTCCCTTCTGCAAGGCCTTTGACTTTGGATAACTTGAGGTTTGCATCACTCAGCACTGGGCTAATCACTCTCATCTTCTTGGGTGCAAATTTGATACCTAGCATTTGGGATGCTTTCCAGTTCACTGGAGCAACTGCAGCAGTTTGCATTGGGTTTATCTTTCCTGCTGCCGTTACCCTTAGGTAAGTTACAAATATTTTCCTGGACTTAACTGGAAGATCAATCATTATATTTTCTTTAATCCTGGAATTTAGTTTGTGTAGTTTTGACTTTTCAGAAGGATCATGATTAGGCATTCATCAATACTAATAATGACCCTCTATAAAATCAGGAATTTATCTTCGAGTCATTTCAAGCTTGTGATATGAATGATACATTGGCATCTGAAATCCTGTGGAAGAAAATCCATTGGTGGAGTGTAATCAATAATTCTGTGGGACCTTGCAACACCACGATAATCCAAATTTTGCCTCCTCGTTTTAAAATTGTTAGATGTGCTGCAATTGCTGGTGAAAATTAAAATGAACCGTAATTCTTTTTTGTCCCAGATCAGTTTACTAAATAAATTTCCCTCGGTGTTTCAGGGATTATCATGGTGTAGCAACAAAGAAGGACAAGATCTTATGTATTTTTATGATTGTACTTGCTGTCTTCTCAAACCTGGTGGCCATTTATAGCGATGCCTATTCCTTGTTAAAGAACAATGCATCGCCGCATGAATGAACTCTCCTACCATAAAGACACCCTGAAGGCCGGATCATTTCGAGTGATTCAGAAGTTCTTGGGTTTCTGTGAAGTCTGATGAGTCAAGTTTCAGTAAAATAGCACTCTGCTCAACGTCTAGGTTCAGTTACTTTGCCGGAGGTGTATGGAGACTTGTATGCATTCTGAATACTTTTTCCTTCCTGTGCACTATGGTACTGCAGTGTGTTTAATACTAAATGCTTGTGTGCACTGGAACAAAGTTATAGAAATAGAAATGTATAGCTTGGCTGTGTAATATGTTATTTTCTCTCTTCCCTTGGTTTGGTTCTCCTTTTGTTTGCCTCTCTGATGAGTTTACTGGGAGACTGAGTTCTGAAATTATCACCTGCATATTTCCAAAACGGGAATAAATCCAAACCATGAAATCTGAACTTTATCTCTGCACAATATGATAATTTTTAGAGCTTCATAATATTGTTTCCATATTGGACATTCTAAGCACAACTTTAGGAGGATATGTCACATCAAGCTGCTGGAAAAAAATTATGATTTAATCGGTAACCAAGCTTAACAATATATGAGTGATGCTGAGTGAAGTATAACAATGAATCTACCAAAAAGAAAAAAAGAGCTACAAAATATAGACTGCTGATGCAGGGAGAAAGCAAGGCATGCTCTAAATACTAGAACTGCACATCAATATATTACATGCTACCACCACTATTTGAAAACCTATTTACAAAACCAGTTCCTCAAACCATCCAGATTCTTGTTGAGCAAACAAGAATCTGCAGATTATGGGTTTCCAATGCTCGTCACGAAAGGCACCAGCCTTCTGTAATCTCTCCTCCTCCCAAGCGCACAGCTGTCAAGCACCCGACCAAGAATCAGACGGGTATTTTGCAAAGCCAAATCTCTAGGTGATATCCCTGATTCAGTTGCACCACCTTGTGCAGCTGGTGTGGAATCTGTCCCAAAACCTAGTCCCATTGCATACTGTAATGGCCCACTCCGAGCCTTGAATGAGGTCTGAGGAGCAAGAATCTTCTCATCTGTCCCAAGTCCATTATCAAAAGCCCCATGATCATGTGAATGGGAACCGGGCATAGAGCTACAACTCTGTAAGAGGGCTTCCAACACGCTAAGAGCCTCCCAACACAAGGTGCTTTCCACCAGCTGGGATACAATTGCATACATATGGGGGCTCTGAGCAGCATCCATGGGAGTATGCTGGAGTAATGCCTTAAGCATGAGAAGTATCACCCGCTGATATCCAACTGGCCCTTTCTCAAGAAGTCGCAGTAGGTGCCCAAACGCCAAAGCTGAGTTCTTTGGGAACCACTGACTGCACAATAGTGGCGATACACAGGCAAGTAGATTTTCTACACTTTTGATCTCACCACGGGAGTAAGACATGAACACAATGGCTAGTTCATCCAATGACTTTGCTCGACACCAAATTGCAATATTGGCTGCAACAGAGCAAGCCTTTTGGTACTGCTCTTGGAGGGGTGAAGCAGGGCCCACCACTGCTTCCTGGCTTAGCTGTAAGCAGAGCCAGGGAAGCAAGCCTGTGATGTGCATTAAGAGTCGTGTTTCTGCATCCCCAAAGATTGAATCACAAGAATGAATAGTGATTCGCGAGAGGACCTCAATAGATACACCATGACTTACGACTGACATGAGTCCTTTTAGAACAAGAGGCTGCACTCCTTCAAAGGCTGGCATCTTCCCACTTGATGGTGATGGCTCGCAGGCATTCCTTGATTCCATCCGCTGAAAGTTGGTACCATCATAGATGCTGGTATCGATGTCATCCCGGGGCATGCTTGAGAGGAGCACATTTTCTGTTGTTCTGTCCCAGAAGGATAAACGATCAATCACACGAGAGAAGAGCTCAAGAACCTGGCAGTAAACATGAACAAAGTCTGTATACATCATGGCTATACACCCCCAGAACAGCTGGGGGTAAAGTATCACCTTTTCTGGCTCCATATTCTCCACCATTACTTGTAATGTCAACAGAATTTCCATAATGAAGCCCAACACTGCAGGTACTGGATTTCCTAGACATCTGTGAAGGCAGCGGAGGAGTGATACACATGCATCACTCGTAACACGGGGCCGCAATGCACGGTAAATTTGGTGTGAGCGGCAGGCAAGGTGTCGTGATGTGCACTCCATGGCCCATTTGAGGGACTCCGCTCCCCAAGTTTCTCGAAGATCTCCTTGGAAAAATATAGCATCCACCATGCCCTGCACAAGGGCAGATAACAGTGCTGCACTTGGGAGCTCAGTCCTGATCACTGTAGGGTCTTCATTCTCCCACATCATGCTCCCTCGTTTTGACTGGACATACTTGATAAGGCTCACAACTTGTTGCTTGTTCTCCCCGTCATTATTTTCCACTTCATACAACTCCAAGTGCCGGCCTGCAAGGGAGTATAACAAATTAACCAGCAGGTGCTGGCAGTGCTCCAGAACAATATCTTCTGAACTATCCATTGAGACAAAAGTGACATGAAAGAGCAAAGGCAGGTGCTCCCGAAAATCCTCATCATTTTCATAAGCAATTTCTGCAAGTAGAATTAATGCTATGTCTGCATGAGTGAGCGAATGTTGCTGATGCCCTTGTAAGGCGGATTGTAGTTCTTTAGCACTAACACCATGCGTTGCAGCACCAGAATGCAACCCATCTTCCCCAGAATTTGGTGTGTCAATTAAATAGTCTCCACTGTCTCGAGAAACATGGCGACTCCTCAAGCTCCCCGTCGAACTTCGGACCCCCATTAATGGCCCTGACATATTTACCATAGTTGGAAGGAGTTGGCCTGACCGGCCAGCTGTAACAGGAACGATATTCAACTCAGGAGGCATTGGACTCAATGGGCCTGAGGCATTTCGGCCACCCACAGCTGCTGTTCTCCAGCTCAAGCTTCCACTAGTGTTTCTGAGTGGACCATCAAGAGATCCCCGAACAAGTAAGGGTGACATGTGAGGCTGGTTGTCTACAACAGACATAGTTTGTGCCATTGCTGGCCCCTGAGAAAACTCCAACACATAATCTCCACTAGAATCACCCTTTGCAGTTGGTCTTAGTGGCTCCACACTATCCTCAAGCATTCGCTGAGCCAATTGGTAAACCAAGTGATCAATTGAACATTGTGGACAAATCCGAGCTACATATAAACTCACTCGTTTAGCAACTGAGAAGTATGTAGCAAATGCACCACTTATTTCTGCTGATGCGTTTGAATCACAATCTTCAATTCCTTTAGTGATCAAGAAATCCAGAACAGGACTAATGTTCCTGGGCTTGCTAGCAATTGTGCTCCAGAGTTTTTCAATTTCGTCAGGAAACTGATCACCATGTCGCCATGTAACGTAGTAAAGGCTTTTCAACAACCTTTTACTCCAACCTGAGTCCTTGAGTTTCCAGAAATTTAGGTTCTCAATCCATGGAGACATGCATGTTAAAACCTGATGCTGTGCAATTATATCAACAGCATCAAGTTGCCTCTGCATGATTTCCTCACAAAGAAGCTGGCTTAGCTCAGGATGATCTTTGGCAAGTTTGCATGAGAGTTTGTACTGAAACTGTTGGTAAGAGTCCTGAAGGTTGCCAACCACAGCAGCTTGATAACTTCCTGAGCCCTCAATGCCATCCTCAGCCCATTCACGGACAGAGAGTGTCTCTAGCATCTGAAGGGCATCATCTCGGATTTGTCTAGATGGGTCCACCACTTTGTAAAGGATTAGGCTCAACAATCTCTGAATTTCACACTTAGGTATCTCTTCACGCATGTAGACTTCAGCCAGCACGCTGAAGTAGCCATCAGCTATGGCAGCATCAGAATAGTAGCACTGCAGAAAATATGTGGATATTAGTCCACAAAAGATAACATAAAAGGAAATGAAAGACAAGAATGAGACACCAATTACAATTAGCAAGCATGCAGGTTCCTACTCAGGGTGGTGCACAGGCTCAAGTAGGACGCTGGAGTACATAACAAAATGGATGAACAAGAACAGCAAAGGGCTCAAACATTAAAAAATAGGAAACACCAAGGACAATGGAAAATACTTCTGCCTGCATCCGGCGCATGACCCAAACCGCACCCCATATTTAAGTAAGGCTGCAAAGAAAGAGGTCCTTGCTTTATGGAACTTCCATTTCTGACTTTTTCTGTGGTTATGCATTTCAGTTTCAAACAGCCAAGTATTGGGAAAAACCAAATATTTGTGTGCTTGCACCAGTCTGAGGCTCTGAGCCAATATTATTAACTGTGTAATACAAGTTATTTCATAAGTTTCACTTGAGATGGTCTGCGTATTTTGGCACACTGATTGGGATGTGTGTACATAGAAGAAAGATCAACACCCGACAGCCAGTAGATTGTCTCAGACTACGTATATCTATTGTGATGTGCTATATTATAGAAGGGGTGCATATTACCTGATCAATGCAAGCAGGAAACAAGTCCAAATTCGTAAGAAGAAGATTCTTCAAAGCCAATTTTGCAAGGGAGACACGCAGGTGGCCACCCCTATGCCTCTCGCGTCCAGTTGCTCCTCGCCCACCTTCTCCCATATATTTGGAGTAAGATGGGGTTCTTGAATCAGCTGGTGAATAACCAAATGGAGCCCTATGTGCAGGCTCGATAAACAAACTATTAATCCACGATATTAACCGGCCACTCATTTTTCTTGCATTGTCATCGAAGCAAGGCCCATATAATAATGAAGCCATAGCATTCATGGAGGCCCACTGGATAGCCTCAACTTGTTCACTCACTTCTTTATTAAATGAAAATTTGTCTATAGAATCTTTTGACCGAGTGTGCTGAGTAGACTTGTAACGTTCGACTTCACGGTGGTAATCACTAACGCCATCCTGACTCCATGTACTCCCTGTGTCATCACACCATGATAGAAGAAGATCAAACAATCGCTTTCTAGTTTTGATATCGAATTTCTCTGATTTTGAATCAACAAATTCAGGGGGCAATGTTCTTAGAACAGAAGCAAGTGCATAACGGAGAGGTTTCATTTCTGTGAAGCTCTCAGCCGGTGCTGTTAAGATTTGTCTGGCTGTTTCTTCAATGAACTTTAAGTAATGAAGACGAAAAACGGGCTTACGGCTAAGCATGCCTGGCCAGATATTCTCTGCAATATTACGGTATATATTGGCAACGTAGATGCGGAGTTCTTCACGACGGGACTTTTGGCTCTGCATTGATTTAAGTGACATTTTATGTAATTCATTTGAGTAGAAGCCAATATAGGAATTAATCAACTTAAGTAAGAATCAAAGCAAGAGAATATATAACGCAACATAATTTTTGACAAAATTATTGTCTTTCCTTTTTCTCTTCCCATTTCTTAAGGGCTGCCTCTAAATGCAATTTCATAGATAGACTCAGGAGGTTGGATGGGAGATCTCCAGGAATTAAAATATGAAAAGGACATTGCATACTCTTCCAAAAGAAACATCATGTTTGACAAGAGCTTGTGGTGTGCAAGTTATAAATTGGGCCTTAAGTCCAAACACGTTAATAGCAACCTGATAGATTATTTGATATCTGTTGGTTGCCCTTCTTATTCCTACCCTAGATTCAGCTTAGGCTGAAGCAGCTCGAAGTTAAGTCAACAGAGTCAAATGATCTATCTCATTAATGCATTCTCACACATCACAAGCTCATTCTCATCAAGGTGGTTATCCCCCAACCAACTGTGATTCACTTGGATGACAATGAACAATCTCAATGCTAATGCTTGAAAGAGCTCGACCATCATTGCTTGGGGTTAGCAGCATAACAATGCTCTACCATTGGGGTATGAAATTTTGGAATTGTTATACCCATCACAGTAATCATGTTCCCCAGTTCAAAAGCTCCTAATTCACTAACGCTATGGTTAGCAATTATTGTGCACTCATACTGCTGGATGGTCAACATTAAGATATAAAACACATTAGATAAAAAAGCATAGTAGGACTAGTCCAACTACCCATTCCCACCAACATTCAAAGAAAAAAATGAGGGACAGAATTGGGATAGAAAAATAAAAAGCAGGGGACTTTCAAGCATTTAAGCATCTATTGTACCTTCCACTTGGGTTTTCCCTCTGTTTCAAAAGAAATGTCGTCAATGAAAGATGCAAGCTCACCAAACATGATTTCACATACTTCTAGATTTGAGTGGCCGAGAGCCATAGTAGCTGCATGCTGAGAAAGAAGAAAAATGAACAAACTTGACAATAATGATAAAAACCTGAAGATTATTAGTCATAAAAATAGAACATAAAACTATTTCCCACAGTATATCCCACAGAAGCACCTTAGCACACAAATAAAGTTGGCTAATGCATTTTTATTCCTGTTGCCCACTAATTCAGAATTTTCAATAATGGAGGCACACAGATCTATCTTTTTGACACATGGCAAGTTGCATCGAAAATAATAATCGTGCAGGATAGTTTTCTGCTTAATCAAAATCTTGCATATAATATTGTTTGCCACTGAAAAAATCAATGCTTTTTGGTAGACATTACCTATGGATGTCATATACTATCTTTTTCAGATGTGAAAAAATGGTTTCAATAAGAAAAAAAAACCCAGTTAATCCATTGTAGAGCTGACAGATTGATTATTCGCAGCAAGGTGAGTGTATGCAGTAAACATGCATGAAACTTCCACAAGTTCAGTAATCACCATCTTATCTTGTTTACCAGAATTTTGGGTACTTACTAGCTTACTTTCATAACCCTAACCCTTTCCTTATCATATTACCAATGTTTTTGTCCCCAGTACCTGAAAGAGGTTGCAGTCAAGAAATTTTCTGCAATAATATAATTCTGGATTTCCTGCAGCCAAATACCTCCAATGATCCCGACACTTTTTTTAGAAAACTAGGAATGAAGAAGCCTACATTTGCTTTTTCCATATCTTTTGTTAAAACAAAATTTAAGAAATAAGAGTTTAATGGATGCAAAAGAGTTGACAATTTATGTTTTACAAGTAGATTGACCATAAGATTTTAGGATAAGTGCATAAAAATTTCTGGACACTGAACAATTTTAGGGTTTTGTGTTCAATTAACCACCATAGGGTGGTAAATGGGCTAAAATTTTATTTGGTCTTGTTATGATAGAATTTGGGGATGAATTTGGAAGTTGGTTTGGGGATGGGCATAGAAACTTGAGCAGTAAAGTTTAAAGAGGAAGAAAAGGATAGGAAGAAGAAAAAGAAGAAGAATCACTCTACACTCTTCACCTCTAAATGTTAAGCGAAATGACAAAAACACAATACTGCATTCCCGTACCTCACTTCTGTTGAATTAATGAGATCACAGACATATGTCAGGCCACAAAGCTTCTCCTAGTATGCCTAAGACTACACAGTATAAAATTTTGATTCCTCTTTTTTCTTATTATTACTAGCATAATATACTATGACTCTTACTACATAATTAGACATAAAAATTTGAGCAGCATCTTATTATCCTGAAACTGACATAAACTAAGGTTTACTTAAGTTTCAACATGATTGCAAAGTTTTCAAGTATGCTCCATGTGAAACTCTAATTCTGTCCCTCTTGTTGCCATGCTCTGCATCACTTCTGCAATCATTCATTTCTAACAACTCCAAACCCACAAAGATATCCTAACTACTCACTGTTATTGTTCAACCTCAAACGACAATAAAAAACATCACTTTTCATTGTCACACTACAAACCCAAAACACCCACTGCTTTCCTACATCCATGCAAATTGTAGAACTCCCTAATTTGCCAATCGTCTAGCCACAAAAATAAACAATAATAAGCCCCTGAAAACTCCTTTCCCCACTGCCCCTTTCCCCACTGCCCTACACAAGTAAAACCATGGTTCAAAGTATCGGTCAATACCGATACGAGTCGGCCAAGTCGTATCCGTCTCGGCACCTTCGGAGACGATACCGTTACATGATACGTATAAACCCCAAGTCTCGCACAACTCGTCCAAGTCCGAGTCGTCAAAATATCGTCACCGAATTGGCCGATACGGTTTCACGACGCCGCGATATGACCTGAATTTCTCGTCATTCTCAACATTTTCTTTTAGGTAGGATCGCCCAATACCATGCCACGACGCCGTGACCGATGTGTCTCAGAGCTCTACGAGTTGAAGGCCGATACTGCGACCTTGAACCATGAGTAAAAACGTCGTAGCTTCCAGGAGCAATCCCTTGCACTTGTCCTGCATCACCCAAGCATGATAACTTGCTTGATACCACCCAGACCAAATAAAACAGTTGTTTTCATTGCTAAACTTTTGGGCCATATGAACAAGTACAGAATGACATAGCCTACTACCTCCACAGTATATGTCCTCTTTCTGAAACAGTGAGTCAGGAACAATAAGCAAATTGAATACTTACCACGTGAGCTTCAGAACCTGATTTTAATGATGGAAAAATAAGATGGAAAAGTTCCCTGGTTGCTGCTGAGCCACCAACTTCCCTACTGTCTGGTGAACATGAGCATGCAAACATAGCATACAGGAGCCACTGATCTAATTTGCTATCTGCATCCTGTGATTGGTGAGCCTTCCCACCCAACTCGGCAGGTGTGATATAAGCAAGACGATGAATAACCTCTAACCTGAAAATAAATTATAAAATAAGTTATTTCTTGCTTCTAAAATGACTTCCGGATCTTAAAGTAGAAAATTGCATGATCAAAGACATGCATGAGCATAACACCAACAACATAACCACAGGAAAATTCATGTTTTCTTTGCAATTATTACCAACAGAATTTCTATAGCTTTTTTAGAGGGGGTCCTAACCCATATCCTCAAAAGTCATTACCCAGTGTTCATCTATGCAGGTGCTGGCAAGAGTAACTAGAGCATATCTAATTGAGATTATTATCTCGAATTATTTGCAGCAAACCGGGTTCTCAGGTACTCAAACTCATGTCTCAAACTTGCTAATCCAAACATGGCTCTTTAGGGAAGTTAACATCTTAGTTGAAGAAACCAGCTAATAGCTGAAGTGATATCTCCACTTCACCCTTCCCTGTCCCTGCTTTCCCCCAAAAATGATGGGAAGGTGGAAGTCAAGGCCATAGAACAAAAGACAAATAAGGGGCTGAACAAGATGAAAAACCAGAGGCTGTCTGAGGTGTGACGAGAATGCCAAAACAACAGTAGTTTCCCAGTCATCGCCGAGACAAATGAGGAGTAAGCCTAGGCTATTAGTTAGGCTAGAATAAAAACAATAACAACAGCGAGAGGCAATTGAGCCACCCAAAAATACCAAAAGATTAACAAGCACTTCAAAATATCAAATCACCTGAAAATTTTAATTATACCCATTCTGAAAATAATATTGTGGGGAAAAAATCCAATGTTTAGGAAAACATTAGCAGGTCATAATCACACTTGTGAAATTCACTCACTTTGCTTCCTGAACAGAGCTTGGGCAGAGCTCTGCAGCATATTTAACAAGCTCACTGAGACATCGAGCCCATCTGCTCTTATCAGGACTCTCAAATAGTATAGATTGAAGTGTTACATCTGGAGGTACTGCATCAGATTCCCGTCTTAAATCAAATGGACGCCCAGAATCCCAGTAGCAGCTCTGAACAATGTCATCCTGTAAAACTCGCAGGTTTCAAGTTTAACTATAATTATCAAAAAAAGTTTAATAAAATATACTTGCAGTATCAAAAAAAAAAAAATAGAAACAAAAGGAAGAAGATAAAAAAGGGTAAATGTTCAATGCACCCCATTCTCTTCTAAAACATCAATTATATATATTGGCTCAGCTTCATTTTTCAAAATATGATCTGATCTGCCATGCATTGAAAGCTCTCGTAAATCATTCCTTAAAGCACGAACACAGCGCAGCAGCTCCAATGCTGTATGTCTGATCTGACTATCCACAGAACTAAGAAAGATAAGACCAACTGCATCTATTTCTGAAGCACGAAAATCTATTGCTTCCCCAGACAGATGAAAGGAAGACTTCTTAAATCCCTCATTCCTCTGCACATGCTTTCCGTCTAGGGCATCCTGTTTTATCTTATCATCAGATAGACAAGTTCTCCAGAAACGCATAAGCTCCAACAGACGTCCCAATGAAGTTTGGATGAGAAGAGGGAACTCATCAGGAAGCCGTAGGATGAAGTTGGCCATCCCTCTCATAACTGCAAAGCACCGATGGGGAAGGTATCTCACGATCCGGTTCAGTACCTGTACTGCTTCCTCACGAACACCGGGATCAATACTTATGCCATGTTGAGGAATAATTTCAGAGATCTTATCACTTCTACCAACTTCCTCAATTAAGTACGGTATGCACTTCAGCACCGACCGGAAAAGGTATCCTTGAGACTTTTCCTTTGTTACAGCATCTGGAGAAGCATGCAATCATTTTATATGAGCCTTTCCAGCAGCAAAAACATGAAGTAAAAGGAGTTCAGGCATAAAAAGGACAATTCAGGAAGGAAACAACAAATATATAACTCCAGTGAATAAGCAGACCATTTAAAGGCAAGCAAACAGAGAGGCAGCAAAACAAACTAGAAGTTATATCAAATTAACAGAAAGCCATCAAAACCTAACTGGCGACTGAGAACTGTTTCAGCTCAAAACTTGGCAAAACAAACAGCCCTATCTTCAATCAATGTTGGAGGGTTATGAATTCAAGGTGTTACAGCTCATCTTGCTAAATAAAAAGGTAATCCACAACCACAACAAAAATTAATAGGATCTGGTTGTCTAGTGGTTCTACAAATAACATAAAGATTTTAGAAATGGGAATCAATCACCTATTGTGGTCCTTGAAGAAGTAAGAAGAGCCTGACTATAGGTTCTGTGGCAAGACCTCAAGATAGACTCGATCGCTGCCTTCACTTTTGGTATGTAGTGGCCGATACCATGAACTGCCCACCACAACAGAAGTCAATCAAAGTTGAAAAGCTCAAGCAACAAGATTAGATATGGACACAATAGTGAAAAAATTCATCAATCACCATGAAGAATTTCCAAACCAACATGCTGGCTTGTAGGAGACATAACAATGGCAAGTAAAGCACGAAGACCAATAACCTTTGCTTCACTCGGACTATCTTGCTTCAGCAATTCCAATATCATGTGGTTCACGGCAAAATCAAGGTTATGTTCAGCTATTGTTACACCAAACTCAACAAGTTTATCATGTTGGACATCCTGTGTAAGCATTCCTTTCCTCAGAATTGTTAGGAGCTGTAAGGTTACACTGTCTAGACAGTCCCATACACGATCTGGAGGCTGAGAATACCCATGAACACTCAAGTAAAACCTCAAAATGCGATGAAGACAATCTAAGGCCATGAAGCGGTGGTTTTTATCCTGAAAAAAGGAAACAATAGAAATTCTGAAATGCAACAAGATGTCTCCTAAAATGCAATGCCTCAACAAAAATAAAACAATAACAACCCTAGCTTTGCCTGTCTCGTAGACTGAGCATTTCTTCATAAAGCTTACCCTAAGATGTTTGTACAGTTGTTCCCTGTGAGGGCCAAAGTTACCAAGGAAAAAATTAGGATCACCAAGGCAGAGAAGGAGAGTCACCAAAGGGTAACCAACCTAACAAAAAGAATAGCCCAGATTAGGATACTTAAGAGACGAAAGATAGAGGAATAAAGGTGACATTGTTAAACAAAGGGGGAATGACAAGTAAAAGTCCATTTAGAATTACAGAGAGTAGCTTCAATTACATAAGAAATCAGAGTCTATCAAGACCACAACATGGATGATCTTATTATGCAACAGTTTGATGGAATTATAATTTGGCAAAGGTTAGATCTGCACCCAATCTATCCCACACAGACCCTCATTAATATGGACGAAACAGGGTGTTATTTTTGATCTTCTGAGTCATGGTTTTGTATCAATAAAATTTTCAATTCATGATTGCATATATACTGCAAGAAATGAGTGGTGTGCTTGATATTAAATTTTTCCTATGACTACCATAACGTTTCAAGTGCAAACGGTAGCGACAGCTTTTAATTGATGCCTCCTTCGGACTTTGCCTCATATAGTCTATGCAAAATGTTAAACAACCATCTACTCCAAATGCTTAATCTGTTGGAGAGGGTGTAACTTAAATATTTATATTTCAACAAGCCCCTCACGTGTTGGCTAGATTTTGGGCCTACCATGTGAAAAAAATTTTAATAACTAGGGTGGCGGTGAGATTTAAACACAGTACACCTTGGGCTCTGATAGCATGTTAAACAACCATCTACTCTAAAAACTTAAGAATAGATGGTTGTTTAACACAAAAAAATTAGAAGATTTTACTCAGTACAGTAAGCAAGAGCTATGATATTTGCTCCTAAAAGCTCACCAATATTGTGGTCATCTCCACTGAAGTCCAGAAGGAACTCAATTGGCTACATTATTAGGATTCCACCAAATTGATTTAATTTTATTAGCTAACTTGTTAGTAAAGGGATACAATTTCCTTTGCAATAAGTATGAATAGTGAATACTGATTATGCATCTGTGAAGGCGATTGAACTTTTGACCGTCGAATATAATTGTTCAAAAGACCTCCAATCAATTTGGATACAACTAGTTTAAAAAGAAGAATGTTAATATAGCTATTTTGGAACTTAAAGAGAAAAAATCATCTGTTAAATCAAATGACAAGGAACCATCTGAAACACCAATATGAGAACTGATGTCTACTGGGAAGAGAGAAAAGGGAAAAAGATCAGAATTTAATTAAACTTAAAAGAATATATAAAAAAACCACAGGTTGTACACCAAATCAAGTTGGAAGGTTCCATTTTCTGAACAAAAAAACATTTTCATGCTTAAAGATTCCTGTAAGGTACGAGGTTTTTTCACATTTCCGACTACAAAATGTTGGACATTTCAAAAAGAGAGGAACGAAAAACAATAATACATAGGAGGGTCTTGGATTTACTTACAGCTATATATTTGCTCTGTTTGTCCATCCATTGCATAAGCTGCAATCTTATCTGTGCCACGGCTTCATACCAAAGGGTAAGTGCAGGTTCTACACCAGAAGGAGGCCACTGCCCTTTTCCACAATCTGCAAGCGGTGCTAGGATATTTGAAAGCATATTGCAAAGCGCATGGTAAAGTTCACTTTTTCGTTTATGAGGAGCACGGTTAAGAGGGTTTGCTTTTGCCACAAAGGAGGCTGATGCATTCAGAGCACCCTCTGTCTTAACCTGGAAGTCAGCTTAATCTTGTAAACTACATCGATGTAAAATTTCACTACAGAAACATAATGTTATAAGTACCCCAAGTTTTAGGTAGCGCATCCCATTAATGATGCTAAGCGTTTCGCCTCGGGCAACACTTGTATCAATCCGACGAGTATTGAGTTCCATGAAGAAGTGTTCGGTCACAGAACTAAACCTACAAAGAGAAAAGAAAGCATCCTCACAAAATAACATAAGTTTACTACACCGATAGAGAGCTACGCGTGAAAGCTGTTACAGATGAGTCATTAAACAGAATTAATTTCACTGAAGAGCAAATGACATTTTACATGTATACCCAGGAAGTTATAATGCAGATTATTCTAAGCTTCATGTCAATTAACGGATCACCATATCAGGTTAATCAGAGGTTCCATTAAATACGATGACAGAATTCACAGACAACAATAATCCTCCACCAATAATCCTTAACTTAGGCACTCTCAATCAATTTGTCGTAAAGTACCTTAGGTCATTAGTCAATGTAATGTTGAAATGCCCCTTAAAATGTATTTAAGAAACAGGAAAACAAATGCAATGGAAAGTAAGATTGAGCACATGACTATACAAGTATCTTTACACCTTCTACATATGTAATGAGGCATTGAATGAGATGTTGAATCACACTGGACCAAAAAGGGTGATAAAGGGTTTAACAAAGGAAGTGAAAATGGACGCTAAATTAGATATTGTAAAAGGAAGAATATGCAGTTCTTTGCTCTTTCCATGCCAGAAAAGCTTCCTTGCAGACTGGATGTAAGAGGATAGCCTCAAACAAGTAAGCTACACAATATATAATGAGAGTAACACACCAAACTTCATCCAAGGATTGATTAATTAGAAACCACTGCACTAAGCATGACATGCTCTGTTACCATAGTAATCCAATTCCACAAACTAAACCACGATGTATTAGGAGGTAAGAATTACCTGATTCGCGATAAAGCACCTAAGAGCTGTGCAACTAGATCTAGAAGAAGCCCCCGCAAATCAACCAAGGAAGGATATTCAACCTGACTAACAACCCTGCAGTAAGTAAAAAATGAGTATGAGGCAAATCCACTAATAGCTCAATTCATGTTTTCAATCTTCAGTCTACATCAGAGACATTATTGTCCTTAAGTAATCCTCACAATCCTACATGATGCACCCATAAACAGTCAGTCGACTCAGTCCACGCTCTGTTTAAAGCATAATACTAGACAATATATTATATGAAAACACTTTCAAATATAACATAGACATGACCACAAAACATATTCTAGTTTGAACTAAACGTTACTGAAGCATTTCTATGAGATACAAAACAACATCATTAACCCACTCCAACCCAATTGACATCTTGACCAGGACACTAGCCACACTATGGAAACTAAAAATGTTCTAAGTTAAAAGTTCTAAGTTTTATCATAAAAAAAAACTTGAGATTCACGATATACTCAGTGCAAACAGAAAACCCAGCAAGATATTTGAAATTTGTAAGTTTCTAAACCCAACTAGAACAACCTTACCTGTCAGCATTAATTAGCCAGTCAAAAACAAAGTTTTCAAGACCGGTCCAAAGCTTCTCTGCGTGGACACCAAGCACATTTTATTTGAGTACAAAATAATTGCATTTCAATAACAATAATAATAATGACACAATTACCAAACCTGGACATCCTTCTTGTACAAAGTATTTCATTTCAAATAATAATGAAAGAAGGACCAAACCTGTAAGTCCTTCTTGTGGGCAGCATTCCACAAAACGGATACACGCTGAGCAAAATATACATTCCACTGCAAGCTGAGCCATGCAAAACATCTCATTTTCCTGTACAAGCAACTTGATAGCAATTTGAACTAAAACTAAAGACAGGTCACAGGTGACCACAGTTATTGGTACATCCAGTAACCACATATCAATATATCATACATTGTTTAAGCCCATTTCAATTATGTCAAAACATAGTCCATTTAAAGAGCTCCACTGGAATTCATTATTGAAAATTTTGTTGTATGGTGGTCAGAAGAATGATTAGCGAGAAATATGAGAGTTTGAAATATCTGCTAGACCATCATCATGTTCATAGCTGATAATAGACTCAAATCTACTTATAAGGTACCAAAGACTAATCCAAACCCTGCGTCTTATACTTAATTTGTCCCAAAAGTTGGCACACATACATGCAATCATCTACTTCGCAAAGAGTAATAAAAACCTTCCTCTCTGTTTCTTAACAAGTTCATAAACCACCTTCGAAATGGATACATTAAGAATGATGTGAGATGGTTATGGCCAACATCATTCATACTAAGGATCAGAAAGATATCGTCGCGTCACATTCAAGAATGAGAGATTATAATATCATAAGTTACACATTTAGAGTAATCCACCAGAATAATAATATTGTTATCAGTGAATATTCAGAGCTAAGATGTTTTAGCATCATTTTTGATGGAATGTTTTCCAAAAGCATGTATTGTGTAATAACGTTTACACTTTGGTAAGCGCAGCTAAGAGTTTTCTATTACTGATTCCTATTCTAAGTCACATTTAGTGTTTTCATCATCAAAATCTCTGAAGTATTTTTCTTCCTTTAGTAGAGGAACCTTGGGTGGGTCTGGCCTAGTTAAATTCAACCATATGAAACGTTTCTATAAAGGCCAAAGTATAGCTGCTACAATGACAGATAGATGTGAGGCTAACAATATCAGTTGTGCAGCATGGTATTCAATATAATATATGAGAAATTCATTCTCTGTTCAAAAGAATAGGAGGGTGGTCCATGCAACCCTTGTTTCTGAAATATCAGCTGTAAATCGGAAGTTTATAATTAAAGTTTCATCAATTATCTAATATTGTACATCAATAGTATTTTGATTAATTTGATGCACTCAGACAATTGGAGTATGCATAATTGCAATGATGGAAGACCTGATGGACAAAAAAAAGCAAAACATAAGACACGCACATAATTATGTCTATAAAGCAAAAGTACAACGCTGATTAACTATTTTTATCTTCACATGCAATTGTCCTTTGACATCCCTTTCTATGCTTTCTACTCCAAACCACACCAGAACCTTGTCCTAATTATCTACGGTTGACTGCATGAATCCTTTTTTTTTCATATGCTTCGGGTAATTACAGGCAACCATATCCTTTTTCACTACCTCATTCCATCTCAATTCTTGGCTTTCCATTACCCTTGCATTTTCGTTAATGGTAACCAAGTTGCTCTTGTCCATTGCTGCATCTTTTGGAATTCCTTGCCCATGTTCAAATGATCGTAATTGGTCGACTTTCAATTTAGTTTCAACTGGTGCTATTTCTACCAACTCACAAGTATATCCATTTTTTAATTTTTACTAGTCTTACCACACATCCATTTTAAGATCCACATTCATGTTTTTTTATTTGCAAATTATTTCGGCTAGAGCTATATTCATCTAATTGATTTCATACTCTTAAAATATAACAGTGCACTTCAGAGTATATAAGTCATCACCGTTAGCATATACAAATTGATGTTAGTCATTCAATAACATATATATTCTATCAGCCTTTGAATGTGACCAGATCCATATATTTGTGCCACAACCTCAACATTTACTGTTTACAATCAACAAAACCATTTAGTAGGTTATTTTGAATAAGATTTCGACAAAAATGTAAATATTTTAAGAACCTTTCTTTGGAACGTAGATGCATCATTTGCACCTTTTGGTGATTCACTGCAACAACAACCAGAAACCAAAATAATTAGAAAACAAAACCAAGAGAGATAATGAAGATGTTCATGAATAAAATCAGCTTAGATACATTCAATATAGTTGTGCTAACCTTTCTCTCCATTTTAAAAGAGCTTCCAAAAGAGGTACAGGGGTATGACGTGCTACCATGGCTAAGGAATCCAATACTTGCTCATAGGCTGGATCAGATGGTCGAAGGTACTGTCCATCCTGTAATTCCCAATGTCAAATCAAGAAGAAATAGGGAAAGCAATACAAGAATAGTAACAAATAATACCAATGCAAAACCTTGTAATGCATGTATAAAAGGAGGAATGTGTGTTGTTTAATATCAGTGTTGTACAGAAGGCCTTACTAATGAGAATCCAATCATCTTGACTGCATCACACCACTTAAAAGTAAAAAAACATAAGTACCAATGACAATGCTACAGAAGAATAAATAATAACAACAATAATGATCAACGCCACTGGACAAATTCCTTCTGTTTTTTCTTATACTCCTAGGATTGTTAAATACTCCTAATCCTAAACCTTCCTTTTCATTTGATTCGACAATAGTTCGTGTTTCTTAAAAGAAGGGAAAGGAAGCAGGAGAGAAGAAGGGAATGAGAAGGGCAGGAAGGGAACCGATTGCCGATAAAATCAACGATAGGCTTGAAGGCCAATGTTTCTAAGCTTTATATCTCTGCATAATTTATGACTTTTTCCCCAATATTCTTCTTAGCATGATATCTCCATGGGCATCAAGACTAACCCGCAAACCTTTTCCCTGGACTCTTTTGACACTACTCCGACATACATCATTTTGTATTCATACGACAATTAATTTACTGGTTCTTTGTATATAAGACTGAGACACAGTCAAAAATACACAAAATCAAAAGGGGGCGAAACTTTTATCTACAAATGACCCAGATGCCATATGACTGACATTAATAACACCCTCGAAGCCCCTACTTCAAAAATTTGCAAATACACTCGTCTCCGATGGAAGATTCCCATAATCTCATTTTCCAAATCTGCTTTACTTTTTTTTCCTGCAAGCTTCCAAGAGCAACGAGGTGACAGCTTTTTACTTCATCTTCTAAACTGAACAAGAATTCCAAATCCATTCATTTACCTATACTAAATTAATCTTGAAGCCAGACAACGTATGGCATTAAATGCTTAACCAGAGTCCATTAACTACCTCCTGAAGATTTCTTTGTAACACCATATCTCCATGACTCCAGTATCTACCTCAACACTAGCTTGCAAACCAGTTCTGACAATAAGGTTTAAATGTTTTTTAACACCAAAAAGTCACCACTTAAAATTGACTCACACTGAGTATTTAAGTCATGGAATGTGGATATCAAACTGCAGTGTTGATTGACCTACAAGTAGGTACTATGTTTATCCTCAGTTGTACACCAATGTAGAACTCAAAACAGAGATTTAATCCATCAAAACACATCCAAAACATCGTCAATGTTTCATGGTCTATGTGTCAGATTTTGCAGATAGAATGAAGCACTTTGTAATATTCCCATGACACTCACTGCTTGAGGTTTGCTTATACATAACAGCATTTTGCAATTGAATCTGAATTTGAATTCTGGAGACGGTATGAAAGAGAAAAAGTAATTGTTACCTGAGCTTGAGCAGTTTCGATTCGACGCCGTGCAAGCGGAAGGAAACGCTGCAGCAGCGAATCGACGATCAACTTCGCCGCACTCCCCGCCTTCATTACTTCACTTGATTCCTCCGAGTCAAAAGTTCAACTTCTACCCGACTCCCTCACTCTCTCTTCCCTTCCACACTTGATCATAACTGTTCATAACTCGAATTGCATAGAGAGATTTATTTGAAATAATTCCTCGTGAGGAATTATTTTAATTGATTGTAATTATTTTTTTTGGCTATATTTATAATTTTAAAATTATAATATAATTTTAAAAGTTGGTATTTTATGGTCAATATGCATTTTTTAATCAATTTTAATTTCGGTACACTAGAGAAATTATATTTTTAAAATATTTTAATTGAATCTTAAAAACATATAACTTTTAATACAATACCAAACTTGACCCTTTTACACTAATAACTCCCATTGTGTCCGAAAATAATTGCTTTAACCCTCATGTGATTTTTGTACTAAAGCATTCATGCAGAATTTTCATCCAAATTAATTTAAAATGCGACTCTCACGTTTATTTTGAGAGTTGTATATATAAAATTATATAAATACCACCTATTTTCCTTTGAGATGCTTACACTGGATCAATTATAAACCTACTTGAATCTGGTGTTGGTCCACCGTAGTTGTAATATCTGTTTGCATTTAATTCATATTTGTTTGGGAAATCAGAAAGGGGCACACCTCCTTGGCTGTATAAGACAGATATTATGTTTTACACATAAAATGATGATGTTGTTTTGTGTTTAAAATGGCATTATTTTGGGAATAGCATCCCCAACTCCAAGCTTTAGACAATATTGCATTAAATTCACATGAAATTATTATTAGTATATAGCATCCTTTACAATCTATTCTTAAAGTTATTATCAATAATACATAGTAAAATTATTTTATGGGTTCGAATCGAAAAAACAATCGTTTTATTTGTAGACCCACATCAGACTCTCGCAATGACAAGAATTTTGTGTATTGGATACAAATTTATTTATATAAGAATTATAATACACGTTAAGAAGAGGATGTTCAATAAATAAAGAAAGTATATAATTGACATTCTAGGACATTTTTGTTCCCACGCGGTAGAGCATTAAAAAATTGTGGTAAATGATCCAATAAAATGCTTAAAGTCATTGTTCAAGTGAGGAAGCAATGCCACATCAATAAAAAAAAAGATTAATTGTAAATTATACCCTAAAAGATTATTCGAATCTCAATTTACATTCTCATAGATCAAAAATTTTAATTTATACCCTCAAAGATAAAAATTTGTATTAATGTACACCCCCAAATATTAAAAATCTTAATTTGTATCCTAAAAAATAAATTTTTGTATCAATGTGCAATTAAAATTAAATTGATAAATTATACTTAGATCCCTTATGTTTATCACTTAATTATTTAGACCTCTTCATATTTAAAATATTACTCCTATATCTCATGACGTTTGTGCACGTGTAACATGTAACCTCTTTTCGTCGATATCTGTTAATATAATCGTTAAAAAATATAATTTTATCCTAATAAAAAATTATAATTTCATATTACCCTTTATTTTATGGGTCCAATATACTCTAAAATTCAAAATCAAGCTTACCATTTGAATGTCTAATAGAATAAAGGGTTGCACATTGAGTAATATATTGCATTGGATATAAAAAATATTATGTAAATATCTACATTCTATTGGACATTCAAATGATAAACTTGATTTTGAATTTTAGAGTATATTAGACTCACAAAATAAAGGTTAATATAAAATTATAATTTTTTATTAGGATAAAATCATATTTTTTTAACGGTTATATTAACATACATCAACGAAAAAAGGTTACGTATTACACGTACATAAATACCATGAGATGTGAGAATAATATTTTAAACATGAAAGGGTTCAAATGATTAAGTGACAAATATAAAGGGATCTAGATATAATTTATCAATTTATTTTTAGATGCACATTGATATAAATTTCTATTTTTTGAGGTGTAAATTAAGATTTTTTATCTTTGGGGGTGCACATTGATACAAATTTTTATTTTTGAGAGTGTAAATTGAGATTTTTTATCTTTGGAGTACACATTAATATAAATTTTTATCTTTGAAGATATAAATTAAAATTTTTTATCTTTAAAAATATAAATTAAGATTTAAATAATTTTTGGGAGCGTAAGTTACGATTCACCCTAAAAACAAATGGACAATTGGACAGCTCAACATGTCTATAAAAGCTCATTGACTTATCGGTCTCAAAAAGTGGATTGGTGCTTTAGATGAAAAAAGCTGGGTACAGCTGGAAGGCACATTAATTAACGGAAGTATTACATTTAAATCTCTTGAGTTTTATGATTTAGTAATTATTTAAATTTTTTGATGTTTAAAATATTACATATAAATTTCTTAAGGGTTGTATGAGTATAACATTTAAATTTTTGTCGTCACCTCCTAAAATTTTTAGGCCCTTTAATTTTAAAATATTATATTTAGATAAAAATATTTTAATTAAAGATAAAATATTAAATACTAGTTATAACTCGCGTTTGAAGGCAAGATAAAATATAAAATTCGAGAGCCAAAAAATTAATTTTATTATATTAAATTTTTTTAATATGTGTATTTTATTGTATATAGATAATGTTTCAAAAAAATTATATTAAAGTATAAATTAATTAAATATTAAAAAATTGAACAAGTGATAGAAATTAGTGATGTGATATTTTTAAGAGGTAAAATATATAGGAGATAAAAATTTAAGTTGTTATGTGTTTTATAATATAAATTTTAAATATTAAAACTAAAATTTTAGTCTTATTGAATTATTTATTGAAATAAAATTAAACAAAAAAATCTAATTTTTTTTAAAAAATCATAATTAATATACAATTATGTTATTTATTAGAATAAAATTTAAAAAAATCAAAAATATGGTCTAAGTTATTCATAATAGAACATAAATTTTATAACCAATATTTATATTTTATTATGTTATTTATTGAAATAAAAATTTAAAAAATAATTTAACCCCAAAAAATAATAATTTTTGGTATGGTATTATAGAATTACCTATGAAAGAATGGCCGGTGCACGACCTTTTGTCATTTATGACATTTGGTTGCGTGCAAGACCCTCTCCAACCATAAGTACAAATTTGAGGGAAAAAAAAAACTAATTTAATACAAGTATTTTAGTGAAGAAATTCAAAGTTCAAGAAAGGATAAATTCAAATTTAAAAAATAAAATAATACAACCATTAGATCTTTCAGAGAATGATAAAATTTGTTCATTCAAAATTTCAGTTTGAGTAAAAGCTAGTATAAGAATTAGAGGTGCTCTAAAAACTAAAAAAATTTATATCACATTGGGCGTGTCAAATGTGTGAGTTTGATCATTTTTCGTATCCGGTTGATTTTGGCTTTGTGTCAAAAATTTTAAAATTCAAACTTGACATGTTTAATAATTGTATCGAGATGTGTAAATACTAACTTGACCTGACCATTAAACAGATTATCCGAACCTGACTTGTTTGATACATTTAATAAATAGGTCATTTTCGAGTTAACACACATAACATGATTTGTTTAACTTGTTTAACACATATAATATAGACTTGTTTAACACACATAACATGTTTTCACACCAGTTCATTACCATTAAATACATCATTCAATTATTCACCCAAAATTTCAAATAATTTTTTTACAAATAACATATAACATCTCATCAATAGAATTAACTAAAATACATTTAAATTTCAACTCAAAAATTAAAGTAAGAACTATACTAGTATATTATTATAATAATATTAAGAGCTATACTGCCAATTATTATAGTATAAGAAAAAATTAATAAGTAATAATATTAAGACAACTTAGTCATACATAACAGACAAACTATATTGTAATAAACGAGTCTACAATAGGTTAAATTAGGATCATGTTCGAATTATGTCAATCCGTTAAAAAAATACGGGTTAATTAGGTCAAAATTGGATTGATCTGATTTTGACATGAACTCGATATGATTTTTATTTTATTTTTTTTACATATTGGCTCATTTTAACCCATTAACTTGTTTAATTTTATATCCGACCCATTAATTCTGTGTTCGATTCGTACCGTGTCAAAAATTAACAACCCTAACATTCGTGATAAATTAGTTTTTATCACTTAAATCATTGACATCTAAATCACAATGAAATAACTCTTAGATCAATTTGCTAAACATGTGTGTGGAAATGACTGACTATGGGGAGCACCAATTTTATTCTTATGGCTAGGAGTATGGGTTGCATCAAGATTATTATGATACAACAAAAGATTGTCTAAAAGTTTATATATACATATTTGATTTTATTTTTAATCGATGTGGGATCATAATATTTTACCACTCTTTCGTAGTTAAGGTCCATGGCGACTCACTCTATTGACAATGACCCAACGACAATCCTTTTTCTTTAGTGATTCTCCTGGCCTATCAATATTAAATGAAATAACATTATATTCATACATAATAGCAAGTTATCTTAATTTAACTTATTTAGCCGCTTATTTTGTGACTCGACAATTGAGAGCCACAACTCATACTCTGTTCAATCTTATACTCGACATGGTGGCTAGTTCTTATATGAATTGTTATGAATTAATGAGTAGAATTTGTTCATAAAAATTAACTTACAAGAAAAAAATATAAAAAATTCACCTACATGCATCTGATTTATTTGTAATCAATATGAGATCGTAATTGGGATGAATTCTAAACATCATTATCGATCATAGACAATCTTATTTTAGTACCTTAACTATAGGTTTAGCCAAATTATCCATGATTTTCATGTTTGGTTTGTAGTCATCACCTCTTTATGTGGCGACAATTCTATTACACTAAAAACATCTGACAAGTGTGTGGAGTTTGCTTCGTGTTGTCAAAATTCTAAAGCAAGTTCTCTGAACTTCAAATTCTAATTATGAGATTCTTTAAATTTAGGGGACGTGTGGTGAATGTTGAATCCACCTTCAAATTAACTCGGTTTGTTACACCATCCTTCTGGTTTTGATGTTTCTCGTCACCCACTTCTCCGGTTTTGAGATTCATAGTTGCCTAATTTCTGGTGTAGCTTGTCTGATTAGTTCTTTGTTTATAATAAGAGGACCAATTTTTGAGAGAATTGTTGTAGATTTTCAGTTTTGAGAGATGGATCTTGATGAAAACCTGACAAATAAGGATCAAATGGTTGATGAGAGGGCCTTTTTATTGACTAGAAGCGGTGACGGTGATGAAGACCACCACCATGTGTTTGATAAAATTAAGGGAGCTTCCTTTACTGGGTCGGTGTTTAATTTGTCGTGCACCATTGCTGGTGCTGGGATTATGAGTTTGCCTTCAACCTTGAAGCTGTTAGGAGTTTTTCCTGGTGCTGCATTGATCATAATTGCTGCATTTTTGACTGAGGCTTCCATTGAAATGTTGCTTCGGTTTAGTAAGCCTGGGATGGCGTTTTCTTATGGCGATGTTATGGGGGATGCATTCGGAACGTTTGGGAGAGTTTTGCTTCAGCTCAGTGTTGTTATTAACAACATTGGCGCAGTTATCGTTTACTTGATTATAATCGGTGTAACTCTCAATGCTTCCTCTGTGTTTAGTGTTTATATTTGGCTGTTGTTTCAACTTTTAATCAATCATTTATATTCATATTGGTTCTTTTGACTAGCATAGGGTGGATTGGTGACGTAATCTAGTGTTTTTGTCTTTGAATCACCAGAAGATGTGCTTTCTGGATCTAGTTCAAGTGGGGTTCACCATGCCGGCATTTTAGAGGGATGGCTTGGAGAACACTGGTGGACTGGACGGGCCTTCGTGCTTCTTGTACTCACTGCTGTTGTATTTATTCCATTGTTATGCTTTAAGCGTATTGGTTAGTAACTTAATCCTCCTATAAATTATTACCAAGTCTTGTCAATCCAAATTGCTTTTATGGGTTGAAAAATACTGATGATGTTGGAATGGAACAACTTATTCTGGATTAGATGTAACTCGTTGGGGAGGAGTCTTTATAGGTCAGTTTATACCTGTATATTTTCTCCAACGAATGCTTAATAAAACATAAATAAATGGATGATTTTCTTTTGCTGATGCAGAATTTCTTGGTTTAGCTATTGATGCGAAAATACATTTTTTTTGTGTTCACAGATTCATTGAGATTTACATCTGCTCTATCATTTGCTTTGGCGGTTGTCTTTATTGCTGTCGTGATTGGAATTACAATTTACAAATTAATAAAGGGAAGCATAGATGCGCCTAGATGGGTTCCTAATGTTACTGATCTGTCATCCTTCTTGAATCTCTTCACTGCAGTCCCAGTGCTTGTTTGTGCGTATCTCTGCCACTTCAATGGTACACAAACTAATCATTCACTTGTATATATGCATCTTTTTGTTTTCTCAGTATTTATAGGTATGTGTATATTTAATTTTGGTGGTTTGCTTAAGAAATATTATGCGATTGGATGGTTCTTTCCTGTCTTATTATTGCTTCTTAAGATAAATCATCGGTACCATCATGGATATTAGAATGAAATTTGAATTAAAGCAAAGGCAATTATTGCACAAGGAACATAGTTGTGCAGGAGTCATCTGGTGGTACTTTGGTCTTGTTTTTGTGATCAATTGCCAGACTTAATGCCAGATGAGATACTAGGGCATATAAAAGATTGTGTTCTGCAGCTACATTTTTCTACGTCATATGGGAATACCTCAGCAGCATTACCACAGACAATATAAATAACTGTACCAGGAAACTCTCACTGTCCTGACATTCGACATTCTGACTCCACATGCCACGACAGCACCTGTCCTAGGTAGCGTGGCATAGTTAATTGATCGCTTGTTGGGAGATAGTTCCTTTGTATAGGCCAGTTAAAAACAGACTTGTTTTGACTATAAATTTTTCAGGGCGATGAGGCAAATTCATGCTCTTCAAATTGGGTTGTGAATGTTCCCCTTCCGTACTTGATGCTTTCAAGTATGGAAACCTCTGTAAGCACATCTCATCTTGGTAGAAATTTTGATGGTAGGTTGACTCTAGACTACTGATTACTTTTTATTTGACTGTATTTTGCCATATATATGTATATAATTTTTGGAAAAGAAGTAATGAAGAACTTAAGTTGTTCTAGAGTAGCCCATAGTTTTTAACTTATCAAATGGATGACCTCCACAAAATGGCTATTGCTTGACTGCAATGTGCAATGAGTCAGCCTTTAGTGTTCAAGGACCCGTCCTATGATCTTAAACCTCAAAAGTTGTTTTGTATTCCTGTTACATTTTTAGCCCTTCCTGTGGCCTTTGAGCTCGATAATACCTTTTATTTCAGGTATTTTCTTAGTAATAAGGACATGTGAAAACGAAACATGCTGTAATATGAATATGATGTTCTCGTAAAAACTCTTAACCTTCTTATATGCAAATGTAGAATTGTTGACAATTCAAGAATTGCCCAAATTTGCAGTTCATACCATTGAAAATGAGCTTGGAGAATCTCCCAGGATGCGAGCAGTTGTGCGAACCTCACTTGCTCTATGCGCAACAGTATACATAATGACTGGCCTTTTTGGATTCCTTCTGTTTGGTGACTCAACTCTTTCAGATGTGCTTTCCAACTTCGACACTGACCTTGGCGTTCCATACAGCTCCCTTTTGAGTGATATTGTTCGTATCTGCTATGTAAGCCACATCATACTAATATTCCCCATCGTATTCTACCCACTCCGGCTCAACTTGGATGGCCTCCTTTTTCCCTCGGCAAGGCCTTTGGTCTTAGACAACTCAAGGTTTGCATTGGTTAGCACAGGACTTGCTAGCATAGTTCTATCGGGAGCAACACTCATACCCAGCATCTGGATAGCTTTCGAGTTCACTGGAGCGACTGTTGGAGTGCTGCTTCTGTTTATCTTTCCTGCTTCCATCACTCTCAAGTGAGTATGTTTCATTCTGAAAGTTATACCAATTTATTCAAGAACTCTGTTTAACAAAATTAATATGTGTGGGATTATCAATCTCTTAAGTAGTCAGATCAATGCAAAGTAGTTGATATCCTGACTAGAAATATAGGTAAGAGGCACATATGATTGGGCTTAGCACTCACCGCCTATTCGTCAAAAGACCTCTAGAGGTAAGTGTGGGATTGTTGATCTTTGTTTTTGTTACACATTGAATCATTTTTGCTGTAGGGACCGTCATGGTATAGCAACGAGGAAGGATAAGATCTTATCTGTCCTCATGATCATTCTCTCAGTGTTTACAACAGTGGTAGCCATATACAGTGATGTAAGCTCTTTGCTCCATAGTTCACCCCAGTAGATTGTTTTTCCTTCTTGTCTTACCCATTACCAGGTGCAGAAGAGGGGTTTGGTCGGATGGGCAAAAGAAGGCAGTAGGTTGCAAGAATTGTTCTGCAACACTTTGTAAAGTCTGGAAAATGACACAACTCTGGTTCAGTATGATTTACCCTTTCTTTCATAAGGGGCAAAGTTGTATTCTTATCAGCCGACATAAATATTTTTACTGTAAATTCACGTTGGATATGTTATATAATCGTACCTTCTTGTTTTATTTTGTCTATTTTTATTTCCGCTAGAAATATTTCAATACTACATGCCTATATATTCCAAAACTCAAGCGGGATATCTTTGATTTTAGATATTTTAGAATGGGTGTGAATGTAATTATCGGGCAAGTTTTTTTGTAGCCGTAAGAGACAATTATACGTACTAATATTTGAGCCGAGCTTAATTTGTTAACTTGACTATTTTACATATAAACGAGCTAAGTTTTTGGACTCATTTTTTTAAATGAACCTAAAAAAATTGTTCAAGCTCAACTTGTTTAGAAAATAACCTAAGCTCAACTTATTTAGAAAATAAACTGAGCTCAAATTGAGTTGAATTCGAGCTAAACCCGAGTAACTCAATTCAATTATTAGCCCCTAGTAAAACAGAAAAACGGTGTCGTCTTATATATCTTGAGCTTTTCGAACCCACTGGCTTTAACCATGGCTGCGACGGAGGAGGAGCTACAGGAGCGAGACAATCTCGTAGAGTTGTTGAACAATCACTTCACCAACGTCTCCACCATGATCAAAGGCGAGCTTCAGGTACTCTATCTCTCTCTAGATTCTTTGGCCAGGACTAGTCTGCTACATTCTTATTCTAGGGTTGATTTCCATGTGTGACAAACATGAAATTTAGGTACTGCATGCATTTGAAGATCATTTCTTGTCACGTATCTTTCTTATGCCAATGGGATCAGCTACCTCCCACATTTGAATATCTTTTTGTAATGGTAGAATTTATCTGTCATTTTGCTCCATTAAAGGCTGATGAGTTTGTTTGAGGGATTTTTGTCACGTCTCAGTCTGTATTTGAAGCTTTTCCAAACAAGTTATTTTCATTTCTTTCCTTTTACAAATGGTTTTTTGGGAACTAAAAAACCTTAATGATGATTTTAACTAGCTATGGTATTGATGATGGGGAAAAGGCATTGGTATTTATCAAGGGGAGAAATACCTAGCTTTGATGACATCAAAGATGCTGAATTTTCTGAATTATATTCCTTATAATCATGTTCTATAAATATATCAACGAATGAGAAATGTATGCAATCCTTTCCTTGATGATAGAAAAGCCTCCTAAACTTGGCTAGTAAACTTCTGCTCTCTGCTTCAGTGCCATGGACTTTGTTTTAATGACTCCATCCATCACATAGCTCTACTTTCCTAGTTCTACCTTTTTCATTTTGGAATCTAGTAATTATTTGAACTTTTGCTCGGATCATTTTGTTGCTTACTCCTTTTTCCACATGATGTTGAGATCCCAATCATGTTATATAATTTACAATGAATGAGAAATGTATGCAATCATTGATGATAGAAAAGCCTCCTGAACTTGGCTAGTAAACTTCCGCTATGTGATTTAGTGCCAATGACTTTATTTTAATGACTCCATCCATCACAGAGCTCTGTACTTTCCTAGTTCTACATTTTGCATTTTGGAATCTGGCAATTATTTAAACTTTTGCTCGGATCATTTTGTTGCTTCCTCCTTTTTCCACATGATGTTGAGATCTCAACCCCCAACCCCTAAAACGAAAACTTAGGACATGATGTTGAGATTAATCATGGTATTTTCATAGGTTCATTTTTCAAATGACAGCTTGGAGGTTTTTTTTTTTTCTTTTTTTTCCTGTTTTTGGAGCGAACGAATAACATACTAGAGCTTTTGGAGAAGATGAATCTAAAAGTAGCAGAAGAGTACAAATGATTCGGTGACGTAGCTTCTGGGTTGAGGGTTATTGTAGAGCAGCTGAAATCCAAAAGTTGTATCTTTGATGAGTATTTACAGCAAATTGATGCAATAGAGAAGCAAGTAACAGAATTTGAAGCCATAATCTCAATGCTTGATAAATATGTTTTCTTGTTAGAATCAAAAGTGCAATCTGTTTACCAAATTCCACCTTCATAAATATTGCTGTATTCGAAGCCGAAGTCGAAGTCGAAACTGATTTTGTCTGGTTTATATTACAACATCGGTATCTAAGATTTTGTATATTTGTTTGTGTGCACTCTTTGAAAAATTCTATATTATTTGAAGAGTTTAACTAGAGCTGCACATGCTGACATAGATAGAGGAGATAAGGGAAGGTGTACATTGTTAGTTTTTGCTATATGCTTATGTCCAGCAGATTTTTTTTTTTCCTAATATTTTCCGCAAATGGAGTAAAGAATTTTTTCATGATTGTCCAAACATATATGGCAGGTTTGAGTACAAGAAATTACCTGTCTAAACTGCACAATTATACCACTTGAGTCGGGAATTAGGATATAGTTTTGAGGTTACGTGCTGTGCACATGCATAAATGTTATAGTTTAGGGGTTAAATTGACACAACATAATTTAGAGGATTAATTGACACAAATGATACAATTTAGGGACCAGATAGATAGTTAACTCAAAGTAATAAAATATGAGAATTCTCCTTGTTCTTTGAGGATGATAGACAGTGTGAATCATTTTGGAATCATAAATCCTACTCAATAAACCTCTAATGTCAACTATGGAGGCAAGAGAATAAACTATAACATGCCGAAATTAGTCCATAGTCGTTAATTTTGGTTTAAATAATTTATAATTATTGATTAGAAAAATAATAAAGTCATAAAAATTATAAAAAAAAAACTAATACATGATGAAAATAACTGCAATAAGGCACTTGGATTATCACCATCGTCAGTAGGTGCTTCACGCTTGTAACGTGAAACCTGTCTTCCAAACCCACTAGCCTTTTTCTTGTGAGAAAGGTGGAGAAGACAGAGCACAGAGTAATTGAATCCAACTATTTAGGGTTGGTTCAGGCTCGACTTGGATAAGAGTTAATTTGAATCAAACTTGAATAATTTTTTAAGTTTATTTAAAAAACAAAGCTTGAAAAATAAATTCAAACTTACAAAACTAAGCTCAATTATTAACCCACCTCCCAACTAAGGCCCCATCTTCATAGCATAGGTGCCGTCTTAGCCAATCCTTGACCAGGATCGCTCTAACACTTGTAACATTTGTTATCGGCCTAATAGGTAAACTAGGTAAACCATAATCTTGTTAAACATAATCTTAGGAACATAACTAAAGTTGGAAAAACACCAGAACTCTAATCATCCCCAGAAACTTCAGCTAGAAAGAATTGCTATTAGCATGCACTTATTAGTACCCTGCAATGGCAGGGTTCTGATTATTCTGTACATCAATCTGATTATTGAAAACTGAAAAAATTTCAACGTAAAAATTGTCAACTCCCTTCAAAAGAGCATCTCCTAACTAAATCTCTGACCTTGAATGCATCTTCTCGAACTCTAAATCTAGAAGTAAAGGATGGGTATGAGCTGAACATACGCAAGCAGTCTATGATAACAAAATTTAACCATGTACTGGCAACAAAAGGGATCATATAATTCTCAATGGTTCGTCCAACGGTTGCAAGCACTCATGCGGATTGGCATGAAAAGAATCTTCTTCTTTTGGTCTACCAGAAATCACTACACGGTTTCTTGGGCTCCCTATACGATTGGCATGAGCTTCCTTCACGATGGAGGAAAATTCATCCCAGCTCAACAAGCCATCATGGTACTGATCTATTGCATCAACTAGAAGCTTTCTCTGCAATTGAATAGTTTTCTTGAATCCCAAAAATCTGGAAAAATTTAAACATGCCAACACAATCTTAGATGGAACAAACAAATCGAAAGGCGAAAAAATTAAAAATATAAACAGAATTCCAAGTTGAAGAAACAACAGATGCCAAATGCTCCCCCAGGGCCACCTATGCCAATGCCAATAGCCAATTCAATTCAAAACACACAGGTAATGACAAGTTTAAACGATCAAATTTGTCCCATAATTTCCAAAGGAGTTCAGTTCAATCCTCCAATTCAACTTTAGCAAGGGCATGGCTGCAGGAGTAGAGGCTATAGCTATAGCTCAGAATTCAGATCCTCTTACCATTTTATATATATAGAAGAAAGGAAATAAAGGACAAATTGACACAAATCTAGCTAAAGCAATATGTTGGAAAAGTAACACCCCAACTGTTGGTCACAACATAATACCTTCGATGGCCTTCAACAACTTTAGCCATGTTTCCATTATATGTAGGAACAAAAATATCACTCTCCAAAGAGACAAAATAATCCACTGCAGCCATCTGGGATGAGTGGTTTTGGCAAAACCTCAAGTCTGAGGGCTCCAGCAATGTCTCCTTTCTGACCTGTTCATGACATTCAAACAAACTGTAATAGTATCTGAAGAAAAAATGTCAAGAAGTCAAATCTGCTTCCAGATACTGACCAAATTTGGAAATGCAGCTGCCAAACTGGCCATTCTCCTTTCTCCTCCATATAGTTCACCAGCAGCAATATAGATTTGAATTTTATGATCAATACCCAGTCCACGTAATACTAGAGCAGTCTCTTCAGGCGTCAAAGGGCACAAACCTTCTTTCCTTTTGAGATCGGAATCTATAACTTTTTCCTTCCACCAGGGGTAAGCATACCTAATGGTGCGTGCTTTGCCAGTAAATAAGAGGGTGATAAAATGCTAAATAAAGGAATGGACTGAGTTTTTGTTTGCAAAGTTACCTCATTGTTGTCAATTCCTCCACCTCCACAATGTTGCAGCCTTGAGTGCATCCAGAGAAAGCCAACATATCCATTTCGTATCTGAGATGGAGGACTAGGAACGGCCCATTTTGCTTCAGAATCCTGACAACTTTTCTACCCAATTCCTCTATCTGAGAAGTGAATCTCAGAGCACTATAATTTACTTTGCAACGCAACTTCTGGGTCTCTATAGGCAGCCCATTATTAGCAAGTCGAGCATCAGATTTATTGAAATGTACAACTTTGTACTTCTGTATTAGAGGAAGAATCTGTTTACAAGCATTTCAGATAGTTGCATTACTGGGTATAGCAATGGTAGAAATGCAATTGCAATTGCTCTGTGAAATAGCAAACCAACCTTGTAACTATAGTAGGAAATGTTAGACCAACTAACAGGTGGCATCGAGTAGAACCTTCCTACCTCAACTCTTTTCTTGAGCCTTGTTGGGAGCTCTTTCAATATACGAACCTCATCCCTCAAGGATGTAATGAAATGATCAACATCAAATATGTCATTAAACTCACTGCCATATAAAAAGACATTCTTAGCAAATTTGGACAGTACTAATTTGGAATTTAGGGTGCTCAAGCTGTTGTATTTATGGTACAACTTAGATTACATGTGACTAATTTCATTGAACCAACCTTGTATCAGCCCAAAATGATTTCTTATCCAATTCTGGGACAATGAGAGTGACATTCAGATATCTGGCAATGGCTACCATGTCACAGATCTGCACAACGGGTGAGGAAGTGAATGAGAGAAAACAGCACATGGGCATATCAACAGCAAATAGCATGAAAACCCCAAATGTAAAGAAAAATTCTTAACAATTATCACTATAATAAAATGAACAATACTATATGAACTTAAAAAGTAGACTTAAAAACTAGACTTGATAATTTCAACCATTTATTTCACTATGGATCCCAACATTTATTGGGACTCACAACCTATTCAATAGTTGAGATTATCAAGTTTAATTTTAAGTTTAATTTTTAAGTCCATCTAACATTACTCTAATAAAACTAGCCAACGACTTACTGCTGCTCGCATTTGGTTAAGTCCCCCATTGCAAGAAACCATAAGATAACCATTGTTCTTATAAACCCCTGCAAGCAGCAGCAACCAAATTCAAGAGGGAAAAACAAAATTGAATCACACCAAGACAATCGCAGATAAATATTGAACAAGGCATACAGGAAAAAACAAAAGAAATACAACATCTTGATGTAAAAGTGAATGCTGTGAAGGTGAAGTAACAGAATTATCACATTGAGCATCAAGACAGTACTCAATACATCAGCGGTGTGGGCAAGGGATGCCCACAGTACTATTTGTAGCTAGCAAAACTTTAACACAACGAAATTAAGTTGCAAAAAACTACAAATTACAATGGTGTTAGTTTTCAAATCAGATAATGAACCATAAAGATTCCCAAACATCAGTACTCCAAAGTGTCAAACAAAAGTTCTTACTTTTTGGAGGAGGAGGAACTTTGGGTTGAACATAAGACATGTTAGCCTTGGAAAACATGTCAGGAGTATAACAAGAAGGCCAACCCTTCAACAATCTAGGCCCCCACACTTCATCCATTGCAATCAACCTCAAAACACAAGTCCACAGAAAAATTGCCATCATTCCCCATTTAATCCGCCAACTCAACTTAAACCGAGACACCATCAAATTCGACTTTCCTACTTTTCCATTACCCAAAAACTTCGAATTCTTATCACGGCACTTTAGCATAGCCATTGTAAGACCATCACTTTTTGCCACAAAAATCAAAGAAAATCAGCCCTTCAAACTGATCAGAACCCTTGAAATACGAAGATGTTTCGAAGATAAATAGAACAGAAATGGGAATTACGGAGAAGGAAAAAAAACCCAATTGTTATTTAATGCTATTAAAAATAGGAAAAATATAGGGAAAGAACTTGAGTACTCAACTAATCCAGATAGTTTAATGCATCTTTAACACAAAACAACAAGAATCAAAGTACTTCAATTATCATATAATAGCGCCGAAACCCAAAAAACCTATAATATCACTATAGTTGTTTTGCTTAATATCCTAAAAACGCCGATTCTCAATCTCATCAACACCCATTAACAGATCTATCTCATATGACCATATACATTCGTGCGTTCACATACAATCTTGAATTTGATGGGAAGAAAGAACCGAAAAGAAACAAATAAGTGAGAAATCGAGTGACCCTTTTGGGAGATACGGTGTTTGATAGAGTCAGCCGACCAGATTCCGCCGGAAAACTGGAGAGAAGGTTGTGGGAGTGAGAGCAGAGAAGTGGCGGTTGTGTGGAGTTTTTTCGTTTGTGAGAGAATTTGTATGCGTGGAGACTGGGTTTTGGGCTCCCTCCAAATTATTTACCCTCCAATTTTCAAATAATCAGATGAATTTTCTGAATATAATTTAATGAATTAATATTTTTTTAATTTAAAAATGAAATATATTTTTTGATTAAAATAAAATTTATTTATTTGAATAAATTCTCACCATTTACAAAAATAAAAAATTCTTTAATTAATTAAGAATTACATGCGAATCAAATCCTGATATGTATATATAATATCAATTTGAAAGTTACACTTGTAATATGATAACCGGTGTATGCAATATTGACACATCAACTAAGTTTTTATAAATGGGTGATTTAGGAATAGTAACAATTGTTGAGATAAGAATTTTCAAAAAAATATTATTGAGATAAGAAATGAAATATATTTTTGAAAGTTTCTCTAAGTAGGTATCCAGTATGGTCATGGAAATCCATATATAGGGTAAAATGTCCTATTTGTAATTTTTTATAGTCCACTCTTCAATTTAATTAGAAATGATTTTAATTTGGTGGTCATTGAATTATTGATACTCCATTATTAGGTTAATAAATTATGCTTTTAAGTTCTAAAACTATTATTAGAATATTTTTCTCATATTTTCATTTTTTTTAATCTTTCAATATATAAATTTTGAGATACCCACACGAACATAAAACATAATATTAATAAATCAAGAAAAAAAAGAATATTCCTCAATGTATATATAGACTAGCGATTGACAAATATAGCATGGAGTATTAGAATGATGGTATGAATTGTAAGATTAATATAATATTAAGACTTGGATTAATGAGAAAGAGATAGGTAATCCTGTAATTTTGAAATACATGAACTGGATAAAAAGATTAGAATTAGTCGTTTGGATAACATCAAACAACTATCATTTATCCTTTTATCTTTTATCATTCTCAATTTGACACGTTTCATCAATAAACATAAATAACGATTATGTATCTAAATTTAAATAAAATTTTAATCTAAATTTTTAATTGGTTATATTTTTGTATAGTTCATATCTAAAATTATTAAAAATAAAAAATTATATTCAAAAATCCATCCGAATGCAAATAAATCAATTAAAAATGAATTTTAACAAACAAAATCTTAATTTAATTCAAGTTGATCAAATAATTAAGTGATTTCGTCAAATCTATATAATAAAATACAATACAATTCAAATATAAAAAAATAAACAAAATGACTTTCGCTATTTGTGGTTGAGACCTCTTTAAATTTTACTTTAAAATTAATCTGATGGTTAATATTAACACTTTAAATTTAACATGAAAAATAAGGGTATAAGAGTATGTTTAAAGTGACTTTTTAAAAATATTTTTAATACTTATAACTTCTCTTAAGTACTTAAAAAAAGAATAGTGTTTGAAACCACTTCACCAACATTTCTACCACCACCACCATCACCACTGTAGCCACCCTATCACACCCTTCGCCCCACTACAACCGTCACAGCCACCCCACCATCATTTCTTCCACAACAATCACCACTACCTGCTCCACCATCTCCACTATCGTAATCTCACCACCACCACCACCCCATTAGTGCCCTACCACAATTATCCAACCATCACCCCTATTACATCACCCTCACTGCCCCCCACCCACTATCGCGCCATTGTCACTTATAGTTGTCATTATTATAATCGATTGTCATCATCCGTAACAATTATTATTATCTCTCACTACCATCACTGCTGTCCACCATCGCTATCATCGCTCGCGCTCCATTATAATCAGTGTTTAAATTTTTTTATTTTTTCTCTATCTTTGTAATTTGATTTTAAGTGTGAATACAAATATATTTATTATTGATCATTTTTTTATTATTCCGCACCTTCGAACACGGAAAATAACTAGTATTTATATATGGTATATACTTGGGATCAAACCACTATCAAAGTAGATATTTATATATTTAAATCTGAATTTATAAAATATAATCTTTTGAATTTAGATTCAGATTCATATCCAGATCGTCTTTTTCAATTTTTTACGACCATACGCTTATGACGCTGCTAAACCCAACTTCTTTTCTTCACCCATCGCAGTATAGCCCAGGAGGAACGCCCAATGGACTCGAGTAGCTTGCTCATATGTTTAGCCCAATACCAAAAGCTCACATGAACTTCATCACCGATGTTCATTTCATCACTTTAATTCAAATTCTGGTGTTTAGGGCTTACACACTCTCTCTCTCTCTCTCTCGTGAGAGTGAGGGAGGAAGGGTGGGAGAGAGAGAGAGATTATGGTTTACCACCTCAGTTTGCAAAGTTGAAGAAGGAAATATATTGATGCCACGGTATCTCTATTGATACATTATTAATTAATGGTTGTAATACATTCGGTCGTAAATCGTGTACATTGATTCAATTGAGTAGTTGTAATACATTAGTTCATAAACCATGCATATTAATTCAATTAGGGTTTAAACTTATAAGTTATAACCTTGACCTATTATGTCACTAATGTCTCTCTATTTGAGTTGTTTCAGATAGATTTATTTCGACATATTTTGTTTTATATACATCGCTTTTAAGCACACTTTCTTCTCATGTATATGTTTACAATTAAGTTCCTGATTATATCCGCAAATTAGCTAAGCATTTAGAAAAGACCAAATTTGTTCACTTGGGGTTGGATTTGTGTTCTCTTGGCTCAGTTCAAGAACAGACAACCCATGATCATTTCATTTCGCAGGTGCAACAATAAACAGCATCAGTTTGAAATTGCAGTGGCCTTTTTACTTTGTTTTTTGCTGCTTTTGCTCAGTTGCATGGGCATGCCCCTATATATTTCTCAGTCTCTGCTTGTTATTTTTTTGGGGGGTGGTTTGGGGTGGGGGGCCGGGGTCCAATGCATCCTCAAGGGAGGAACTTGGCTCCATTGTTCTCAGTTGGCCATTGTTTTGGTTGATAGTAATTTTGAAGCTGGCCATGATCTTTCTTCTATTTTGGGGAACATCTTCACCTCAATTTCTGTTTGGGTATGGAAAAAAAGGTCAGAACATTCAGAAAAGTAGTTTTAAACTTGCATTTTAGGACTGTCCTACAATTTATAACAATCAGCAAAAAGAAAAAAAAATTCATCAGGAAAAAAGAAATTAATACAAGATGACTATATTATCATTATAAGAATTTATATAAGAACAAGAAAAAAGAAAGGGAAAACTACATGGGACAGTTATTATTAGAGAGTTGTACATGGATGGATAGTTGTATAATTAAGGAGAGGTTTTCTTTGAAGAAGAGGAAGAAGCTGGTGGAATTCCAGGTGATGGTGGAAATGGCAATGGAGGGAGTGGCAATGGAGGGAGTGGAAATGGGAAGGATGGTGGTGGTGGTGGTGGCGACGGAGTTATACCTGGTATAGGTGGGAAAGGAATCGGAGGAAAGATTGAAGGTGGCGGCGACGGAAAAATCGGAGGAAATATGGAAGGTGGAGGCTGTAATGGGTTCGGGGGAAGAATTGAAGGTGGTGGCTGAAAAGGGTTTGGAGGAAGTATTGAAGGCGGCTGAAGGGGGTTTGGTGGTAGTAGACTGAAGAACTCTGGGTGGGCTATCTTTTGATCTTTCAATGACCCTAATGTTTTTGAAGTGTCCTTAGATGTTGTTTTTGAATGCACTGGCGGGTAATATGGGAGGCCAGGAAGTGGTGGAAGAGGAGGTAGTTGTGGCAAAGGTGGAAGAGGAGGTAGTTGTGGCAATGGTGGAAGAGGAGGTAGTTGTGGCAAAGGTGGAAGAATTGGTATTGAAGGGTTTAGAGTTGGTGGTGAAAAGATTTGATTGACGGAACTGAATTTCTTTGAATTTAGAACACTAGGTTTTTGGTAGCATAGGTCTGGCTGTTTCAATGGCTTGAAGGTGAAAAACCCAGCTGAGAAAATGTGTGTTCCAGGCTTTTTTGACTTAAGATGGAGTGAAGATGAAGTTGCTGTTGAGGCCACGGCACAATATGGTTGGTTGGTGCTGATTAACTTCACAGAACATCCTTCAATTTTCTGGACATGTTTGCTCACTGAGAAAGGCAGGTGAACTTTGAATTCCCCATGCTCATTTGTTTTCACTTCCTTGCGAAAACTTGGCCTAGAACTTGTGTCTCCACATTCTACTGCGACGGATGCGCCTGAGCACAGAATTTCAGATCATATTTGAGAAAAAAAAAACCCAAAATATCACAATAAGAAAAAAGAGCTGAATTTTATGAAATGAACCTGAAATGAAGTGGCTAGACTTAGAGAAATCCTCTTGGAAGCATGTGTCACAGTAGACAGTGCCAACAACAACTGCAGATGGAAGCTTCTTCTCATGCCTAGCCTCCGAAAGATCAGTAAATGTGAAACTGAGAATGATTGTAACAAAAAACCAAGACATTCTGAAGCCCATCATCTCTCTTGAAAGAAAATTAAGAATTTTGAATGGAAAATTGCTTGATGGAATGGCTTTTTTATAGAAATTCAGTGAATTTTACTCTAATTCTGCGGAGTTCTTATTGTCTGAGATAGGGAAGTTTGGGGTTCATGACTTTTTTATAAGGATGGCAATGCACCAAGCCTCTTTAAGTTATTCATGCAGAAACCAGTCAACTGCAAACTAGAAGCAGTGAATGTAGGTTAATTTCTTTGGTACCAAACAAAAAAAAAAAAGAAGGAAATTTTGGGATGAAAAAGCAGATAGGGTCAGGCCTTTCTCATCTTGCTTTGCTGTTTTTTTGATTTATTTGAATTTTCTCATTTTGTTTCTTTGTTGGTGTAGGAGGGCCTAGAGGGACAGTTGGGTCCCAGTTAGTTCACGAGACCCTTATAGAGGCCACAAAATCCATGAACCTATGACAAAGAATATGATAGAATAGAAGTGATGTGTGCATGGTTTTTCTCTTGAATGGCTTCTGTCCACACACAGATCAGTAGCAACCACATTCACTACTTGTCTTCAAGGGCTGTGCGCGACTGTGTGTGTGTGTGTGAGAGAGAGAGAGAGGGAGAAGAGGGGGGGGGGGGGGAAGTTGGGGCAGCAAATTATGTACTCATGTGAAAGTTTTATCAGACCTTGTCACCAAGTCATTGGGAAATGTAATTGCATTCTCTACTGATCAACCAATTGAGGAATTTAACTCAACTTTCGAAGCAGTGACTACACTACAGGTTTACAGTAATGTAGTTATTGTGACAATTGAATTGAGATGTAGCCGACTTGATTCAACTCCTTATATCAAAAATTTCGTCGCATAATAGTATGATAACGTGGTCCCATTGGGAAGGGCTAGGTTTTGGAGTGAGATGGTCCTACATCAAATCTCGGAAAAGACTCCAAACGAAATCATCAACTGCGGTATACTTCTCTGCGCGCAGTTTTGTTCCTGATGAGTTGAGACCTCCGACACCTAACTTGTCTTTTTTTATGCTTGGATTTACTATTTAATTCGATGACTATAATAAATTAGGTTATCATATTAAGTCTCAACAATATTTCACATAATTTTAAGGTCGCCTGTTTGTTTAGGACTGTAGCTGTCGTTGCTTCATCGGCATTTTTGAAGCACAATTCAAGCTTTTGGAATCAAAGAAAACGACCTTTTTTGAGGTTTACAATTACAACCACCCTCCCTTCCAATGTGAGGATTGTGTCTTTATTGTGGCTGTGGGATGCCAGGTCATTAGAACTCCAAGGGATAGTTTAAGTGGTAGTAAAGACGAGTCGTAAACTTAGACATTCTGAATTCGAATTTTGACAAATACTTTAATCTTAACGTGAATGGTCTCCTTTTGACCAGACAAATGAGGGAATTAGTCGAAGTACATGTAAGCTAATCTGAACACTTCTGGCCATTAAACTGGAAAAAAAAAAAAAACATGGTCGTTGTGTGCTCAAATCACAGCCCAGAGTCTTCATTCAGACATTAATCTTGAAGAACCATAGATGCTTTATGCATAGAATTAATAGACACCAATGAAATATAATGAAGTACTTAATCAACCATTGATGGTGAAAGGGATAATTTTTGATGTCGTCTTTTTTCACGGGTCCATACTTTATGAGTTTCATATCTCATATTCGCGGTCACGGGTACCGAGACATTTGACGTCTAGGGCAAGTGTCGTTGTTCTTGTCAGCTTGCTGAGAATAATTCCGAAGTAGATTTTTATTTGTATGCATTCTACTTTAACCCTATCCCATATGAAGGCTGACCTTTATACCATTCATGACTGAGTATTTCTCCACTGTTTTACCATGGCCCCAGTCTTGACTCGACCCGAGCTTGAAAAATTCCAAGTCACCCACAACAAATGCCAACCAGGTTCGGGTCCTCAGCAACCCATCACAGAAAAATATCTCACTTTGGGTAAATTATTTTAACATTTGAGTACAGTTGAGAATCTTATTTACATTAAAGAAACGACGAGTCAAATCCAAAAAAAAAAGAAAAAGAAGAAGGGAGACTCACTTGATTGTGCTTCCTAGCTAATCATCTTTGACATGAATCACCAATCAATCAAAAACTACCCATACATACAACCAGTGAACCTCGCCTAATACAATTATGTGACAATCATAAGATGTGATCATTATTGGAATAATGAGATTTACCTGTTCTATTTGATGTTTTATAATTTGTTGATGGTATCGTGTGTATCATCATTGTGCAATCCAGAGTTCCAAAACCTTGATCCTTCATTTGTTCTATTTTGTAGTTAAGAGTAACAATACTTTCTTTCCTAAGTCTGTTCGTGGCTGATGTGCTGTAGGGGAGGCCCGAGACAGTTTGAGTCCTAAAACAGAAACAATAAATAAAATATTTTTATTTTTAATATTAATAATAAATTTAATTTTTAAAGTATTGAAATGCAAAATATTAATTAAGTTTTTATATTCAAACTTTTATTACTATATTTGAACTTGATAGTGAGAGAGAGAGAGAGAGAGGGGAGAGAGAATAATTGAAAAAATTATGATAATACATTTTACTTTTTTGGGGGATTAAGACTTGATTTTTCAGTAGCTTGAGTTTCACTAGTAGATTTTTTTTTTCATCAAAAATTTGAATTTTATGGTCTTTCAATTTAATGGGCTGAATTAATAGGCTTAATCTATTCAAGTTAAAATCTTTTGTTTAAGTTTAAATTTAGGGTTTTTTATAGGTCGATACCCTATATAGGACTTGTTTGCATAAAAGTCCTTCGGTTAAAATGTTTTATGAAGAACTCCTCTTTTTTTTTTTTGTAACACCCATATAGGTAACTGAACAGACGCATTGTTTGTTTTTGGAAACCGTAAGATTTCATTCACCATTTCCACAAAATTTGGCTACTAATCTAGGCCCCAAAACTCAATTTTTCAAAATTTTAACAAAATTGCCTCGAATTCTTTTCAGTTTTCAACCATACACAAACAACAGTCCTCAAAAAATAAATTAAAAGTTTCCTCTTTTAATAGGACAATGAATTTGAATTTTAAACATCATCTACTTTCCCTTTCCTAAAATCTCATAGTTATAATTTATCTTTCCTAAATCTCTCTCATATAGCTATAATTTATCTTCCTTACGTTTATATATAATTAGCTCTATCTAGAATTCTCTTTCCATCTATTAACTATAAATTCTAGTTTAAAATCTCTTCAGTAATTAATTAGTTAAAATTAGTGTCATTTTGCATTATTATACTGTGATATAACAATATCATTCATTAAAAGTAATATATATGAATGTCACATTTATGATGTCACATTATGTGATGCATATTATTTAGATTGTGTATGAATCAATGAATGTAATTTTATAACTTTTTGTTAGTGATTAAAGTAATGATGAAGGTGTTACACTATCATGTATCAATGTAAAGTCACATTACACATGATGATGACCTTAGTTTCAAAACAGACGTTGGTTTTGTTTAGATTTTGTGTCAATGTTCAAAATTCCAAAAAAAAAAAGGGGAAATTTTGCGGATTAAAGAACTGTCTATCAATAAAACCAAATCCCATATAAAAAAATAACTTTCAAAATAAAAATACCATAAAAATAGGGAAATGATATTATAGTAAAGAGAAGAATAAAAAAACTATCATTGTGTATCTCTTTACAATACATTTCAACCTAGTGGAATTTATCTACAACACATTTTTTTCAAGGTCTATTCTCATAAAAAAGTCCTCCATAAGGTATCTAATTTTTCATTAAGTTTAAATTTTTTGTAGGACCTATATCTTATGGATTTAAATTTTGTGTTTGAGCTATTACTACATACTTATAAATTATAGGGCTTTCCTTAAAATAGGGTCTAAAGTTCGGACTTTATTGACTTAATGATTGGGCCAGTGGTGTATTACTTTTGAGTTATATTGTATCAAAATTTATTCAATTCATATTCAACTCATACATAGTCATGTACAATTGGGTTTAGGGCTAGCCCAATAAAAATTGAGACCTTAAGCGAACATGTTAAATAGAGTCATCAACAATTTAATATAAATATAAACTACTAGTTGGAAATGTCTTATATCTAGATACGCATTGACAATTTTTTAAATATTTTCTTTACCTAAATACCATTTTTCATAATTCATGGACAATGTTTTTAGGCAAGTACTTTATTTGTGGGATTTGATTTTATTATATCAACATATTCCTATTCTAATGGACAAGGACATTTAAATTTTGAACGTACATCTTCTTCTTCTTATTCAACGTCTGATTTTCTATCTAAGTTATTATTGTTTTTTTCACTAGTCAACAATATCATCATCTGTTATTATCATTAGGGTTGTTAATCAAATTGAGCAACTTGAACTTGATTGGGGTTCAACTCGTTCAGGCTCGGTTTGTTTTCTAAATGAACCCGAACTTAAAACAAGTTTTTAGGCTCGTTTAGAAAACAAGCCCTACAAGGTCGGCTTAAACTCGATAGATTTGACTCATTTATGTGTAAATACTCAGACTCGGCTCGGGCTAGACTCATTTTGGACTCGTTCAGACTCGGCTCATTTTCTAAACGAGCCAAACTTGAATAATTTTTTATGCTCGATAAAGAAACAAACTTTTCAAGCTTGACTCGAGCTCGTTCGACTATTGTTACGAGTATTGTTTTATATACGTCTCAACGAATTTGTGATTTTACAATCAAATAACAATATCAAGTTTGGATATATATGTTATAAGTTAATGTAACGACCATTTGATTTCAAATGCATAGAATTTATCAACAACTAATTTTTTCACATTATTTTTTGATAATAATTAGCGGTGGTTGTTAATCAACTATGGTGCGTTCCATTAGTGTCCAGTGTGTTGTTACACTATGCTTGTACAGTGTGATAAGCAGTATTGAGTACAACCAACTCATTATTTTTTTATGTCACATTGTAATGTCAAACTGTATCAAGCATACAAGTTAATGCCTATGCCTGAAGGCACTGTGTGACACAACAAAATCACCTGAACAAAAAATTAAATCCACAAAAATTAGCAAATGGAAAAAAATTTTAGTAACCAAAAAAGAAATC